TTTTCCAGATCAATCACCAGCCCTTGGCGAATCTGCTCTCTGCGGGACGGTCCATAATGAACAATCCTGTTCAAGCCGATGATCTTGTTCCATCTTGTCCCCATAACCCCGCCAGCACTCGACGTGTCCTGTCCTTTTGGACTGGAGGGCGTTGATCACCTACGCTTTTGTAACGTGACACCGTTCCGGCCCTGCTGTGAGAGCCGGCTTGCTTCGGGATCAACGATTGGTGCTTTACACTAGGGGTCTCGAGGAACTCGCGGCTCTGGGTTTGCTGTGTGTCTATCATGTCCCGGGTCTGAGATGCTGCACATCATACCTGGTTTGATTGGCAATCTGATGAGGGAGAACAAAACCTCCTGCGCCCCGTCATTGCATCATTATCCGCCGCGGTTCATTCCCATGCTCCCGCTCTCGGCGGTAGCACGGCAAACCGTGAGGCCGAACAATGAAAATTTGGATAGAACCGTGCCGCCTTGCATGGCGGGCTGGTCAGCACTTCGGTTTTTTTTTGTCCATTAATGTCATCTGCCGGCTCCAGGATTGGTGCTTCTCAGTCGCCATATAGACCAGTAAGTGCCCATGGTGAGCAGCATAGAGAGATGTTGGAGTGTACTTGGACAAACAAAAAGTTGTTTATTCGTTCAAGCTCTGCCAAGTGGTGAGATCTGCCTACCAAGTCTTTCAATGGTTAATGTTTGTCATCACCAACATCACCTTGTAGTTCCTTGAACGCCGCAAAATTCCTCATCTGTTGTTCTGGATGGCTGGCTCTGTTCGTTGGTTCGGGGACATTTTCTGAAAGGCGGCAATACACCTGCTTCGCTGACGATCAGGCCCATACTTGTAAACCCATCCTAAGTAGATTGCCGTAGGGACCCTGACTGCTGAGCAATATCGCTCTTCTTCATGTTCTCAGCACGTAATGCATCCCGTCTTCGACGCCGTCATCAATGTGCGTGTTCCATGAAAGTGTTGCTGGTACGCAACCTCATAGTCGCGAAGATTTTTTGTTTGGCCACTCCTTAATACGGTGGTCTTCATCAACTGAAACGGCCCAGCTGGTCCATGGCGGCCGCGTCCTCTACAGACTTGCTGAATCCTGCATCCTTATCAACCCGCCGGCGCTATTCCCAACAAGTCAGAGTCTGAGGTCCTGGACGAGATACAAAAGCTAGATGAGGGCCGGGCCCAACCTGCCGATGAAGCTATCCGGATACCGGTCTCGCTCGGGGGCCCTCGTTGCTGCAAAAGCCGGTAAAGAGATCAACTGATGATTCAAGTTGAAGGACCCAGCATGAAACTGCACCGGAAGACTGGGCAGGCAGTAGCCTTGTCAGGAGAAAGACCTTTACACATGCACCAAGTGTGGTGGCTCCCAACAGTTCCCGAGGGTTACCCGCACTTTCGATGCCTTCGTGTGTTCGAGATATGCTCATCAGCCAACCATATAGACCCAACTGGCAACAGTTCTGATGTACACAAATCTACACTTCTTACATATTTCTTCCAGCCGTGCCACCTGCCTAGGTCGTTGATAAGCCTTGATTTGTGAATATCTAGACGCCTGCGCCGCCTTTGCTGATCTGTGTGACTGACGTCGAAATCGTACATCCCCCTCATGTTCGCGCTGACAACTTAGTCTTAAGTATATAACGGCTCCTTAGAATAGTAATACTAGACTAGGTACACTAGATAGCGATTTCTTCAATAATAGCTTGCAGCTCGGGTCAACGTGTCAGATACAAGCCGAGTTGAGAGCTGTACTGTAAACCAAACTCTTGAAGAGACAGAAACAAGAAACGCAATAGCCGTGTTCCAGAGCTACTATGACGGTTCCCAGTGATGAGGATACGATTGTTTTTGTCGTGGATTGATCAACCACTCCACCGATCGCAAGCCCGACTTCTGTCTCCGATGTGGGTCCGAGGCACGGAATCGGCCCCGGATTTCGACCATGGTTCGGCCCCGTGGCCGGTGATCAACCCGTCCGGACGTCCGTGTGACAAATATACTAACTATTATCTATAATATTAATATTGTAATTGTATTTCTTATCTTGTTATATATCTATAAGTGAAATATCCATTGTTCTAGATATCTTCATCTACCTGGTACGCATGATTGGTCTGTCTACTTGTAGAAGCGGATGAGCTGCAGCTGGGGGGGGTTGAGGCCCCCTCCTTTAGCTAACATCCAGCTCCGTTAAACAAGGTAGCGACGGCAGTTTCTCGGCACGAGCCGTGTGACCCGGAGCGCCCGGACCATCCCTCCCAAGTCCAGGCTACAGTCTCCCCCAGCTCACAGGCATCTCAGCGCGTTGCCAAAACCAGCATATGCATCTTTGCCTTCTTTCTTCGTATCCTTTCTGCTTGTCCTGTTCTTTTTGTCTCTCTCGGGCTCATCACCATGATGAACAGCTCTGGCGGAACAGCCCCGGCTTCCCCAAGCGAACTTGAAGTTCAGCAAGTGCAGATTGTAGGGTTCCTCTTTTCCCTGCTCTTACCTTACCCTGACCACACCTCCATTTGCCCAGTGAAGCTCTGCAATAACTGATGGCACCTTGGAAATGAATCTAGCTCGTCCGTCATGGCGAACGAAGCCCCATATCGGCCCGCTTTCAGAATGTAAGTCAAAATCGTTCGCGCGGCCCCTAGATGCGAGTTCGCGGCTGTGGTGGCGCTGACCTTATATACTCGGCGTCCGGTAGACCGGGTTGTCTCCTTGTAAGTGTTGGAACGAATCCAAAATCAGCTGTGCAACACCGTCGTCGCTGACTGCCACAGACTGGCCGTATTGCAGCGCCGCTCAGCGTTTCACCCAGGTCGTCATGGCTGCGCAGGATGGGTCTAGATGGGAATCCGTGATTTGGAAGAGACGTCTAGAGACGTTTGGACCCGGTGGTCGACCGATTACCGCACGGGGAGCAGGTGGCGAGTCTACCAGCATGTGGTACGTGGTCACCCAGGATTTCAAGCCCGCTTTTTCCCTGACGCCATATCGACAGCATGCCCGGAGAGCTCACGGACAAAGGACGGGAAACCTCTCTTGAATTCGGCAAGGCGTTGCGTAGGATCTATATCGATCAGCTAGGCTTAGTAACCAACTCCGTAGCAACACTCATCCACTGCCGAGTACTTACTTGACTAACGTTGCAAAAAGAAAGTTGCCACAGTATCTAACAGATCCCGAAATACTCTATATCCGGTCAACGGCGGTGCCTCGGGCTCTTGAGTCGGTGCAGCAGATGCTGCGAGGCCTTTACCCCTGGGGTACGAACCGGACGTCGGTTCCCTGGGATATCACCATCCGCACGCCAGCAGAGGAGACGCTTTCCCCCAACACCAAATCGTGCACCAGGCTCGCAGAGCTTGCGAGAGCATTTAATCAGCGAGCTGTGAGCAAGTGGAACGGAAGCGAAGACATGAGATATCTGTCGGAAAAGCTGGGCAAATGGATGCCAGGCAACAGAGCCCTGGCTGTAGACTCTCGGCCCCGTCTATCGGCCGTCATGGACACCATCAATGCAACACTTGCCCACGGGCCAGGTACTCGGCTTCCTGACGAGTTTTATGACCAACGCGTGCTCAAGACCATTGAGCGGATCGTAGCCGACGAGAACTTTGGCGGATATGGAGTTTCTCGTGAGTTCCGCATGCTTGGCGTGGGAGAACTAATAGGGGGCATGGTCCTGAAGATGGTCGACCAAGTGGAGTGGGATCAGAGACACGACAGTACCCTGCGAAGCTCTAATGACGTGGAATCAAGGGCGCCACCGCGACTTTCTCTTTCGGCTTGTCACGATAGCACCATTGGCGCAACGCTGGCAAGCCTTGGCTGTTTCAATAGTGACGAGAGATGGCCAGCCTTCACCAGCCGCATCATCTTCGAACTGGTTCGCAAGAGACAACCCACCCCTTCCCAGAAGATGGACCAACATGCGCGGGTCCGGTCGTCATGGGGTACAGATACGGCCATCATCTCCAATCCAGTCACCGACCAGGGAGATACCGGCAAGCCGAGAGACATCGGGCGGAGGCCAGTGGAGAAGCTCTCCAAAGACGAACTACAAGGCCTTGACGGATACTTTGTTAGGGTCAAATATAATGATCGGATCATGGTGATACCCGGGTGTCAGGCGCAAGGGAACCATCTTGATGGCGATCAAAGTCTCTGCACGCTGGTAAGTCTCATCCCCATCACCCCCATAGTCCAAACATACGTATACGCGCATAGACAAGATGCTTTCCCTTCCACAAAGATCTCCTCGCTGATGATAGACTAACATAAATAACCAGGTGGCATTCAAGTCTATTGTGGACAAATTTACCCCCAGGAACTGGAAATATGCGTGTAGTTCCAACTTGGGCGCTTCGTCGACTACGGGGAGCGATGAACCGGCCGGATATTAGAACTATGTTGTGCACCTGGGTGCAACAACAAGACCAAGTACCATGTTTCGGGGCCAGAATGAGCCAGAATGGAGAGTTGACGAAAAAGGTCTCGAGAAGCTTCACCACATAAATAGCTACCTCCTATCATGGACGGACTCCACTAAGACCTGGGCGTCCCAAGGCTCCTAAACCACTAGAAACACTCGAGAATAAAAATAAACCAGTTCCTAGCCTCATTATCGGTATCGTTATTGTCTTTGATGCAGCTTTAATACCATCGTACTTGTCTGTATTGCGAAAGCTATGGTAACTCGATGATATGCCTGCACGTATTGTGAACGGACCTCGACCCGTTGAGCTGCTCTTACTGCCGTTCTGCAATGCTCCATTTAGCGCGTCCTGGCTTGGATAAGCAAAAAATGGGCAAAGAGGGCCAGGTACTATGATTGCTGTGCTTTGCCATTGACCAGATGTCTACTTCGTGGTGGTGATATGGTACAAGATACATTCTACATGATAATATACAGAGAGAGAGAAAGCTCCGGGCAAGTCGCGTGGAGGGAAGAACAATGCCGCCTCCAAGACCACAGGGGCCCCGGCCCATGCTCACCTCTTCACATTGACCAGTCGGTCAAGCGCTCTGCCCTGGTCCAGCGCCCAGCCGCCCGAGAGGTCCATCTTGTACATCCGGCCCTCGACATAGACCTTGGCCAGGCCCTCGCGGGTCAGCGACTTCCTGATGCCGTCCCACATGGTGACCATGGCCTGGCCCGCGTGCCGGAACGGCGCCGTCATCAGGTGGTCCATCTCGTACTTGCGCTCCGCCTTGCGGCGCTCCTCCTCGGCCCGCTTGGCCTCGATCTGCTGCCGGCCCGTCAGCACCGGCTCCTCCGCCGCCGCCGCCGCGCCGCCGCGCCCGCGCGCCCCGTCCAGGCGGCAGTCGGCCATGCGGAACGGCAGCTCGACCTGGTCGGGCGCCGCGACGATGGTCTTGGGCCGCATGAAGGGCACCATGCGCGCGACGGCGAGCTCGATGTACAGCGGCGGCGTGGCGGCGCCGGCCTTCTTGGCCAGGGCCTTGTGGGAGGCCAGGGCCTGGGCCGCGGGGACGGCGCGCACGCTGCGCACGACGCGGCTGGTGCCGAGGACGAAGTAGGCGCCCATGGCACCCATGAAGGTGCAGATGACGCCGAAGGCGTGCGGCACCCACCAGGACAGGCCCTCGGGCGGGTAGATGTACATGCTCCAGTAGTTGATGAGGGTGTAGGTGACGCAGAAGGCGCCGGCGGCGAAGGAGGAGAAGCGGAACCAGAAGTGCGAGGGCGCCTCGTAGAGGGTGGTCGGGGAGCCCTTGCGGGCGAGCTGCTCGGCGAAGGAGCGGGGAGGGGGCAGCTTTGCGCCGGCGGCGGCGACGGAGGGAGTGGCGGGCAAGACGGGCGGAGGTCGCCTCGTCGTTGGGGGCGCACGGCGGGCTGGCGCTGCCTTGGCTGCGGCTTGCCGGATGGAGGAGGTCTGGAGTGTCCGTACGGAGGAGAAGAAAGGCGAGGCTCGGAGAAGCAGCCGCTGTGATTGGGCTGCGCAGCTGCATTGAGGCCGTGGGGTGTAGACCAGAGCTCGCTGGGCCAGGCCCAGTCCCCGTGAGAGGGACGACATCTTGCGGAATAGTAAGCCCTGGAGTTCGGCTTCGTGAGAAAGCGACAGGAATTGGCCTGCATACATACCGTGAGAAGTGCCAAGTCTGAAAAATCAATTGGCTCTTTTGTGGCTGGCGAGCGGCCCAGTTCGTCGTTGTCGCGTCCGGCTGTCGAGCTCGATATCGCATGAGGTTTCCCAAAAAATTATGAGAGCCCAGCAAAGCGGGACTAGATCTGCACTAGAGTTGCTAAGCACACCCTTCGGCGTGCCCTCCTGGAATCCCACGGGCTGGCACGGCGTAGTGCGGTCTGTACAGGCAGAGACTAGCGCAAACGCCCCAAAGATTCAACAGAAGCTCCAAAAAGCTGGGTCGGTGCTTTTTCTTGATGCGGCCATTTCCGGACCTCACTCGACAAACCCAGCTGAGCGAGCGGCCACGCAAACACAATCCAATTCACTCGATTGGATTCGGTTTTCGCAAATCACACGCCGCCAAAGATGGCCTCGCTCGCGTCTGCATGCCGCCTGTCTGCCCGCCTGGCCAGGCGTCAATTGGCACACGATGCGACCGCCAGAGGTAAGCCAGGCGCAAGTCCCCAACAATTCCCCGAGAACGCGAGTGCTCACGCTGGACGTGGCTTCTTGTAGGCTTTAGGACCTCTGCCGCTGCCCTCGCCGCCCAGAACTTTACTATGCCTGCGCTCTCGCCGACCATGACCGAGGGAAACATCGCTGCTTGGAAGGTCAAGGAGGGCGACAAGTATGCTGCGGGCGATGTGCTGCTGGAGATCGAGACGGACAAGGCCACAATGGACGTCGAGGCTCAGGAGGACGGTATCATGATGAAGATCATGCAAGGAGATGGCACCAAGGCCGTTCAGGTTGGCTCCCGGATTGCCGTCATCGCAGAGGAGGGGGACGATATCAGCTCGCTCGAGATCCCCGCCGATGAGAGCCCCAAGCAACAGAGCAAGGGCCAGGAGAGGCCCAAGCAACCCGAGGAGAAGCCAGCCGAGGCTCGCGCTGAGTCCGCTGGCGCAGACAAGGTGGCACAGCCAGCTCCGAAGAAGTCTGGCAAGGCGCAGAAGCAGACATACCCGCTTCTGCCGTCAGTCGCCCATCTGATCAAGGAGAAGGGTCTCGACGAGTCGGCCATCAGCGAGATGACACCCACCGGCCCCAACGGGCGCCTTCTCAAGGGTGATGTTCTCGTATATCTCGGAAGTGTCAACGCGGATACACCTGCCGCTATCACGGCCCGGTTCGACAAGCTGTCGCACCTCGACCTTAGCAACATCAAGATCGCCAAAAAGCCCGAGCCCAAGAAGGAGGAGAAGGCGGCGGCCAAGGCACCGGTTGTGGAGGACTCTCTCATCACGCTACCTATCTCTCTGGCACCAGTCATTGAGGTCCAGAGGAAGATCCAGGACACCCTCGGCGTATTCCTACCCGTTTCTACCTTTGTCGCTCGCGCAACCGACGTCGCCAACGACGAGCTGCCCCGCTCTGCTGCGGTGAAGCCGACGGCCGACGAGCTCTTCAACCAAGTCCTTGGCCTGGACAAGCTGGATGTCAGGGGCAGCCGTGGCTTCTACCTACCCCAGATCTCCGCCGTCCCCCCTGCATCGCTGAGCGCCAAGCGTCCTGCTGCCAAGCAGGCGGATGTCATTGACATCCTTGCCGCTCCCACCAAGAAGGTTTCCAAGCCCAAACGATCACTAGCACCTGGAGTATCTACTGGCGTCAACGTATTCAGCCTCGTTGTGCCCAAGGCTGAGGAGAAGAGGGCAAAGGTGTTCCTGGAGAGGGTAAAGCTGGTGTTGGAGAACGAGCCCGGAAGGCTGGTGTTGTAATCTCAGATCTACAGGGAGGAAGATCAAAAGAACACTGTAGCTTGTGTCTTTGTAATATACCAACAAACTTTAGACGGCCCTTTGCTTAATCATGGGCTTTTCAACTACGAGCGGCATCATGAACGCCACATACAAACACCTGGAGGGGCGATGCATGTTCCATAGTTTGGCTGCTCCTGGAAACCGAATACTGCTGCATTATCCAACTTAAAGCTTTTATAAAGAAGCCAGGCACTCGCACACGTATACAGACAGACCCTTGTTTCTTTTCATGACCCGAGAGCCACGTCCTCGTCCACCTCCCAGCCATCCCAACTCGGAGCGTCGAATCCGTTCGGCCTGGTGGCCCGGACGTGCCCGACCCGCAAGCCCTTCACCTTGAGCGCCTCCCGGGGCCACCGGATCTGCGCGCCGAACCCCGGGCTCCAGGCGGAGTGCATCATGCCGTCGGCGAACAGGTGCGGGAACAGCGCGCGGACGCTCCCGACGGCCCGCCGGCCGACCTCGTCCACCGAGTCGTGGTGCCGCAGGCCGAAGAAGGCCGGGTCGTGCGCCTTGCGCGCGCGCGCGAGCACGCCCGCCGGCAGGGCGCCCAGGGAGCGCAGGAAGACGTCGTACTGGCACAGCGAGGTGCGGCAGGCCCAGGACCCGCCCCGGCGAGCGCGCAGGTAGAGCGCCGACAGCGCGGCCGCGGCGCCGAGCGCGCCCGTGCCGTAGTCGGACATGGGGAAGGGCGGGACCACGGGCTCGTCGAGGCCCATGAACCGGCCCTGGTCCCAGGCCAGGCCCGTCACGCAGTCGGCGATCTGCTGCCAGCCCGGCCGCGGGGCCCACTCCGGATCGGCGGCGCCGGGGCCCGTGCCCGTGCCCGTGCCCGTGCCGCCGAAGCAGTCCTCCGCGACGTAGACGAAGCCCCTGCCTCGCGCGCGCGCCAAATCAGCGAGGTACTCTGTCCCGTAGCCGAGCTTGTCCAGGGCGCCGGGGCGGTAGCCGTCGATCAGGACATCTGCCTCGGCGAGCAGGCGCTCAAAGGCGGCGCGGTCTTGGTCGTTGTCGCGGAGGTGCAGTTCCGTGGTGTGCTTGCCGGTGTTGACGTCGACTTGGAAGAACGGCACGTCTGGGAGGAACGGCGATGTGACCTTGATCACGGAGGCGCCGTGGGCAGCCAGGGAGCGCCCGATGACTGGGCCGGCGATAATGCGGCAGAACTCAACCACCTTGATGCCAGCTAGACACTGCGGTTGACGCTGACCGAGGGCTAATGCGGTCTCAGGAAAGGGCACTGGCGGTGTCAATGTCTCGAGAGAGGTGGTGGTAAAAGGAGGTAGTTTCATCAAGGCCTGCCCGTGCGGAGTCTGAGAGAACGCGTCCCAAGTCAGGGCAGGTGCACCAGCCTGGTTCTCTTTCGAGTTCATCGCTTCAAGCTCATCAACAGTGTACCTTTTGACGGCTTTCTCGATTGTTTCTACGCACTGGCGATAGTCTGTCATCTCCGGGTTGAATGGTGGCAGCCCAAGCATGGAGAGCGTTCTGCTAGCCTCGAGCGACCCGTGAATGTGATAGAACTCGCCAGGCTTCTTTGTCTCATAGAGATTAGCAGAGAGACGCCGATATAGGATAGACTGTGCTTGATTCAGGTCCGTATCTACATGAAGTGTTCCATCAGTGAGTTGTCTCCCCCCTTATAAGTCCATATGAGATCTCACTGACCTACAAGGAGCGACTTCACATCCTCATGTCCCTTGTCCAAGCCGTCGATTGTGGTCACGTAGGCAGACATGAGGAAGCAGGCTGTTCTGTCAAGATCAACCTCGATGAACCGGGGCGCGCGTCCGTATCGTAAATCTGCGATGGCTGCAGCGGCACATCCTTCGAGAGCCTTGAGGGCGGAAACGGCCTCGCGCGCCTTGAACGGACACGGAAAGTAGAGTACGTCATCATCACCGAACAAGGATGTGAAGTAGACCTTTTGTATATAAGGAAGAAGTTCGGGTGGTAACTGGCCCTGACAGGAGGCCACAAGAGCATGCAGCGCCGCTATGGAGCCCGCAGCTGTGGTATATGCCGAAGTCGTCGACACTGTACATATGGTCTTGACAGCCATGACTGGGCACTATTCTTCTCTGTTTGGGTCCGAATGCCCTTTGAACCCAAACATGTTACATGGCCGGCCATGAAATGTGGTTTTATACTCATGAGCTGCCATCCTCTTGCTCTTCCTTGCTTCTCGGACTCGTATCCTCCCTGGGCCCCCGAGGTAGGTAGTGACGGACTGTTACGCATCATCGGAAGGAACTCGAGCCAACATGACGATCCACGCCCACGCCGTCGCCGGCTCGCCAATGGCTGCCCCTGCTCACATCCCCTAGAGCGCTGCTTCTGGGGTCGTGCATACCGTAGCACTCACATGAGACTAGGTATCTGACTAGAGTAAGCACCATCGCCGGCGAGACTGCCAAGGTGCATGATGGGCATGTTCCCTTTCCCAGAGACCTCCGGGTGAGGGGGCCTTGACCGAGTGTGAGGCCTTTTCGGGTTCCCCAATGAGACTTGCTTGGCGCGAGCCGAGGTGCATCTCGGCCTCATTCTAGAGGACGTCAGATGTTGGTGGCGTAGCCTGGAAATTTACCGGCACTATTGATCAGCCGTCCTGTGTTGGCCGTACGTGGGGAACATGAGAGTCAGCTGGACAAGACATCACCGGGTTCTGACAGGTATCAGGTTGCACCGGGGACACGGTCGAAGGCCTGCAGCAGGATCAAGGGATGGCTTGCCGAATTCCAAGGACGACACCTTGGTATGAGAATGGAGATTGATTGAATCAAAAGAAAAGTGCCGGGCATTATCTGCTCTTTAAAGAAGCGCCGCGTGCCGCGAGAAGCTGGAAAGATACGAGGTTTTATCTAATCATGGCATCACATCACACAACCATTCCTCCTATCTCCGCCTCCTAATAGATGCCCAGAGGACTCTTCTGCCTGAAGTCTCCTGTGGAGGAGATAAGGTAGCCGGACTGCTGCCCCGGGATTAGCCCATCTCGAGGGAGCTCCGAGACGAGCACACGGCGACACATTCATATGCTGTGTTGTATGCCCGGCACCCCCCACCTAGGGTATCACCTAGATATCGTTGTCTGTCAGATTTCCAAGGGGTGTCAGAGAAAGTCTCAAATGAAGAGGCACATCGAGTCTGACATGTCAGATGGGTGTCCGTCCAGGACACCCCGTGGTCACGGGAGAGAGTAGGAGCTTGCTCATGGCCTTGTAAAAAGCCTCCCGCGCCGGCTTTATGTGGAGGAGTTGCCATGCTTCACCCGGCGTCAAGTGCTTGTCAGACTGCATTTTCGGGACCAGGTGGAACACCACCACGTTGAAGAGCCTGGGGTAGCGGGGTTGGCCCGTATATCGCGCACATAGCAAGAGGGCAAAAGCAGTGAGAGAGAGAGAGAGAGAGAGAGAGAGAGAGAGAGAGCCGTAGGTCGTACGGCAGCCCGATCATGCACACATGGCGAGGTGAGGTGAGGTGCCGGCGCTCTCTCTGACAGTAAGAGTGCACTTTGCCATCTGCATGGCCAGACCGGCCAGACTTCGTATCCAGCTTGCCAGCCAAGATTGATTGTCCTAAGAAACCACGATGTCAGCCGATGTCCCAGGGATCTTTACCTGAGACATGCTTTTGACGGCACGAAGAGCCCAGCTCAGCAGCCATGAGGCCCAGGCTGTCTGGCATTCGGACGTGAAGATGATGGATGGCGAAGGAGACATCCCACGCAGTGTCTCAGCGCGGGTAGTAGAGCATGGCAATGGGAACGCGCGGCACCAATCGCATCTCGTGTATTGAGCCTGGCAACTCGGTTGGAAGAAGGAAGCATCACCAGTCAAGACGATGGCTGAAGGGATGGCTGTGCCGTGTCTCGATGGTCAAGGTTCATTAGGCTTGCTAGGCTTGCGCGGTGCATTGTGCTGCGCTTGTAGCCTACCTACGTACCTAAGGTAGGTAGCTCTTTATAGTGGGCGGGCCGTATTGCCAGCTAGGGTTTAGGTGCACTATCCGATGGGATCCGCGCTGTAGCCCACCGTGGATCCTCCACTCCATGCGGCTCGGCTCGTGCTCCCGTATTCTTAAGTTTAGATGCTACTCCGTAAGGGTTGCTAAGGTAAAGTTGCCTAATCTCCTCCACGTTGTTCTTCACGACACCGACTTTGTTGGCTCGGGTTAGTCTGTCTTGACTAATGGATGCGGCGCCCGTCTCTCTCCCTCTTTCAGCTCCCGAGACTGTCGCTTATTGGACTACAATGACAAGCATGTTTTGCACTTTCCAGGTACCTACTGGTGGGATTGGAGACGCAGAGCCAGGATCGTCGAGGAGCGATCGAACGACGATCTGCATACCGGTCTGGACAAAACGCCCACCCATCCAGCCACCCATTCATCTGCCTATCTCTGTACGTAGATCGAAAGTGATGCAGTAACCAGTGAGTTCCATTGTGAGATTTTGGCCAGGATGTGATTATCAATGGTACACACCCACCCTCCCTCCCTCCCCTCCCACCCCTTCGCCATCAAGATTAACACTGATTGATTAATCAATAGAACCAGCAGGGAAGGCAAGAGATAGAGAGAGATAGCCTCTGGGATGTTTGTCTGCCCCTGCCACAAATCAGAGCAGTATGAACCGTTCACTGGCTTCTTCTTGGGCACTTACAAGCACACACACACGCACACACGCACACACGCACGCACGGGACATCCAATCGAGGTGCCAACGCGCCGTGCATGTAGAACCTCACGGCCCAAGGCTCCTGCATGCCCGTCAACCCCAGGTCTCCTGCGTGATTGTTTGCCTCATTCTTTGCTTGCTTGCGTGCTTCCCTTTGCTTTTTGGCGGCCTGCTGCATGCCTTGGCCCCCCTGGGATGATCGTTTTCAGCTCGATCCTCGCTCACAAACGAGACAAGAAGAGAGATTCTTCAGGCAGCCTTCTGGCACCACTTCACCCAGGTTTGCATCCAGCTATTCCCTTCCAGTCCAGGAGACGGGACGAGAATGACAGGGCTCCCTCGGACATGACGGGACAAAAAGAAAGCATAAGCTACTGTTGTCCACGACAGCACACCAATTGCGGCACTCCGCAACGTCAATCACCTTGGCTTGTCGCCCTCCAGGAATGGGGGTCTGGTTACACGAAGCCCCCCTCCCAGGAACTTCGATGCAGTCAATGCCTGCATCTCGCTTGCAGGTTAACTATGCAGAGACAGGCACTCGCCTCTCCCATGCTCGTATGGGCCCCCGAGCCACACCAGGACGACCGGGCATCCATGGATCGAGAAGACGCCACGCAGCCGCCAGGCGTTCCAACCAGCCAATTCTGCACGTCGTCACGGGCAAACATCTCCCACTTCTCCTCTTGGGTGCAAAACGCCCCTCCCGCTATTGTCTCTCAAGGTTGGGCTGGCTGACCCTTGCAGCTCCTGTCCCTAGCCCCTGCCAGGTTGTGTGGATGGTCTCTCATTTCCTCCGCATCATCTGAGCAGATCGAGCCTGGGGAGTCCCCAAGATGGGTCGCTTCCAAGCCTTCGTCCCTTTCACGTCTCTCGGTGATCTCTGATCCGTATTCCAAGAAACCAGGAATCGTTCTCAGCTGGACACTAACGACTAGGATACAAATTTCCTTTTTCCATTCAGCTTCCCCATTCGGTTCTTCTATATACTTGATTTCCCCAGGAACCCTGTTCCCTTCTATCTCGAAGCCTTGACGGAAGCGGATCTGAGTTGATCAAGCGACAGGCGGAGTTCCAACACAACCTCTTCCCAAGGGGCCGGATCGTTTCTTTGGTGCACAGCCCAACCGGTGTGTTCGTCGTGACGAAATCCTGCGATTCCTTGCCGCAGCCAGGACCGATCCCTAACGGCTACGGCCGCTTACACTGAGCACATCTGCCATCTGAGCGGCAGATCTGGTCTTTGACCGATCTAGCTTCGGCTTGTGGCCCCGGCATTGCAACACAGCAACACAGACTGCCACTTGGGCATCTTCCGACGTCTGACCTGTCGCACCGCTCCACGATCCGTTTCGAGCCCAGGCACCCTGCCGGATCCCAGCCGTGCTCAAACAGCTTACGGATGACCGATGAGAGACCCAGCCTCTACAGACTCTGTCGCCATGACTCGAGCCAAAGTTCCCGATGAGAAGCGCCAGAGGATTGCGCAGGCTTGTGACTCATGCAAAAGACGCAAACAAAAGGCAAGCTTCCTTCTGTCAGAAGTTATCCCTATGTCCTGTTTTCCCAGAAGAACCATGCCCCGAACATCCCGATGGTCATTTCATTTGCTTTGGTTGATACTTGCTCGTTATATCGGCCGTGATGCCGTCTCATACACAGGATTTTGAATCTTCCTGCCGGATCCTCTAGCGAGCGACCGGATGGCAGTGTCCCACAATGATTAAAATTTGAATTTGTAACATACGGCACCATCGATATTCGTTCATGACAACATGGCGATGAGCTATGCTGAGGCTTGTGTTCGGTGTCCTTCAGTGGAAGAGGTTCCCTGCACCACTTTATTTTGGTGCCTTTCCTATATCTGCTTGAGGCTATATCCACATATCAGGTTTAGTCGGACGAGAGTAGTCTGCTCTAAGTTCATCTCCCCCGGGAATTGCTGCCCTCGGAATCATGCTTTCATCTGCCACCTTTACATTTTGCTGGCCCTGTGGCGACAGCTTTGAGCTGACACCGACTATCTCACAGTGCGATGGGTTGAAGCAATGTACGACTTGCGTTAAGAGGAACTTGATTTGTTACTACCCCAACAACGACAATAGTGCCAATGAGATAGGAGGATCTCCTGCAAAGAGACGTGCCATAGACACGTCGTCGGCGTCCCCTCAGGAACAGACACAATCAAACCCGGCTCCCTCAAAACCAAAAGAAGCACCGAAGCTTCCCGAGGAAGAGAAGTCAAGTGATCCAGAGGACTCCTTGCGTTCATCCTCAACAAAGGTCGAGTCGGGTATCCGATCTTCATCTCAACAGCAGGTTTCACGTCACAAACGAGAGGTCTCTGATCAGAGACTGGAGTCGTCCTCGCGAAATAGTACGATCAGTGGCCCTGACGAGGAGGCCTGCCTTTTTGCAATTACCCGTCTACTTCATGATTCCACGGGGCGTCTGCGTGAGTTGGAGGTAACATCCTGAATTCCGTCATCTTCTCTAACACATGATCCCATCAGTCTATGTGGGCGATTCTGCAAATCTGTCTTGCCTCCATCTCTTCCGGCTATGCATTGAAAACACGAGCGGTGCATCGCCATTCACAACGGACCCTCGACAGCGAAACATCGTTGAGAATGTTGTCTCCTTACCGTCGGATATCAAACCGCCAGCACCATTGCCTCCTCGCCACACTGCAGAGATCCTTGTGAACTCTTTCTTCACTAATGTAAGCACTCCGATTTCTTGAGCCAAACAATTTTTCATCCGCAATAACATCCATTCCAGACGGCCGGACTTCTCGATATCTTTGACGAAAATGCTCTCAAGGGCGCGGTCGATGCTTGCTATTTGGATCCTCTGTCGGCAGAGCGATCGTTGATAAGCCTTTTGAACCTGGTTTTCGCTATAGGCCTCGTTCTCGCGACACCAGCAAGTGGTACACATGAAAGCGTTATTATCGCGGAACTTCGCTGCAAGCGCTTTGATATGGCAGAGTTGTTTTTCCAGAGTGGACGAGATATTGGTGATCTGTCTTCAACTCTGTTAGACGCTGACTTCCGGGCGATCCAAGGACTGGTGCTGATCACGGTCTACATGCTTGCCACGTCCAAGAGGAACGCGGCATATGCCTATCACGGTTCGTCTGAACACCGATATTCGGCGGCAGTGCTGACATGTTTTTTTTTTTTCAGGCATTGCGGTGCGCCAGTCGTTCGCACTAGGTCTTCATCGCATAGAGGCACGAGGGCTGTATATTACAAAACCCCAGTACGCTTCTCTTTGCAGTCTCTGGCGGAGCATATTCATTCTCGACCAATTTCTCGCTGCCTCTCTGGGCCGCCCACCTGCCATATCACTCGATCACTGCCCTGAGGGCGCTCTAAAGGACCCGGCAGGCGACAGCCTTGAAGATACAGATCTTCACAAGATAGGCATCAATGCTTCTGTCAACAGCTGTCTCATCATCAGTACTGTTCTGAGGAAATTCTACTCCACTCGCAAGGTGTCAGCCAAGACAGCTCAAGAAATTGCCAAGACATGCATCCAGTGGTCGAAAGAGCTGCACCATGGGCTGCATTGGCGACAAGCGTCACAGAAACGGATCCCCCCTGCTCGAGGCATGACGATTCTACACGTGAATCTGTTCTACTGCCATTCAGTCATTCTTGTCACCCGGCCCTTCTTCCTGCTCCTTTTCATCAAGCAGCAGGCGACGAGAGGCACTTGTCAACCTCCCAAGAGTGTTCGATTTGAGCAACTTGCGGAGACATGCATATCGGCTTCGTATCACACAGTACTGATGGTGCAGATAGCATATGAAGCTGGCTACCTGCCGCAACGGAACCCTTTTGTTCTGTGAGTGACCTTTGCTTATCGATGTATCATTCTTGAATTGTTCTGGATATTTGCTTCTCAGAATTGCCCGAACTCAACATCTTCAAGCCGTCTCTCTTTTGTAATCTATGAAATCCAACACTCTCCCTCCTTTTCGCGGTCCTGAACTCAACTGACACCTCTCAGGTACTTCCTATTCGCGGCCTCCTTGGTCATCCTCGGCAATGAAATCTCTTCACTGGTTCACAAGGTTGAATACTCCGCTACGATCTCGAAAGCAATCGAGATCATGTCGAGTTGGGCGGAAGCCGACCCTCAGGCCGAGCGCTTGCGTTGGATCCTGCTGGCTTTCCGGGATGTTGTAGCCAAGCAAGCTGCAAACCCCGAGCGAACGTTTCAGATCATGGGAAAGGCTCTAGATGGCACAGTCGCCAGTGGTGACCCCATCATGACCTTCTTCGCAAACTGTGGGATTGCACGGAGCCATAGCATGGCATTACTCAAGCCCCCAGCAGAGTTCAACGGCGTGCGTCATCACTCGCTCGACTCCCTCACGGCTCACATGCATGAAGCTTCTGAGCCTGGCCCCCTGAGCGCCCCTCCGAGCATCGTAGGCGGGGTGGTCCCAGCCACCGGTATGGCAGGGCACTACGTGACTCCCACTGCAGAGCCTGATGCAAACGAGACATTGAGCACGGAAGGATCATTCGATATACAAAACCTCTGGGACTGGGCCGATCCCAGCAGTGCCCAGAATATGGTCCACTGCAGCTCCGTAGGAATGGACATGCCAATCCCAGGCACAGATGCGGACGATGACAGACTGGACGGCTACCATGGCTACGGTGGCTTCCTAGGGACACACCTGGCTGGGATTAACGGGTTCTACGACGGCATGCACCCAATTGCACCGCTGTACCATACGGCCGACATGGATTGAGAGAGACCATCACCCACGGGACGACCAGGGCACATTCACCGCCCAGTAATTTATTTCGACTCAGGCTATCACTTGCTTTCTTGAGTATCACATGTTCGTGTGGTGCTTATGACTATCTATCAGGAACAGGCTTCGCAGCTGAGCTGGCCGAGCCTTGAAGGGGTGTGTTATCCAATGGTTATGTAGGGGCTTTCAGGTCCTCTGCAACACAAAGTCGTACTCCAACGTCCACTTGGCCCGCTCGTCCCCTTTACGGGGGGAGAAATGCACGACGAGATCATCCTTGACTGCGAACACCGCATCGTTTGTGATATAGCGATCGCGACTGTCAAACACCTGCGTCGTCAGGGTCCGATGGTTCGGACCCGATACTATGAAGTGGATGTGTGCCGGGCGATAAGGGTGCCGGTCCAGCATCTCTAGCAGACGGCCCGCTGGGCCGTCGCTCGGAATGGGATACGGCGTCGGCCGCAATGCGTAAAAGGCATAGCGGCCCTGGCTGTCGGTCTGAAACCGACCACGCAGGTTCATGTCCTGTTGTCCCTCATCCTGCTGCTCATAGAGCCCGTTGGGTGCCGAGTGCCATACATCCACGATGGCACCGGCGATCGGCTTCGCGGTTGTGCTGCTGAGAACTCGGCCGGAGACAAACGCGGTATTGGCGATGGCATGTTCGTACCACGGGAGATCCGGTGTGAGGTCGTGCACTATGGAGGAGCCGTTGGGCATCAGAGGGGCGTCGAGGCGGTAGAACGGCCCCAGAATGGCAGAAGACGTTGTAATGTTGTCAGCATTGCTGCTGAAAGATGGCGGTGATGGAGCCGCCAGTTGGTTGGAAGTGATCTCATCGACAAGCGACTCGAGGCCTAGGATGTCGCATAGCAGCGCGGTCTCGTTGCGGCGGTCAGTGGAAAGCTGGCCGCACTCATTGATCTCCATATGTGCTGTTAGACAAGAATGCTACACTGCTTAACAAAGGGCTTTGTTTTTGGACTTTACAAATTCCACTCCCGCCATCCATTCGGCGACTGTGAGGTTGGTCTCCCTGGCGAAGCCGTGGAGATGCTGCAGGAGGCTTGGCATGACCTGGGCTAGACGCGGGTTTGCCTTTGGACCAGTAGCTGCAATGACTCTCTCCGTAAAGTCGAGGTTGGACACTGCTGTGGTGGTTTGACCAACTTCGTGATCATCAACAGCGATAGCCGACGGTGCCATCTTGGATGAAGAGAGCAGTCAGAGTGCTGCCAGTTTGGAGAGCAAGTGTTGCTTGAAAATGTTTGTGCATAGATTGTATCCTCTATCATCTGGGAACTCTCTGACACTTAACTATCCATCACCATCTCTTAAAAATCTATCCTTATCGAAGAGCAGTGGTGACTGAGACATGTGGACAGATGCAAGATCCATGACAGCCTACGTCAAGATCCACTTGGATGAGGTTAGAGATAACATCTCATGTTGGGATTGCAGTATTCAACGATGATATGGCAAAATGAGGCTCTGTGAATGGTCTTGTTTTGACGAGTGATACCTTGCTTCTGGGCACACAGAGACATGAGCGGGCCTGACCGACTTCGGTCGGTGACCTGTCGGCTACCGCCGATAACCACGCACATCTTTCGTTGCATTACAAAAGGAGAACACTGCAGTGATGGTAGCACTCTGACTTGCGGTGAACCATGCTTAGAGTTGGGCACTGTTCCCGAGGAATTCCTTGGAGGGCCGAGTTGCAAGCACGTACTGTTGAGGACGGTGACCTGGTCATCTGATGCATACATGAGCCTTTCAAGTCATATTTCTGCAACTCATTTTTCCTTTTTGACGGAATAGGCAATCGGTGCCCATTTGTCTAGCCTTGACGGACCAGCCCTTCTCATAGAAAGCCTGCATTTTGTTGTTGAAACCCAGGCCGCGATTGGGCGACGGGTCTTTGACCAACCATTCATATTATGTGTGTCTTAAGCCATTCAAGCATTAAACAAGCCTCTTGACCTTTAGTCTTGGTTTGAGACATTGTGATGAACATGTTCGGCACGGATTCTCAAGCCACTTGTGCCGCCGATGGAATGGTGATGAGACAAAGCACCGCAGTAACCCCCAAGCCGTGCCGGAAAGATCCGCGCCCTGGGGCGACGAAATTACCTCCCGGTGACCCGGCGTTGGGAACAAGTCGTGCAACAAACAGGAGTCACACGGACCTTGGCATCTTCTGGACTAACACACACTTATGATGCATGCGTAGGCATATGCACTACACAAGAACAAAAAGCAAATAAGTTGCATCTTCACCGCCCCCCCCCAACTGAATCTTGTTTTCTGCTCACGACGGCCGCCCTCTTCCGAAAAAAAAAAAGCTTGTACCTTTGCGACCGGCGCGGGAGTGGCGTCTTCCGCTGCAAACTCTCGCGTCCATCCAGCCCTGATCTCAACGAATCATCAGAGTCGGGTTGCTAGCCACAAAGATGAGATCTCCATACCTCGTGACACCCAGCCCTGACCGCCAAGGATGACGTTAGGCGACGCTCTGGGGAGGGGAGGCCCGGACCATCAGGGACACGAAGGCGTTTTGGACTGACTTGCCCTCATGATCACAAGGGGAGACATTCGAATCTTTCATCCCTACAAGATACCACAGGAAGTCTTTTGTACCTAGGAACTACGTAAAGGGTGGTAAATCAGCATCTAGAACAAACCTAACAGATCACTCATTACTCATTGGGCATCAGCATACCTGTATGCAGGAGTGTTGCAAAGGTAGATGTTCGTAGATTTGTGAATTGCAACACGACTAAGACAGCACCGCAACACCATCCAACATGCACATAACCGGAAGACGCAATCACGCATTTGCCCCTGATCACCGCAGACCGCCTCGAGTAGGCGCCAGGAATATCCATGCAGACATCGAACCAGATTGCCAGACGGCCAGACAAGACAGCCGCCTTCCCCACCCATACATATATGTATGCAAAGGGTATATAAAAAAAAAAAAGCAAAGCATAAGACCTCAACACTCTCTGCAAAGGAAAACTCCGATATCGCCTGATTTCCTTTCGCCTGAGCTCACCACGTCTCCGGCCCAAACGACTGCCCAGCTGGAAGGACCGTCCGGATCGCCGTGTCCTGGAAGTCCATGGTCGACGTGACGACGTCGTTGCCCCACCAGCTCGGCGGGTTGATTTCGTTGAGGGTGAAGGCGAAGAAGATGACGAGCGTGCTGAGGGCCAGGCCGAGGTCGAGGCCCGACGACGTCAGGAAGTTGAGCCGGCTCCACCAGCCAAAGTGCCGCTTGCGGATCCAGTACTGGAAGACGAAGCCGACGATGCCCCAGGAGAGGTAGTTGAGCGGGCTGGCGGGCGGGATGAGGCCGGCCCCGCCAAAGATGAGCGGCGCCATGAGGAACTTGAAGGGCGACTTGGGCCACTTCCTGGCCGCGAAGTAGAAGATGACGGGCACGACGGCGCCGAGGGCGAAGAAGAAGAAGAGCGCCGAGTAGATCTGCCCCGGAGAGAACATCCGTGCCGGGCCGATGAGGCCCCAGATAACCGATGCTGTTGCGGTGAGAGATAACATTAGCATGAATGATTCATAGATTTTCCATCTCGTAAGGGATTTACCGGAAAAAAAGACGCGTCCTCCAGGACACGTGAAATGCTCAGGCTGTGTTGTTTCACAAACACCATCGATATTGTTGAGAGCAAAGTTTAGCACGGCAATCTGGATGAAGCAGGAGAAAGTGGTCGCTACGACCTGTGCCAGGAACATGGTTCGCGGCGGGATTTTCATGTAGTGACCGAATTTCAAATCAGCCACGAACCGCAGTGCTTGAGACATGGTGATGTAGCCAAAGGTCTTGAAACTAGATGTGATGACGTTAGTTAATAGCTACAGCTAGAGTTCCAGGGCTTGGACTCACATCATGAGGGCCAACGGCCGACCAGGTTGAATGTAGCCGTAGACGAATTCGGTCAGGACATTGAGGCCGATTTGGTTGTTTGTCACCGCTTCAATGATGCCAATGGGCAGCGCAAACCCAAAGGATATTACCACTGCCAGCAAGAATGCCCACCAGGTCAGGTTGGTAGGGTAAGCGAGGATGGTGATGAAGCCCAGAGCGAGCATCACACCAAACAGGCTCATATACCACCATGTGGGGGCCTCTTTGTACTTTCTCATTAGCTTCATATGTATGTCTGGCTTCTCCTTGGTGCTGTTCCTATACTGTCGCCAGATCGTCTTGCTGTGATGCAACCAGGTGTAGACGACGAGGGACGTGATCGCCGCAAATGACAAGCCGTACGACATGGCAAAGGTAGTGCTGTACATGATGGTCAATATTGAACAGGGGATTAAAGGGACAGCAGGGGCTTAGGTACAGACCTCAAGAATAGAGGCGAGTAATTCCGGTACGCCTCTTCGTCCAGCGTGAAGTCTGTGGTCAAGATACGGCTGACGTTGTACTTGGCCCCAGTGTTGTCATAGGTACTCGAATCGCTCATAGGCAGGAACTGAGCATACCAAGCACCGCTGTAATGCAGTATACTGGCGCCAATGACGAAGAAAGTAACGACACCTATCGAGATGTTGGCGATGGCGTGCCTAGATCAGGAGACTCCAATTAGTCAACGTGATACCCAAGGTTGCTCAAGCACCATTGCAATGCATACCAGGGTGGAATCAGCGGAGAACCAACGAATCCGGCTATCTGAGTCCAGTCAAACGTTATGGGGAGTATCGACAAGCCTGTAAGGCCACCAAAGAGCTGATTCACAACCGGATTCTTCGGGGCGATCCAGGTCGCAACCGCAAAAACGCTGAGGAACTGTGCGAAGAAGCCCGGAATGAAGTAGTACAGAAATGAACAGAGAGTTATGATGGCAAACCATCGATATCGCGGCATCGAGCCTCCTAGAATCGTAGGGTCGTTGGGAGGTGGTCTCTCATACATGGCATTCATCAACGTCACTGCCACAAGATTGCCTGGCCATATCATGGCGGCAGGGTACACTGAAACAACTTGTCAACATCGAAGAGTGTAAAATCTCACGGCCGCTTCTTGGAGACTCACCGAGGAATTTCCTCATAATACCAGCAATGCCGTATCCGAGAGACTGAGAGGATATGGTCAAGAGTAGCTGGAAGATCATACCAAAGTTCTGCTTGTAAAAAACTAGTTGAGCAAGTACAATGTCGGTAGCATACGCCACGGAGAATGAGACGCTAGCCATGACGACAATGATGGCATGTTCCTTGACGTTGAATGGCCCGGGATTCAGGGACCAACTAATCCCAAAGGTTGTGAACTCCTTGGACGGCATCACCTTTGCCCATCCATGGCCCATGGGCCAGGCAACAATCTGTGCCACCAATGGACCGACGCTGATAGATGGCTGTCGCAGGGAGAATATGGTGTTCATGGACGCCCCCGCGGTAACTAGCGTCAGTCCAATGACCCAGGCTCTCACAGTGTTGCAAGGGAGGTCTTCATCATAGTTCTTGACAGCAGCCCTGACTTCCGGGTAGGGCGAGTCCTCCGTGTCATGTTCGTCGGTACGCTTGGCGGCATCCTCGTCGTCGAAACTATTTGATGCAGCTCGATGGATGTCCAAGTTGTCCAGACGGATGTTGTATTCTTCGGGCATGTTTGGATCTAAGAGAAGTTCATGTTCTGACCCTTCTTCATCATCCTCGTCAGGCTTGTAGTTACGAGACTCACCCCACATGGAGAGGCGGTTCTTCAGCTCGTCGACGGGGTCAAGGTGGCGGTCAGAGGAACTGCTCAGCCTTGATGTCGCCGCCGTACCAGAGACCACCTCTCGTCCGCTGGCCTCCGCATCCTCCTTTAGGTCTTGATCTGGACCGTCGTTTGCCATGGTGACACTCGGAGCCGTACCGGACGGCTTCTCGTGTGGCAAAGGCGCTTCTTACAACGAAGGAGCGGTTCCACGATCAAAAGACCTAGAGGAGAACGAGCTGGGCACAGCGGCACTCTATATGGGGTTAAGACTGTCTACAAGGAGGCTGCTCGAACTTCCAGCCCGGGGTGCTGGGTAGGCTAAACCAGCTTTTGTTGATCGTCGGCTTGGATCAAGCAACAAGACAGCCTTGGCAGATAGCAGCAGGCTGATGCACAAGGAGCGCCCAAGCAATCCCCGGCACACTGATAACAGGCCAGGGGCGAGAATTGACTTGCTTTGATAGAGAAGAGATATCCAAAAGCCTTATAAGTTGCGGAAGGCGATTGGCTGGCGGGACAGAATGGCCCTGAACAACAGAGAGAGCATAAAGTCGCCGTGTGTCACCCGTCGAGATAGCCGATGGAATCAATGCGGCTATGGGGACCCTTCTCTCGTGCAATTGGCCGGCTCGAGCTTAACTGAACCTTGTCTCCTGGTCAGGTAAACGAGGTTTTCATGTGCTGAAAGTTGCACCGAAACAATGGTGTGTGATTGCTTGATGAGAGGTCTAGTTGGTGCTCATGCGTTTGATAGTTGGTGTTGGATCCAGGGATGTCCTCCAGGCAACGTCACTCCCTTGAGGGATATGGAAACTAGATATGTGGGCAGGTCCGAAGAAACCAAACATTCTGGAAATTCTAGAAAGAAGAGGTTTCAACAGATGCACGGTCTCATCGTCGTGAGCTTTCCCGCTGGAACCTCAATTGGTTGGGCGTGCTTATGAGACTCTCGGATCGTTATCTGGCCTCATCAGATATTATGAAACACTTGGAGCTTTGGAAGGACCTACCCTCAACAAGTCATCTCACTCCAAGACTTTGATACGTGGAAACAATGCTACAATACCTAGGTATGCCCAAAAGTTGCGATAAGAAAAACACGTCGTCAGTTCATTCTGCAGGAATGTGGCTTCGGGATCTCCTTTGTCCTGAGTTTGAGCCGTGGTGTGGCTGCCGCCGAAACCAGCGCATGAGCGTATGGCTCACAGGTGCGACACTGAGTCTTATCAAGGTGCCCGCTGTCAGCACCCCTGTGCTAGGCTTTGGAAGCGCCCCCACCACCTGCCTTTAGGCTGTCTAGAGCTGGATCCAGCCCTGTCCAGGCCCCAATTGCTTCACTTATCCCTCTATGGATTAGCGTCCACGGGCCCAATCTTGAGGTTTCCCAATTTGGGTCTCTATTAACAAACACTTCTCCAAGAGAGCATTACTAAGTGAGATAGCATCAAGTGTCTCCCATCACCGACAAACAGCACTATCTGTACCTGAAGCTTATTTCTCCTGTCTGAACACATAGCCACGGACTGACTAGCCATTGCTCTCTCGCGAGAACATGGCCGCGCCATGCAACGCCGAGTAGTTGTCACTGGCCTTGGGGCCATCACCCCTCTGGGGGTTGGCATCCGCCGTTCATGGCAACGACTTCTCGACGGCGAGTCGGGTATCGCAAGCGTGGCGCACTTTGAGCCACAGAGCAAATGGTCTGGCCTGACTAGCACTGTGGCTGGCGTTGTCCCTACCACCGTGGAGGAGACTGGTCACGAGGCCGGACTGTGGCGGGCATCAGATTGGATGAGTGCCTCGGAAGAGCGCCGCATGTCCAAGTTTGCCCAGTTCGCCGTAGCCGCATCGGAAATGGCCATGAAAGATGCTGGCTGGAGGCCTACGTCGCAGAGTGACCTGGAGGCCACCGGCGTTTGTCTTGGGAGTGGGATAGGCAATCTGGATGAGATGTACAACACAAGTCTTGCATATGAGAAAGAGGTAAACCCATCTATCCACGACTGCCGCGCTACGAGTATTAACTCTTGTCTCCGAAGGGATACAAAAAGGTGTCGGCGTACTTTGTGCCAAAGATCCTCATCAATTTGGCCGCAGGCCATATAGCAATGAAGTACGGCTTTCAGGGGCCCAACCACTCTGTCACGACGGCTTGCACGACTGGAGCGCACTCCATCGGCGATGCGTCGCGGTTCATAGCTTGCGGTGATGCCGATGTTATGATCGCGGGCGGAGCAGAGTCTTGCATCCACCCTCTGACATTTGCGGGCTTCGGCCGTTCCAGATCGCTGGCCACTTCCTTCAACCATGACCCTGCAGCGAGCTGTCGGCCCTTTGACAAAGACAGGGCCGGCTTCGTCATTGCCGAAGGCGCGGCCACTGTCGTATTGGAAGAGCTAGAGCATGCCAGAGCGCGCGGGGCACGTATTCTGGCCGAAGTCAGGGGCTACGGGTGTAGCGGCGATGCTTATCACATGACGGCACCCCGTGAGGATGGGAGAGGTGCCTTTTTGGCTATGAGACGGGCGCTGAGGAATGCCGGGATCAGACCCAAGGAGGTCGACTACATCAATGCTCACGCAACCAGCACACCAATCGGGGATACAGCCGAAGTTGCTGCGATCAAATCAATCATGCTGGGCGAAGATGGCGTTTCCAGCGAGTCCGAGGTCACGGTCAGTAGTACCAAAGGAGCTATTGGACATATGCTTGGGGCAGCAGGTGCAATCGAGGCTGTTCTTTCGATCTTGTCCATCGTCGAGGTAAGTCAATCTCAAGGCTTCAGACCACAGGATACAGGGGACACATTGCTGAACAACGCACAGGATGTCGTGCCCGCGACACGCAATCTCTACTCGCCCAAAGTCAACGCAGGATTTAACTTTGTACCGCATCACCCTCAGGAAAAAGAGGTGAACGTGGCCATGTCCAATAGTTTCGGTTTCGGAGGTACCAATGCCAGTTTGGTGTTTTCGAAGCTCCGGTGAACATCGGAGCGGGTCCATCATCGAAACCTTTTCCGCTCATAACCGCTCACACCTGTAATCCTATGTAGAACCGCCTTGTGTAATAGTATTCATGAGGAATGTACAGCCTCATCAAGTAATATATGTGATTGACCAAATTGAAGAAACATACTCTCAATCAATTGAGTTCAGATGTGAATTCACATGCAAATGCATGTTCAATTTAAGATTGGCGACGCGGCGCATTTACTTTTCACCGACACGCCAATTAGCGTCGCTCCATGACGCGAATATTCTTACCCCGGTCGCAAAAGATTCCACCAGCCCGTAGCGTCAGGGTCGTCCTTTTCTCTCGTCAACTCCCTCTCAGAGAGCACATCGGCCATGGCTTGTCGAAGCTGCAGGTCGTCATTCGACCTCCTGACGGGGCTCGTCGGACCCGCTCCTTCCAGGAGGGCCTCCAATGCCTTTCTGCGCAACAGCAAACCCTCCCGCGTCCTGTCGGTCCAGGCCCGGAGCTTCCACCGGACGCAACAGCGGCGCAGCCAGAACGATGTGCCCAAGCCGGCCTCGACGCAGGAGCAAAGCTCCGGGGTGATGGACAGCATAACGGGAGCCGCGGCAAGGATAATGCAGAGGACGGCCGAGCCGTACCGCGTCTACGGCATGACAGATCAGCTCTACAAGAGCTGCTCGAAGCAGGCGGCGTACAAGATCTCCAAGGAGGACCGCAAGAACGGTACAGTGGCAACGACGGAAGATGGCGAAGAGATTGGCGTTGGCGGCGGCACATGGCACGATGGTAAATTCTGCCCCCCTCCTGCAGGAGATATTGCTTCCGTCCGACCGAACCTGGAACTAACGTGATGCGCCTGTTGGAAAAACAGACTTCGGCCTCCCCGCGAGCTTCAGCACCTGGTCGCAAGTGACCATGCTGCACATGTACCTCATAGTAACGCGCCTCCGCTGCCTCGAGAAGGAGGGCTTTCTCCACTGGCAGGCCCAGCTCGTCGACCACTTCTTCCACGAGGCCGAGGACAAGATGGACCTCGTGCACAACATCTCGTCGCGCATGATACGGCAGCGCTACCTCAAGGACCTCTTCCACGAGTGGCGGGGGCTCATCCTTGCCTACGACGAGGGCGTCGTCAAGGGCGACGCCGTGCTGGCGGCGGCCGTGTGGAGGAACCTGTTCAAGGCGCGCGAGGACGTCGACCTGCGCTCGCTCGCCGCCATTGTCAGCTGGATGCGCCACTCGCAGCGCCAGCTCGACCAGATGGAGGATGCCGCCATCATGTTCCACGGCACCTCGGCGTTCAAGTTCCCGGCCAAGTCGGAGCTTCTCGTGGTGGACAGGCCCAGCCAAGGACTGGACGGAACGTTGGCCTCGCAGCTGTCTCAAAATTAGGTCCCTTGCGAGGACCGCCGACTGTACAGGAGGGAGTACGGCCGAGATTGTACGAATTTGTATGAACTGGTGAAAATATCAGCACCGTGTAGTATACTTGCATCAACTGGTGGGATTTGGGAGGGTTCTCATAGAAGGTGTGGTGCATCTGGGTAAAGCAAAAAAACCAAAGCCCTTGATTAGTACAATGATTCTACATATCGCAGCATGTAATAATACCCTCTCTCTATCTCAATCTACCCTCTCCCACATCTGGAACTCGTACTCGGCATTGTTCTCAACCTGCACGCCGCCCGCGACCTCCTCACCAGCCCACCTGTCGAGCTCCTCCTTACTCTTCCTCACCCACCTCCCGCCCTCCGACGGTCCGTCCCCGTCCTTGCCCTCCTCCCGCAGCGCGAGCGGGAAGTGCGTATCGCACTCAAAATCCGTCAGCACCCTCGTCAGCAGCACGCGCCTCGCCTCGGCCAGCTTCAGCGACGACGCGTAGATCTGCCCGCCGCCAATGACGAACACGCGCGCCACGGCGCCCGACGCGGCCCGGGCCCGCAGCAGCTCGAGCGCCTGCTCCAGCGACCCGGCGCGCAGCGGCTGCTGCGCCGAAGGGTCCTCTTCTGAGCCGTGCAGCTGCGGCTGCGGCTGCTGGCCACCAGAGGCAAAGGACCGGCTGACGACGACGTTGAGCCGGTCCTTGAGCGGGCGGAAGCGCGGCGGTATGCTGTCCCAGGTCTTGCGGCCCATGATGACGGCGTTTACGGCCGGCGCCGGGGACGGTTGCGTAGCCTGTTTATCAACGATATGTGTCTCAGTATGCGTCCGTAACTTTTGACTGGCGTTCCTTACAGCAGATGTGGGGGGCAGTCGCTTGGTGACGCGGGCAAAGTAGGCCATCTCCTTCTTCAGGCCCGTCCACGGCAGTGTGCCGCGCAGGCCGATGCCCATGTCCCGCGTGGCGGCGACGACGAGGGTGAGCTCCAGGGGTGACGGCGGCATGCTGGTTGACTGTACTCCTGCAGATCCTGACGTTGAAGAGGCGGCGTCGGCTGGCATCTTGCGGCCAGTAGAGTAGGGTCAGGCCTGATTCTCAGCTCGGGCGAGAGGCAAACAGCCAGGCAGGGAAATCAATCAAGGTGATTGGAAAAGATGCCAGGTTATCCTTGGCCAATTGTCACTCAGTCAACGCCGCTGAACGATTCCCTGGTGATACAGGCTGAAAAGGGAAGTTCGATCAATTAGACGCGCTTGTGAAGATGCCCCACGTTCAGGACGCGCAGCACTTAACAAGGATACCTCCCTAGCTCTCAGCGGCACTAAAGATCAACGGCACCAAAAAGGGAAGTAGAATGGATGAGCCAAGATCGAGTCTGTCTCTCGACCGTACAATATGTGTATGAAACTGATCATTCGCTCGATGTTGCTAAATCCTCATTGTTCTCAAAGCTTCTAGAAGCTGTCCTTTTGTGGGGAATACCGATATGCATCTCGACAAGGTTGCCCTGGGGGCCATGTCGAATATGATATCCAACGAAGCAAACCGTCCAACTCAAAGCACGTAGCCGCTCGTGCCAACACACTCCCATTCTCTCACTGCCATGCCCTCTTCAAGCTCTACACACCACCAAAGCACCTCCTTGGCCTTGTCCAGCTGGTCGCTCTCCTCGTAAGCTCTCGCAAGCGCGAACCATGCTTCCGAGTAGTTCCAGCCCGTGCCCAGCTTCGTCAGGCCCGAGAGCAGGGCATGGGCGCGATCCCGTGCCGCCAGCCTATCCATGGCGGGGAACGACGTCGCTTTGTAAGGCGGAGGTAGCTCCGACGTTGACTTTGGCTTGCCCGTCGTCCACTCACCGTCCTCGTCGTTGAACAGTGCGTCCTTATTGCCCTCCTTTGAATCTCCCGACTGTGTCTTGTTGAGGCCAAGAGGGGCGGTAGGGAAGGGTGACTGAACAGCCTTCTTTGGCCGACGCACAACTTCGGGGTTTGGTATGAGGCTTTCCGAAGTGTGCATCGTCGGAGCCGAGCCATCGGCGAGCTTCATCGGAGGAATCACGGGTGGTGGGAGCACGTTCTCGCAGTAGATGTCTAACAGAACGTTAGACAAGCCAACGATGGCCTTGGGATGATCGGGGAAGTGCGTCAGCGCTGTTTCGAACTCGCCGCGAGCCACGAAGACAGCGTCTCTTGCCAGAGAGAGTTGACCCATCTGATTTTTTATTCGTAAGTTTCTTGTCACCATCATCTTCTTTCAAATGCTAATAGTGGACTCACCTCGGCCAGTACGTCTCCCCAAAGCTCATCGACACATTTCTTCCCGCCCCACCCAATGCGCCTGAGCGCCGCCGAGTCGGGCGATTCCTTGGTGATCTCGGTTTCTAGAGTCTGAACCAGCTTCTGAGCTTCTATCACGGCCTTGGTGGCGTCATCGTGCATCTCGGCCTTGCGGTAGAAGCGAGCAATCATAAGCCAGACCTTGACGAGGATTGCTCCCCTTCTCCTCCGGTGGTGTTCCTTGGAGAATTGAACAAGTGGAAGGAGATTTGAGGTAGACTCTACACTTTCCACAGAGACCTCCCCTCCGTCCGAGGTCCGTGATCTCGATGACGTGTACGAATCCATGTGTGAGAGATGCCTCTTCATAGAGACAGGCGGCCCGCCCGACGAGGCCTGGCGGCGGTTGGCGAATTGGAAAAAGTCCAGACCTTGGTAACTATCGCCCACAGGAGTAAAATAGTTCTCTCCGTCGACCACCGTCGGCTGATGTGGTACAGCTCCGATGCTCGACGCGCGCCGCCGATGTCCGCTGCTATCCCGTTTGCGAAGACTGCTTCTCTTATGAGACTGGCTTCTGCGGTCATTCGTGCCTGCAGACGTTCGCGCGCGCGCGGGCTCGTCCCTGGTCCCGTTTTCTCTCGTGATTTGGATGGTCGGTGCCTGCGTGCTTGCGACTGTTTGCATCGTCGTCGGCCGCGAGACCCCTTGTCCTGGCTTTTCGTTGTTGCTCATGATGCTTGTGCGTCGGGTCCCTGGCCGCCCCGACTTCTCTGAGCTTCTCCCGAAAATACTTCCCTTGATACTCCGCAAGGTGCCGGCCGAGCTTTTTGGAACCTCGGTTGTCTTGGGAGCGGCCAATGCTGCTCTAGGTTGGAGATCTCCAAAGAGTCGGTTGAAAAGACTTAACAGCTCGAGACTGGCATTTACAGCAGTGGTAGGTCCCTCCATGACCTCAAGCAGGGCCAGTTGAGTCATCTTGACCTCCAAGATGCCTTCCTTTTCGTAGTCGTCCATATCATCAACTACACCTCTGCTCCCCTCGTGCACCTTGCCGTTCATCTCTTCCGCCTCGTTGAGATGGTCACTCCTGTATAGCTGTTCGGTCCCGAACAATATGGTGGGGTCTTTGAATTGCTCAAGTGCTCCTTCACATGCCCGAGCTGCCATGATGTAGTCCTGTCTCGCGCTGAGAAGAAGGGATAATAGATGCCAGAGCGGAATCAGAGCCCGCTCCTTCCAATATCGCCCATGGTAGATCTCTAGGCCCTCCGTAGGCGATTTGTTCGCGAGAAGTGTGGTTTTGACAAGCTCGATGGCAGTGGTAAGCTCCCGCTGCTCCGCAAGAAGCACTGCCAGAGCGAACATGCTTCTCAGATCGGCCACAAGACCATACTCGGGAGATAGGGATTTTCGCAGGCAGCTGATCGCCTTGGATCGGATGTCTACTCGCGTAGACGACTCGTATGTCACGCGGGCCCATTGTGCATGGGCCAGCCCGAGAGCCTGCCAAGCGAGGGCTTCCACTCGGGGAGGGAACGACTGCCCCGAGTTGGTCAGCGGTATGCTCCCTTCGTCCATCGCCGGAGAATGAGAACCAGGCTTCGCGCTCAGTTTGTGCAGGGTCTGTTCCAGTTCGATGCTCAGTTCTCTTGCCTTCTCAGCCGCCTGCCTGTCTCCATAGCGGCATAAAGCATTGATGCAGGTCGAGATAGTCTCTATCAATGTTGCGTCGTCGTCCAGACTTGGTTCCTGGTGGCCAGTCTTGGCGACGCGAGCTTTGCCCTTCTTGACCAAGCTGAGATACGAGTCGAACGCCTTGAAAGCTAGATCAAACTCGGCTACGGAGAGATGGACGATGAAGAGGTGGCGAAGGATGGAGGTCGAGTGGTATGTCTTCATGGACGCTCGATAGAGTATGTCGAGGACACCCCGGCTCAGGGTCTCCTTCCCCCCCTGACCAAGGTCCTGGTCTATCCAGCCTCGACCGCTGAGTATTGTCCAGTTTTTGACAACCAAATTAGTGAAGATCTCAACTTCCTCTCTCTCTTCGTCAGCTCTTGGAAATTCCGTCTCCTTGAGAAGCAATGCCTCATACGCCGCTTCAACCTTCTTTAGCTCAATGCGAAGCTGATTGCGCGCAGACGAGTCGTTGGAGATCTTGGGGACATGGCCAGTCGGAAAGGGCAAATCACTCTGTAAGATCGTCGAGAGAGCTGAATAATATTCGAACCAAATCCGTCGACGAGCCACAGAGCCTCGGAATCCGTAACCGCCAGGAAGTGAAGCACCCTTCGAAGCCTCCCAGTACTTTGCCCACGACCTGTAGCCCGCCAAACAGTTCGCATCCTCCAAGCTAGTTTCCTCGAGCTCTACCGTCCTGCTGGAAAGCATACAGAACTCGGTCAGAAACAGTTCTGACCAGTAGCGCGGCTGCGTTTTGGCTTGGGGTCCACCCCATGTGCTTGAAAGAGCCGGAAGACCCTCTTCGAAGACTGCCAGGGCTTCTTGTCTCTGGCCATTGCGCGCTAGGCAGTTGGCTCTGAGATAGGCCGACTTCATGGCACACACCCTGGTCCATTCTGACACCTTTTCGGGGTTCTCTGTGAGAGTGTTGTCCTGCTCGAAGCCTTTCGGTAGGCGCACGGCCGCAAGACTGTATTCGCCCACCACCCAGTGCAGCCACCCGACACAGACCTGGGCTTGGAACCTGTCCTCAAGGTGGTCCGTTTCGCCATCGACGGCAGAGAGCAGTTTCGGCAGCAGACTGGAAGCGTCGAGGTCCTTGGCGGTTATTGCAGGGGATGATTTCTCGGCGACGGGTAAGTTCCTGGTTGCTTTCTCGATCGCGACCTCCGTCTCAGCAGTCAAAACGAGACCTATAGTGCCAGAACTTAGTGAGTGGTTCGCGAAGGAAGAGGAGTCGAGTTGCAAACCCACAAGCTCTCTCGGGGGCATGCTTCTTGATCTTGCGGACGAGCTCAGGCACCGCCTCCCAATTGCCATTGCACCGCGCAGCATCGAGCTGCGAGATATACTGCGCAGCTTTTGCGGGATCGTGCTTTATGAAATCGCTGGGTAAGTATGCGTACGTATGACCTTCTGAGAGCCTCAAAGACACTCTCGCTCACCTTCATTGTGCCTGCGTAACCTGGGAATATCAGGGGTAGGTCAGGGTATCAGAGGTGTCAAAGGTGTCGCATGAAAAAAAGAATGAGGAATCTTGAAGGCCTGAATGTGCTATTGACTGAACGGCAGCTGCGCATCAAGGCATGCAGCCGTCATTATCAACAGCAGCGCCTTGTTCACAAAGATGTCCTAGGGTTGGAACGAAGCTGGGATCAACAGCGTCACTTTTCTTTGGAAGTCACAGACGCGGTGAGTGCTAGCCTCATTGCAAGCTGCATTGGGTGCGACACTAGCCCACCTCCAAGTGGAAAAGACGGGATCTTACAGGGGCCGGGCTTGGCTGATTGGCAACATCAGCCTGTGACAGAGCGGCCCTTGGACCATTGGCTCAGCACGTGTATCCGCTGCTAAAGCTGTAGCTCAGCCTGAAAGCCGCTAAGAAGAGCGCCAACCGCATCCATGATCGATAAGAGCTTCGAGATGCTGATATGAAATTTTTCATGAGATTTCGACTTTCTGGCTTATCAAAAGGCAACAGAAGAGTTACTTCAACCCATTGAGGGCTCACCACAGACTTCTACGGCAGTTTTCCGAATTCATGTCGCATGCCTCCGGACAATCAACCTCATCGGGTATTCAAATGAGAGTGTCGGCATATTGCAAGGCTTAGCGACCTCCAAATTCTCCTCATCTCAGTCTAAGCCACAGAGGCTTCCACGGGCTGTAACAAATAACACACCCAGCGCAAGTCAAGACTTCGAGAGCGGTCATGTCAGTCCCTGTGGATCTACGGGTTCTCTGCCGACGACTGGCATCAACACCAGTAGGAGACCTACCTGGCTTGTGTCCAGTTCTAGTCAGCCATGTCCTACGCTGCAGTGGCCCATTGTCATCACCTCTGGAGCCGAAAAACAAGGAGGGTGTCAATGAGTCCTCTATGCTTGTGAACAAGTTTAGAACTCAAATCAACACCCTTTTGAATGGAAAGACCCCTCAAGGCCGTTTTGTAGCGGTCGTTCTCATCAAGTCGGTGATCGATGTTGGTGGTTGGGAGTGCTTGCGGACATCAGGCACCTGGGTCAGAGGACTACTCTCAGTTTTGCAGGTCTGTATCTTATTCCTTGATTCTCTCAAACCTTTACACGCACTGACTCATTACAGAAACCGGATCCAATAGCCTCCAAGGAGTTGTGCGTGGTAACTCTGACCAAGATATACAGCCTTCTTCATAGCTATCAGACTCTAGTCAGGGAAATTGCCACGCCTACGGTTGGCAGTTTTGTCACTGCATGCTTGCAGATCATCAAACCCTCCGGTACCGACAGGTTACCCCAAGCTCCTCTGCAGGTTGTCGAGACTGTGGTCAACGCTCTCTTCACGATAGTTCCCTTGTTCCCCACCACTCTCCGCCCTTTAGCTGCGCAGATACGCGCCGCCGTGCGAGTCTATATTGCACCCACTACGTCGGACAAGATCATCATTCCAAGGTCTTTGAGAGTGGTTAGCCGTCATCTCGTCATCTCTCTCCATCAGACAGCTCCCAAGAACGGTGTTGCAGAAGAGTGGCAAAAGTACTTTGCTTCAACGATTAGGGTCTGCCATTCAACATCAGACCAAGTCTTTCGTGCTGTTCGGGAGTCGTGGGAGCCATCCTCAAACCACGAACGGACCGAGATCTCATTTGACGAGGATCCCCAGGGAGGTGGTGACGCTGCCGAGGAGCTGCCAGCGTGGACGGGTTTGCAGAGCGGAGGGGAAAGACTGACAGGTCTCCTCGAGTTGCTCGTGCAGTTCTACCAATGTCCATCAAAGAGCCCTGTAGCTCTTTCTCTCGCAACATCCTCGGACCTGCTGATGCGACTATCCCTGGTGCTCCCTCCGGTTCCGGGTACGCAGGAACGAGACTCGTCCATCACACTTAATCCGAGCGTCAGCCGGGAGGAGAGAGAAGAGCTATGGAGTGCGCTACCAGATGTTCATCTCGCCACTCTACATGTGCTTCTAGCCATGATCAAGAGGCTCGACTCCCATATTCTGGCACAAGTCTCTGAGATGCTGGAGTTGACGATAAGGGTGTTCAAGGCCAGCCGACCTGACACCCGGATACGGGAGGCCGCTTTCGTCATCATTCGGGAGCTTCTGTTACTTTCAGGCCCGACTTTGTCAAAGGCGGCGGTCGACCCACTTGACGTTCTCATCCAAGCTTGCTGCCACGACATACTCTGTGCGGCTGGGTATCTCGAGGCTGAGAAACCCCAAGCCAACCCCAGCCCCGCCTCAAACGGCGCGAAGTCCAAGCCTACAGCTACCGCCAATGCAGATCTCTTCCTCTCATCCAAGGACAGCACATCCTCATCCACACCCCTGGTCCGTTTATCCGCGAGCCACCAAGAAGCTGCTGGATCGCTGCTTGCAACCTTCCTCTCCCACCTCCCCCAGGAGCACCTCAAGAAGGCCGAGCGCGCCCTGCTGGACCGCACGGCCATCCTCTCGGGCACCAAGAGCGCGATGGTCTCCTCCGTCCTGCACCCGTACATGGACAAGAGTGGCAGGTACTTTGCCAACACGCTACCCTTCCTGACGCAGCGGTACCCTCACGATCCCGACGTCGAGATCCTCCGAACCAATATCCGCTCAAGACCATATTACTTTGGCGATGTTCTGGGCCTGAGCACAAAAGACGGCGCAGCAGGGCTGACGAATGGCGACGAAGAAGCTGCAAACGCAGGTGGTGAGACCGCAGGGTCTTTCTGGGGCGCGGCAGGGACAGACACCGCAAAGACCGCCGCCACTCGGAGTGGTTTCGGGGCCTTCGGCTCTATCTCCGATGACGTCGATATGGTTGAGGCTGTAGCCGAGGGAGAGAGCGAACCGGTGCCCGAAGTGGACGAAGAGCCAGAGCCGGTAGTGGAGGCCATGACACTGAAGCGGAAAAGTGTCGATGTCGAAGTCGAACCCAGCGCCGCCAAGCGAATTGACACGGGTAAAGCGCCAGAGCAGACCTCGCTAGCGGAGGCAGAGAATCATGATAGCGGCGAAGATAGTGACAGCGATGGAAGCGTCCACCTAGACATGGTGCTGGATGATGAGGACGATGATGAGGATGAAGACTAACAGTCGAAATACTGTAAATAGCTTTGATTGCAATTCTGTACCAAAGATCCCCGTCTACCTCACTATGATGAAGGACCGGGAGGGTATATCCGTGGGAACAGGGGATGCATGTGCATCCACCACCCGTCAAACTATGAGATAAACAAAGATGGTTGTGTGCCATACATGACTTATACAGGTGGGCATCACCTTTCCTAAAGGACTGCTCTCAGTCCACGTGGTCAAAGTCCATCGCCAAACCTATTCCTGAAGGCTGCTGTCCAAGTTTTCCGCCCTTGACCCACCCCTGTCTGCAACGCCAATTTGGAAATGCTCAAAATCCTGTTTCGTGATGCCGTTTTACACATGCTGCGCTATGCCTTCCAAGAACTCCTCCATCAAACAAGCTGACGTGAAAGTCTGCAAAGAAAAAGGGGAGGGGAAAATCTAGTCTCGCAGCCAGGCACGGCGCTTCTCCTCCTTCTTGGCGCGTCGCTTCTCCTTGAAGGCCTTGAGCTCAGACTTGGACGGCTTCTTACCGCTGCGCTCAGCCTTGAGGCTCCGCCCGTTGTGAGCGTTGGCGGCAGCGTCGACGTCGAAGTAGGCGTTCATCTGGCGGTTCGACTTGGCATCGTCGCTGTGACGCGAGGGCCCCTGATCCGCGGTCTGAAACTTGCCCGTGTGGCGGTTGAAGAAACCTCCCGAGACGTAGAGCAGGCCTGGGTCGGGCAGCGGCTCCTTGGGGCCCCCATCCTCGGGCTGCTGGTAGCCCTGCGCATACCAGGCGTTCGGGTCGTAGTCGCCATGGATGGCAGGATTGTAACCGCCGACAGGCGCAGAGCCAGGTGGCGGAGCTAGAGGCTCGGTTGCAGCATCGGTGCCCGGCGCAGCTGCGGGTGCAGCGGCGGCGGCAGACGGGACTCGCGGGTTGTCCCACTGGGTCTGATGTGTGAAGCGGTTGAAGAAGAACCAAGCGTTGTGGGTGGCGTCCCAATGACAGTCCCAGCCGTCATCAGAAGGGTCTGCCGCGGACCCAGGCGCGGGTTCTTGAGGCAAGGGAGGAGCAGCATCGGGCGCGGGCTCTTGAGGTAGGGGAGGAGCTGAGTCTAATTCACCAGATTCGACTGAGCCGGTCTCGCTTCCAGCGGGAGAGTTGCTACGAGATCGGTTGGTCGTCGTATCGGCGGCTGGAGAGGTGCCTGTGCCACCCGGCGATGACAGTGGAGGGGTTCCGTTGCCTGGCTGATCAGATCCTTCAGCCACTTCGGCTGCAGAGCTCTTGGACGCCGCAGGTGACGACATCTTGACCGATGTAAAGGCGCGGCGTCTCAGAACAATATGATTGAAGAATGGTGGCTAGAGCGTCGGGGGACGAGTTTCGAAGCTTCGACTGCAATTGAGGTGGAAAATGCTGGGTATGAGGATGCAGGAGGGGCCACTGGCGTCTCATCGTGGGATTTTGGACTCGTACATCCTCAAGGCCTCAACCACACCCTCTGAGAAACGGTGTCGATGACTTCAGTGCCCTGGAAATTCAAGTCCAGCGCGCCGGGAGTGAACGAGACGTCAATTCGGTGCGCATTTAGTTTATTGCGGCTGCTGGCCCAGTCCCAGCCATTGGCTGAGCCGTGCTCCACTCTGACATACTTGATCCCCATCAAATGTCACCGAGTGCACAGACCAAGGCAAGTTTGGGCTTGGACGTATTTGCCATGCACTGAGATACCTCTGCTACATAATTCGTATCTCATCGCTGTGGTGAATCTGAGGCTCGACCTCACTTTCCAACAAGGACTTGGACTTCATCTTTCTGTGCTTTGTGGCTCAGTTGCTGACATCTTGTATCAAGGCCTTTATCAACAACTCAAGGCTCTGCTTTCATTTCGATGCTTTGATCAATGTCGTAAACACAGAAACCGTTTCAGCCTCTCAGGTCTCGAGAAAGACTCTGCATCTCTCTGAATTATTAGAGCATTGAAGCTCGTCGTCTAGCGGTTACCGTCTGTTATCTTTCCCCTGATAGATACTGGAAATGATTTCCATAGCCACGCAAGCCGCGCTGGGACGGGTGCTACTGTGGAAGAATTCGCAAATGAAATGCAGCCAGACGGCTGGCCGGAACATGTCGCAATCCCGGCTTGACTGCTGGCGAATATAAGCGGGTAAGTGCACGCGCATTGCAGACGCCCGATCCTCTGCAACTCTCTCTATATTGCCCAGCATCTCTGAGGACGGTATTTTCTCCCTTCTTGCCCCCTCATTGGCGCTTTCGAGTCTCGGCCCCAGGTAGGCTCGCCATCCTTGGTGACTCCTGGACCTGGGATCTTGAGGTAGGACTGTTTCTATTCTTGCGGCTGCCTCTATCTTGGCTAATTTCGAATTGATTTGATTGCGACGGGCTTTGCGCGTTATCATGTTCGCGTCTGTGGTTATCCTTGCTTGTCCGTGGGCAAATCCGACGAGATCTCCTGAGATCGCTGTTATGATGTACACAGTAATATTTCTACCGGGTTTTGTCCTTTCATCGCCCGGCGTGCTGGTGACTAGTAGTTCTGTTCATCTCCTGTCCTTTCAGCGCGGTCTTGCTAGGTGTTCTTCCACCTCGGTATTGACAGGATCACGGTCTGATCTGGATGGAGTGACTGAGAAGCCCAGTCACCGCACTCTCAACTCATCGCAACCCACAACCCACAACCCAACAGGAAATCGGAAACATCAAGCTAGTTCGGGCAGTTGAAGGCATAATGGCTCTTCTCAGGCCATCACTGGCGTCTCTGGCGACGATATGGCTGATCCTCGTCTCAAACTTGATCTCGTCGACTGCCGCCGCCAATTATCCCCTGACGAACGACTCGAGGTGCGACTGCTATATGACGAATGGCTCAGACACGGCCAATTTCACTCGTCATGCATTCTTTGACTTCCGCGAGCTTGAACAGTACCAGGGCACTCCGGCGCTCTTGGGAGGTTTCCAAGAGGCCTCCACCGCCATGACGACCAGCGACTTCTTCCTGTCGGAACAGTGGGCGTCCATGTGGGAGATTCAGACGTGGACGAACATCGGCACCGCCAACACGACGATGAGGAGGGTCAACTCGCGCAACAACGTCTACATCGAGCAGAACACGGACGAGAGGCCCTCCTCCAAGACGTGGCTGTCGCTGCGCACGGCCCGGCAGGCCGACTTCCAGTCGACGGCCGAGATCGTGTCGAGGAACAAGACCTACCAGTACATCTCGATGAGGATGCTCGCGCGCACGGTGGGCAGCCCCGGCGGCTGCACGGCCATGTTCACCTACCACGCCGACGACCAGAACCGCGTGCAGGAGGTGGACCTCGAGGTCCTCACCAAGTACCCCAAGGATCAGGTCCAGTGCACCAACCAGCCGGCGCTCGACGCCAACGGCGACCTGATCCCCGAGGCCACAGCCAACGTCACCTTGCCCAACGGACTCCACTGGACGGACTGGGCCGTCTACCGGCTCGACTGGACGCCCAAGCAGAGCACCTGGTACGTCAATGGCGAGCAGCTCACCAACATCTCGTTCCAGACACCCCACGAGGCGAGCAGGATCCACCTCAATGCCTGGAGCGACGCGGGCAACTGGACGGGCAAGATGGATGTCAACACCGAAGCCCACCTGCAGGTCCAGTGGTGGGAGATTTTGTTCAACTCAACCAGTCCCGATATGCAGAGGCAGAGCTGCAGGAGGCTCTGCAGTGTCGACGAGACCCCAGTCACGGGCCAGCCAGTCAAGATCAGCCAGGGTTCAAGGTTGGTAAACCGGAGTGCGACTCTAGGAACACTCGTTAATTGGATTCCAGGGCTTGTCGTGCTCGCCCTCCTCGTGGTGTGAAGCGCAACCAAACTTGAGCGTAGATCTGCAGGAAAATGAAAAATAATTTTGTCATAAATTACATGCAAGGGGAGTGAAAGAAGGGCGTTTGTTCTCCATTTCTTTTTTATATTTGTGTGCTATACATCGAATTCCCCCTAGATTTCGCTAAGAGAATAGAGTCCGTCAGCACCTTACGGTAGACCGGTTTGGATTTCTCCTAAACTAGTCTTATGCCTTGTCTCTGCCCAAAACTCTGGATAAGGGATGGCCAGCCCGGAACGGGCGACTGTTCTCACACGCAATGACTTGGCGCACCTTGTCGTCAATTCCGATGGTCGGTGGAAGTCGATGTGAACAAGCCAAACTCTCCTCAAAAGAGCTGTGATCTTTCCTTCTGGTGGGAGAGATCAATTGCAATGGCAGAGAGGCAGGCCCAGCTCTCGGCTCGTGGCTAGGTAGCCACTTGTACAGCACCGAGCAGTGGCGTGCTGCTCAGCCTGTAGGCATGATGTGATAGTTCAGGTAATGTGTTCCATTTCGTGGGAAACGACACCGACGACAAGCCTTTCACCTCCGCTTTCGGCGAGCAGCGACCAGCTTCTTGTAATGGCCCTTCTTGCCGCTGCTCTTCCGTGTCTGAATGTCATCGTATCTCGTCTTGAATTTGGCATTGGCATCATCGGCAGCCAGGACTTCTTCCACAATCGTTCGTTTTCTCTCCTTCCGTGTCAGACGGGCGCTGTAATACTCGGTCGGTCCCTCAATGATAGTTCCGCGCTGGCAAAAGTCCGGTACCAATTTCTGGCGCGTGTCCTTCCTGAAGAACTTCTTTGAATCAAGTACAGAACGGAGGCGGAGCACTTGCAGATCTTTCTTGAGATCCTCGGTGAGGTTTGTGCGCGGCATGTTGTACCAATCCGGTCCAGCGTTCTCGGCGACACCCTGCTTTGTCAAGTTAGCTTTCTAATTGGCAATGCTTCTAAGACAGACTCTAGAGAGGCTGCAAAAAGAAAAGGTGTTTGAAGGTCTCCGTCAGAGTAACTATGAACTAAAGATAATCATCTTGGTGCAGAAGCGTCCCCCATGACGGGGTAGCTATCCGCGTCATTGATTGTTTGGGATAGATTTTCATCAGAGGAGCGAGATGTGACAGGATTGTTCCAAGCAGACGCTGAGACATGTACAACATACCTTATTCTTCTTAGCATCCAGCTCGGGTGTTCGTACCGTCAATCCTGCGGAGGACTGCTTTGCTTTCTTGTCGGCGGCCTGAGTCTTGTCGGCGGTGGAAGGAACAGTAGTCAAGGCGGTGGAGTGGTCTTGAGGCTTGATCAGGCTCTTTTCTGGCGGTGCTTGCTTCGATGCCAAGCGCAGCTCAGCATCTCTGAGAAGCTTTTCAACCTCATCGTCGAGCAAGTCGACTGTTGGGGCAGCCATGTTGGTGGTCGCTCTGTGTCCCGTATTTGGAGACATTGCAGAACAAGCGGCTCAAAGCAGAGCTCACAAAAAAAAAGTTGCAGGTAAAGAACCCTCGGGACTGTGCTTCGCTTCAAGTGGGGCTCGCGCCCGTGCGCTCGCGGGACCATCTAGGGCGCTAATGGAGGAACATAAAGCCGTTTACCGATAATTTCCTCAACTCGATTGATGCCTGAGGCGCCAAGAACGACAGCAAAGGCACAACGTCACACATCACACCAGCAAGGCATGGATTTTATGCAGACCTGGAAGTGAGGCTGGAGCTACTGTGACAGTTGGCAGGCCCACGAGTCGCAAACTGACTAGAGTGCCAACACAACCTACCACACCACACGCGCCCCCAAAACAGCCCAGCCCAGCCCACATCATCAGCGTTCCGAGCAGTTGGGCTTGCAAGTACCTACTCCGTGCGTACTACTACAGCGTAAGCTCCCTCTTTTTCTGGGCTCATTCTGGTTGCCGCCGCCATCTGCCTGCCTCCCGACCTGCCTGCCTGCCTGCATACCTACCTCTCAGCCACAGCTGGCCGCAAGTGCACTCTGACCATTTTACCTCGATTATTATCGCACTGATGCCCAACCATCTTTCTCTCTCACTGACCGCTGCTCTTATTTCTTGACAAGATTTCTGGGAAAACTCCAAATCTTTCCACTCGGAAACGTCATCGTGAGAATTTCTCGGCATTTTCACATTGTCGTTCTTCCATCCTGCGCCCTCGGCCGTTTGATCTCGTCTAAGTCGCAAAAAGGTTGGTCCAACGCTCTATTGGTCGTCTTGTCTGCCTATTTTGCCCAATATCCCTCTTATTAGACCGGCGCAGACGGCTCTGTCACTGGTCCAATTTTGGTCTACCCACGCCCGCGACGCTGAGTGGCTCCTAAACCTCAAGGCAGCCCATTCAACCACCATTTTAAACTCCACCCATTCGCTACAGAACACAGAGCCAGCAGCCAATCAATCCGGCCAATCGTCTCAAGCTCGCAAGCCGAAAGCCAAGGGTCCCGGGCCTATCTCGAGAGGGCAGCAAGTCATCAGAGTGCGACAAGTAAACAAACTGCGCAGAGAGCCTCGGGCGCATGGTGTCGTGAGGACGGACAGCTGACTTGCCATCCCAGACTCACCAGCTTCGCCATTGCATCCCCCCGCGCGCGTCTCCATCCCCGCCTTCATTCCCCGACCGTCCGACGGTGTTATAACTACCGAGCCGCACTCCCAGCAACCACTTAACAAGTCGCGTCTGCGCGCATCCGTCCGCAGCTCTACGCACGCCACCACACCCAAGCGACCATGGATCCTCACAACCAGAACTCGTCTCAGGCGCAGCAAAACCGCCCCGCGCCCGTATATGACACCAGTCACGGTGGTCACTATGGTGAGCTCGCCAAGTCCAGCCCATGATGCGCCGCGACACCCTGCTAACAATACCACCATAGGCGCCAGCGCAGCTGTTCGTTCCCCGCATCGCATCCCATCGCACCGCGAGTCGTGCTACTGACATTCGCATTACAGCTATCTGCTCAGGGTTTTGCGCCTTCTGAACTGTACACCGGTCCGTGGGCAAACGTATGTCCCCATCCCGTGTTCCAACCTTGCGACGCAACCCGGCTAACAACGCTCCATCCGTCTAGGTCCACCAAGGTCTTAATGGGCAATACAAGGACATCCTCACCACATACTGGCAACAGACCATCAACCACCTCGAAGGCGATACCCATGACTACAAGCTGCACCAGCTTCCCCTCGCCCGGATAAAGAAGGTCATGAAGGCCGACCCCGAAGTCAAGATGATCTCCGCCGAGGCACCCATCCTCTTCGCCAAGGGATGCGACATCTTCATCACCGAGCTCACCATGCGCGCCTGGATCCACGCTGAAGAGAACAAGCGACGCACCCTCCAGAGGTCTGATATCGCATCGGCACTGGCCAAGTCCGACATGTTCGACTTCCTCATCGACATTGTCCCTCGCGAGGAAGCCTCCTCGCATGCTAAGCGCACCGGCAACCAGGCTAATGCCGGCGCTCAGGGTGTCCCCGCCGCGGGCCAGCCTCCGATGGCCGGCCAACACGTGCCCGGCGCTAACCACGCCCAACACCCCATGGCGGCCGACTACTCCATGGGCGCTCACGCCCTCGGCGGCGAGGCTGACTACCGGCAGACGCCTAACATGTATCCTGTCCAAGCCCAGGCCGCCCCCGGCGGCTACGGACAAGCGCAGCCGCAGATGTACGACCAGATGGACCCCAGCATGTACGGTAACTACGCCATGCAACCGCCACAGGTAAGTACCCCAGCCCCGTGAGAGCTGGCTGCTTTCTCGACGTTTGCCTAATTTGTTTCTTCCTGCATGCACCCGCTGAGGAGTACGAGTGAATAACCTTGTTTCGTTTTCCTTCTCGCCTCAGAGCACCTAGGATGTTTACCCCGACGGCGACGAGGTATTAGTTTGAGTGACGCCGGGGCGGCGTCCACTATTCGACAGAAAGCACGGAGTGTGATAAACGCAACTTTCGTGCAAGCATGCAGAAAAGGCAACTGTGTTGTACCTAGAACACCTATGTTGTTGTTATGGAAACTTGGGACTGGGGTTGGAATTTGGTCCAGCCATGGAAATTATGAAGACGGGCTTGGTAGTGATGGTTTTCTCTTTGGCGTAACTCGGTGTCAGATTGGTCTGAATCACAATTACACAACTCGCAAGGGTGAATACATGTCGTTTCTCATATCCTTCGTTAATTTTAAAAGTGGACAGTACTGGCGATCATCTCAGGCCAAAGCGTGAAGAGAAGTTGGCCATGGCTTGCGCTGTCCGGTTCGGGCCCTCGACCGAATGGGTGAGCCTGGCAAATGAGTTAGTATAAAGGTTTGGAACGGGGCGGCTGGACACGTACTTCTCCAGGAGCACAGGGCCATTGAGCGCGTTGACGCGGCCATACTTCCTGTTCCTCGTCGACACGTCGTAGAACTCCTCGACATTGTCGGTCTGCATCAGAGCGACGGTCTGCTGCAGCTCGTCCAGGTTCTGCTGGAGCATAAAGGCGTTCTCGAGGCCGCCGACGAACTCGACGAGGTACTGGACATCCTTGGCCAACGCGGCGACGCCATTAGGGTTGATGTGCTTGACCTCTTGAGACAAAGGAAGCGCCTGTAAGGGGACAGGTTCTGTTAGCAAAGTGCTACAGTGCTGTCAGCTGGCAAAGGGCCTCTCTTACCAGAATCTTGTCTGCAGCATGGCTCAGGGCATCAAAGTAGATGAGCTCCTTGATCTCCCTTGGGAGTCCGAGTAAGGTCGAATTCATGATGTTCGACAGATACCTGGTCAAAGTCTGCATGTAGCTGCTTGGTTCAGTTTGCGAAGTGGTAGACATCCTGATACCGAGGAATTGTTAGCCATGATCCATGGGGGAAAGGGAACCGTTGGCGGAACGAACCAGTCGTATTCAGCTGTGTCGACGAGGTCGTCGATCTTGGAATTGACCAGCTCGAAGATTCGCTTTTCTGCCGTCTTCTTGTTGCTCCTGAACTGCTCGGTCGCGCTCAAGGTGACGGGGCCGCCGGCTGAGGTAGACGATCGGGCCCGAATCAACAACTGCTCCAATTCTTGGCAGGCAGTCTCGAAGTGCTCCAGGTTGATCAGGATCTGCACGATCTGACCCAGGTACTGAGAGCTGAGCCGCTCCACGAGCGATTGGCAGACCTTCTGTGTCAATAACTCATCTAGAGACTTGTTTGGTCGTTAGCGAAGAAGGGCAAAGGTCTTGTCCGGAGGAGTGCGTACCTTTCTGAGGGTATCATCAATGACGTTGGGGTGCTGGAAATGATCATCGGCAAAAAAGTAGAATTGGTTGAGGAAGTTCCGAATGTCTATGCAACACAGGGGGTACATTTGCGAGAAGGGCAGGACGCAGGGGAATGTGAGCTCCTCTGCCGATTTCTCCTGCGTGAACCAGCTGACGTTGACGACTTTTTCGTACTCCTCCACCGAATTGATAGCCATAGGCATGTAGTCGTCAGTAGAGACAATCTCCTGGAAGTCCTCGCTGAAGCGCCTCTTAAGCAGCTCCGCGTATTTGTCGAACAGCGTCAGGAGGAAATTGTCAAGCATCGAGACGGAGTAGCCCCACCCTTCCATGGTCTGAATGAATAGAGCGACAACGCCCTTGATTTTGAGTAGGATTTCGGCGTTGCTGACTTCCCTTAGTGATTTCGAGATCAAGGTGATAGCAGTCTGACACATTGAATCCCAAAGCTCATCAACATCGACAGCTGATCGGAGCTGCGGTACTTTCCGCATGGTGGCTTTCTCAATAATAGCGAAGCCTGCGATTCCCTCCAGCAGACTGCTCAGGGACGAGTCTTCCTCCGACTCCAGATCAACCGAGTTCGGCAGCAATAGGTCCTTTTGCTGTCTCCTCGTCGCTGCGTAGTCTGATCGGAACCTATCAATCTGGCCCAGCGCATCATGAATGTGCATGCATTCGAAGAGAGGCGTGAAGTCTATCTGGAGCTCCTCGTTGTCCAGAACATCAAACTCTTCAATCTCGTCAAACACTAATTCGATAGCGGAGTTCAGCTTGAAGTTCTTGAGGTAGTCGTTCTTCTCAACACGTTCTCTCTGCCTCGTCCTTCTCATCTCTGTATGATAGAAGGCAACTTCGCCGAGGTATTGCGAAGTCTCTCTGATACGAAACAGCCAGGTGTTCAAGTCCGTCATGACGGCCTCGGATATGGTTTTTTGAGATGCGGGTATGGATTTCTGGATCAAGTCGGCGAGTCGGTGCTGCGTAGCATATTTGTTCTGGATCGTGGGGACCAGGTACTCGTTCTGCAGGTCCTCCAGTGACTTGAGAGCACCATAGTACCTCTTCTTCTTGATCAGGTCATGTGCGTGGTTGACTGCATGGAGGATCTTGAGTGACTCCTTCAGAGCGTCCGACGCATCTGCAATGTTCTGCCGGACGGCCCTTGTGTTGACCAGACCCTGCTTCTGCTCGGCCAGTTTTTCCGTGCTCGCTTGGATCGACTGATTGAGCTCGAGAATCTCTGCTGTCAGAGCCACTGTTCCCTCGCGGACTTTCTGTAGCTGGTTGACCGAGCCCAGGAATTCCTCGTGTTTTGTCAGGCCGATTGTTTCAATGTCTGCCTCGCGCTCCTCCGAGTAGTGGGACAAGCTCTGTACAAGAGCATTCGTTCTATTGCTGAGTGTCGCATCTTTGAGAACCGGGATCAGCTGGTCGAGAAACTCCGAATCGGAGGATGAGAGGATGATCTGAAGATAATACATATCAGCACAGCACTATGCGATCCAGGAGCGCAGCGCACGTAGTCACGTACTTGAGAAACGGCTGAACCGTAGTCATCGTATGCCTGGGGCTTGCGCGGCATGTTGGCGTATTCTTGCAAAGCGCAAGGGAAGCTATGTTCTCAGAGCTGCACACTGACGGCGGAAGAACATCCCCTCCACTCCAGCTATTTGGGGGTTATCCGCGCCCACCCGGATCAAGGAAGAATCCGAGACACTTCACTGCTCAAAAGCAAGCCAAGTTAACGAAGCGCATGGAATGCGATTCTGGGCACGGTTGGAAAGGCTCTGGGCAGGTTGATGTAGCGGCGATTTTCCAGCAATGATGGAACCCTACATCAATCAAATCGTGGATGAAGTTGAAGTTGGAATGCGCATCCAAACGCGATAGGTGGAGGATGCGCTAAGTAGCTGTAAGGCAGCTGCCGGGGTGCACATTAGCGTAGCCCCTTGCTGGTACAGAATCCTTGGACTGTGGGGGGGATACAGACGTGCCAATCACGAACCAAATGTGCTCTCTGAATCAGCAGAGCGTACCTAAAAATATGTACACAACACCACGGAGATCTGTTTCCTGATACAAATGGTAAGCACAGCAGTAATCAGGCTTCTGGTACAAGAATATTACTCATCCCGTACCTAGCCAAGAGTAGAAACCAGAGCCATCCATAGATTTTATCAATGCTTAGCCCATCGTGTAGGTGACTAGGCCAGGCGGATCAATTACTTCGTCGAGACTCTTTTCCTTCTCCGCACACAACGAAATCAATGATTCAACATCCCGAGTTATCTTGGACAGTAATACTTGCTATCTGCGGAATAGCAGTTGAGTGAGGCCAAAATGCCTTCAGGGCTTTGAGGTCTAGATAGGTCGTTATGGGGGTCAACAATTACGGAGATGCCGAATATCTGGAAGAGTTGTGCTTCTACTGACTTTAATGCGAAGAATAACCGAAGCACACAGTCTCTACTTGTCAAGTTACTCCGAGCCGCATTATGGACGAGCGCTGAGAGAATCACTTGAGACACCCGTGACTACCTACCTACCTTTACTTTGCATCTTCCACGTGAGAACGGGATCTCACGAGTGAATGGCTTACCACGTAGGTGCCTGCCTCCATCATAATGAACAAGGTACATGAGCATCTCCGTTAGTGAGTGATCTGGATATTCCAATGACACTCAATGAAGCACATCGTGTTCAGAGACTGTCACTATCACAAGCATGGCCTGAGGCGGGTCGTCATACGCGCAGCTTTGCAAACTCCAGATGACTGTGGAAGGAGGACACATGAGGGAGAAATCCATGAAGTAGCTGCTCCCTTTACATTTCCAACCCGTCTCTCTGTGGGGTGGGTGCCGTCAGCTTCATATCAGATTCGTAGGCAGACCAACTGACTCCTTCCCTCGACCATGATCTGTCATGTGTTCGTGACGTCGTGACGGCGTGAGAGGAGGGGGTTGAGACCAATAACCAAGTACATTGAATGCGTATTCAGGGGCCCAGAATGGAAGAATGATATGGCAAGATCGCTTTCTTTGATTGCAATCGTGAGGTGGAAGCCACAATGTTCACTGTCATCCCATTCAACGTCGTTTGGCAGCCACGTACTTGCCTACTTGTACCCTCGCAGCTTGTGCCTGTCACTCAACCCTCACTTCCTCCCAACCTGATCACTCATTTCATCTGGCAAGACGGAACAAGTGACTGCCTTGCCAAACACTTCTATGTCTTTTCTGCGGCCGTAATCTTTCCGCTTTCCCTCCTACCCACCTTCCAATTCACGGCAACAATAGCAGCAGAGGCCACCACCACCCTTTCCTTTTTTGGATCTTGCAGTCAATTGTTGGATTTCTCTCCGGCATTTACGCCTTTCCAGACCTCTATTCTTCATCTTGGTATTATTGGCGGGACACCATCCGTGATTTCGACCTCATCTCCGATCCTATGGGCAGGCTGTGATTGCAGCCAGCACGTACAGGTCACCTTTGACTCAAGATCTCTCATATCTTTCCCCCAAGTCGTCTTGTTTCACGGCGTCGTGACTCTCTCTCTTCGTGAACAGCCGTCACCGAGGACATAGCACGTTTCTTCGACCTGTCCGCTTCAACTCCAGGCTGTCATCACCTTTTCCCGACTTGTCATTCACTAGAATCTCAACCAAAACACAAACCTGACCCACGTCACTGGCAGCCTTACCTACAATGGCTTCTCAGGAGACTGGAGTTCATTCATGCTCTCCGCACTCTTCAAGCGGAGGTGCCGATTCTTATAAGCACGACGGCACGCCAGACACTCGCCTGACTGCTTTCTCCCCCGAAGGCAACTCGGTCAAATCAAACAAGCCTCCTCCCGCTCCTCTGAACTTGATCAACTCGGCCCCCAGATCCAAAGCCTTCAACCACGAGATCATGCCCAGCCTTTGCCAGAGAAACGAGCACCATGATGACAAGGATCCTTTTGTGAGCTCCGTGGTCGACTCCAAGGACCAGCCCAAGCTCTCAGCCACAGCCTCTGCTTTTCGTCCGCATGTCGGCAAGGGACCCATGACACTGCAAGATGCTGCCGGACCGACGATGGAGCCACAGCCCCCGGTGTCTCCATACTTGAGCACAGAGTTGGACATTTCCCGTTGTCTGCTTGTCTCGTCGCCTTCCAAGCGTCTTTCAGGGACCGACGTTGACACTTATATTGCGGTATGCTACTCCTGATTGACACCCTTTCGTCGTCTTTTTTTTCTGACTCTTCCCAGACGCTCAATTGTCTCGGATTGCCCCTGCAAGGTACAAGGCAAACCTTTCCAAAGGAGAACGGAGTGCTTCTCCGATTGACAAACATCCGTGATGCGTTCACGGTTCACCAAAACGCCAGACTTGGTGGCTCGGATTGGACAGCTATCTTCGTCTCAAGCCCTAAACCTGCTACGGTATGTTCATCAGCCAGCTAGCGTGGAATTATTGAGAACTAATACTTTCTTTCGACGCTGCAGGATGCATCTCTCGAGGCAATCCTTCCTCCCACCGCACCAGAGGGTCAGCTCAGCCTGCTAGCTCGTGTGCAACAAGGCCATATGGACCCAGCCCAGGTTGAGGTGACTGTGCTCCGTGTTCTACAAGACGAGGGAGACTTGTTTGCCTTCCAGGTTCATGCCAGTTTTCACAACGGCGCCTTGACGGCCACAATCGAGTTTGCTGATGTCAACGTGGCATCTGACTTCTACGCCAGGTACAACTCGGTCACCATTGAGGTAGGTTCCGGGCGTATTGTTGTCTCTTTGTCGTTGTCGGAGTCTAACACCATTGCTCGTAGGGGATCCAGCTTGTCCTTACCTTCCACAAGATCGCACGACCCCAACAGCAGCACGACCAGCCTGCTGGCCCAAACACCCCGGCAAACACGCCGCTCCGCTCCAGTGTCGATGACATTGGCTCGGCGTTCAGCAATATCTCGATTGGTATTTCACCTTCTATGAATGGCAATGCTGCTGCCATGGGTCCGCCAAGCCACCCTCATAACCTTCCACTTCCGCCACAATCTGGGCTTTACCCTGTCATGTACCGCCCCTCTGCGGTGAATGAAGTGTTCTACGACACATTTCCTCACTCTCACACTCTGAGTATCGCCCCGGATAGCCTCTCCCTTCCCAGACCCTACTACCCTCCAACAATGCCGGTTCGGGCTGTCAATGCCCACGATGATCTTGCCACGCCCAGATCGATGCATGCTCGACCTTACGGCAGGCGTCAGAATGCTATGCGAGTCACTCGATCCACATACTACAATGCAGCAGGGCATCACAACCATGTTGATGTCACGCGAATTCGCGAAGGCATCGATGTCCGCACCACTGTATGTCTGACCATGACTTGTTCTCTGTACTGATTTCACTACTGACCTCTCATTTGCAGATAATGCTTCGAAACATTCCCAACAAGGTTGATCAGGCCATGCTGAAGCGTATTGTGGACGAGTCGAGCTGGGGCAAGTACGACTTCATGTATCTTCGAATCGACTTCGCAAATGACTGCAAGTAAGTGTCTACAACGCCACGCCCTGAGTCTCGACCAGTTATTGATGTGCTCTCAGTGTTGGCTATGCTTTTATCAACTTTGTAGATGTGAGTATCAACCACCCTGGTCATTATCCCCAACTTCGCTGACGGACAACAATAGCCCCTGGACATCATTGACGTTAGTTAATCCTCGGCTGCCCCTTGAGGCTATGGCTAACATACAGATAGTTTGTCAATGCGCGAGGCAATCAGAGGTGGTACGTTCGTCTTTATACCTCAATACGCCTCGTTGATCGGTGCGCTCACAAGATTTAGGAATTGCTTCAAGAGCGACAAAGTCGCAGAGATCTCTTATGCCAGTGAGTTGTGCTTGCCAGAGACACGTCGTATGATCCTCACTGATACTGACTTGCTTTAGCCATCCAGGGCAAGGATTGCCTGGTTCAGAAATTCCGCAACAGTTCTGTCATGCTCGAGGCTCCTCATTATCGTCCCAAGGTAGTCGCCCATGGGGTAACAATTGAATTGAGGTAGTTCATACTGACTTATCTGTGACCAAAGCTCTACTTCACTTCGAATGGCCCGATGCCAGATTTAGCTGGCCAGGAGGAGCCGTTCCCAGAACCCGACAACCAGTCGAAGATGAAGCGAAGCTGTGAGAACGCAGAACACGTCGGTGAGTTGCGTTGATGACCTTCTCGGAGTTTCTGATTGCAACTTGCTGATGTCTAATCTAGGACTCTTCACACCAAATGCTGGTCAGCATTTTCGCGATGAACAGCGCCGTCGTCGATCACAGTTTGACCGAGGTACAAGACTTGCTGCTCTTGAGGAGTACGACTACGAGCCCAACTTCAACCGCCTCTACTCTCTGCAGTGACACGAAGCAGACTCCATGCCCGGAGCTTCCAGTCGAGCATAACGGAATATCCGCTGTCCTGTCAAGAATTTCTGGTCGCAGCTTCAGTCCTGCTATCTCGGTTGCTATATACGAGAAACACCCTGACAGCTATGTGTACCTTTTCCAGACTTGCTATAATCGCCGAGTCCGTGGCATTCAATTTTGTCGTGTATACTGCGAATAATCACACCAGAAAATCGAGAGAAAAAAAAGGAACGGGAGCATTACTTTTGAGTATTCCATAGAATCAATCTAATCAGGGTCAATGCCCATTCCTTGGTCAACAGCGAGTGGCGCATGGCTTTCCAACCTGGGAGGACTGGACAAGGTATTGTTGGACAAAGCCGGCGATGAGATACTGGCCGGCTTATATCAGTCTAGGAAAGGGCGGAAGTCATACTGAAGGCAACTTGGACCAGGGAACGACGGGGTTGGCTCGAATAGCATGCAAAACTTGGAAGTCGGGGGCCAGAAAGGGGCAAATGATAGCGCTAGACAGACACAAATCAAATTCTTAGGCACAAGGAGACCACACCTCTAGAGTGTCGTTGTTGGGATGCTTGATTGTTTATACTGTATCATGCTAGTATGTAACCCATGCGATGCCATGTCATGTCGCCAATGCAATAAAACAAGAAACAAAAATGACAATATTAAGGCGCCTGCATTAACTTGGGTCTTCTGGCAATGCTGGTAACGGTTTCCTAGCCGTTCCAACAAGTGAGGTGGTGGTTATCGTGGGTATCGACCTCATCTCTCCATCCTCGCAGTCTCCATGCACTTGCTCTTCGGATTTGTCCTGCTCTATTGAGCTGGGCCCGTCAACGGCCATTTCGTTCAAGCTATCGGCCTTGGCCGAGTTCCAGTTCTTCTCTTCCTCTTCAAAGTAAGCTGGCTGGGCGGTCGGCGGCGACCCTTCCCGACTGGCAGACTCGGAGGTCGGCGTCAGGGGCAGGACCTTGTCGGGGTAGGACTTGCTACGGGACAGGGCTCTGGCCCGGGCGTCACCGGCGCCGGACCCGGCGCCGCCGCCTCGGTAGGGCGACGTGGTGGGCGAGCCCATCATGGCGCCGCCGCCGTACTGGTGCAGCAGGGCGAGGTCGAGCAGGGCGGCCGCGCCGCCGCGCGAGTCGCCGGCGCCAAAGACGAAGCTGCCGCTGCCGGCGATGCCGCGCGAGAAGATGACGAGGACGAGGCACGAGAGCAGCAGGACGGCCTGGAGGATGGCCATGCGCTTCTGGAAGACGACCTCGTCGGCGAGCAAAGACAAACGGTCCGAGAGGGCGACGAGCTCGCGCTCGGAGCGCTCGCGCTGCGACTCGAGGGCGATGACGGTCGACTGCCAGACCTGGTCGTACTGCTGGCGGACGGCGCGCAGCTCGGCGAGCACGGTGCCGTTGAGCGAGTCGAGGAAGGCGTCGACGCGGGCGATCTGGCGGCGCTCCATCTTGCCCAGGGCCTCGCGCAGGAAGAGCGACTGGTCCTCGATGTACTGGAGCGAGAGGGAGGTGTTGGACTCGAGGAGCTGCAGGCGCTTGGTGATGGACTTGAAGAAGGACTCTTGGACCGTCGGGGACGGGTTGGGCGGCGGTGGCGTGGAGCCGCTGCCGCCGTTGGCGTTGCTTCCTCCCTTGTCGGAGGGGGTGGATGAGCTTGAGGACGTGCGGTTGCGGGAGGAGACGTGGTGGTTCTGCTGTTGGTGGGAGGGTTTAGGGAGGAGGGTGGTAGGTTTGTGGGACCTCTGGGTTGTTCGTGTTGAGGATGGCTGTGCCTTCTTGTTGTTGTTGTTGTTGTTGTTGTTATTCTTACTACTCGGCTTTGGTTGCTGAGAGGATGCAGCTGGGGTGGATGTGCTGGTCGTTGGTGGTAGTTTGGAGGGCGGTGCGGATTGCGTCGGTCCATCTGAGGTGTTGCTGTGGTCTGGTTGGGTATGTTTGTTGGTGTCAGGGGAAGGAGAGGATGTAGGGCCGCTCCCTGCGTTTGCAGATGATCTGGACGAGGATGCTGAAGCCTGTTGGGCTTGAGCCGAGTCCCCAGATGCCTTCGTGACAGCCTCGTCGCTCGATATTGAGCCATCATTGGAGGGTGGTGTGGTGCTTGCGCCTGTGTCGCCGGAGCCGCCTTGGCCGTCCTCGCCATTGGTAGGAGGCGATGGAGAAGTCTCCGTGGGTGCCAAGGAGATGGGACAGACATGGCTTGACGCCTCGGTGTAGAAGATGGGGTTCCAAGGCGACAGCTCGTACTTGGCAGAGAAGGGCTCGTACTCCTGATGCGCCACGGCCTCCTTGGGCGGCTCCTCCACTGCTGGCTCGCTGACGGCGGCCTGGGGCCGCTCAGCGACATCCTGCACGCTCTCAAACGTTTCGTCGTCATCGTCACGGCCGCCTTCGCTCTCCTTCCACGAATCAAGCATACGGGTGCCGTGAACCCGGAACAGCGAAACGGGGCAATAGTACTCGTTACCGTAGTGCGTAAGCAGCTCGATGCGGATGTACTTGGCCCAGATCTGCGGGTGCTCGATCAAGAAGGGCTGGATGTCGCGCGAGTTCCTGGCCTCGAAGACGCCGAGCTCCTTCCACTTCTCGAGCTTGACGGGGTACCGGTCGCTGACGCTAACGCGGAACCGGCGAATCATGCTCGAGAAGAACTCAAAGTTGGCGAGGACGACGGTGTCGACGAGGATGTCGTCGCTGAGCTCGACGATGAAGTACTTGTTTTGCGTGTTGCACTCGAGCAGCATGTACGAGTCCTTGTTCTCGACGAGGATGGCCTTTGCGTTCTTAGCGCCGGCGCTCGTCTTGAGGACCGTGGCGCCGGCGTCAAAGGAGGCGTAGGAGAAGCGCTCCTTGCACGTCTTGCCTGCGTCCTTGCTGCGGTAGTACTGCGTCCTGCCGTCGTCGTAGAGGACGGCGTCCCTGCCCCTGGCCTCTTCTCTGGGGGAGTCGGCAGCCGGGCCGGACCCAGAGGTCAGCTCGGAGACCTTCTCCGACAGCGCGTCGAAGTCGAGAGAGATCTCGCCGTCATCGTCCAGGCTGTCGAGGTTGCCGTTGGACGAGCCGCTGTAGCCGTCGGCCCTGTGCTCCTGCTTCCTGCGCGCCTGGAGGTCCGCCGGGTCCTGTCCCGACTTGCGCAGCTGCAGCTCCTTCCACTCCTCGAAGGACATGAAGGAGCTGGTGGCCAGATCCTGCCCATCGTCATCCTCTACCACGCCCTTGTCCTTGTCCTTGTCCTTGTCCTTGTCCTTGTCCTTGTCCTTGTCCTTGTCCTTGTCCGCCGCCTGCTCCTCTCCCGCCGTAGCGTTCTGCACGTCGGCCGGCGCCGCGCCCGTCGCCGCCGTGGGGTCCTGGCCGGGCCAGTTCGTCCGCAGGCACTGTTGCGGCAGGGTGTGTGTTATGTAGTTGATCGTCCTCGACTCGCACTGCTCCGGGCCCGCGATCGGAGCGCGGCTCCCTCCCACACCGGGCGCGGGGGACTCCGCCGCAGCGACGGCGGTGAAGGGGTCGCATGAGGAGCCCAGCAGCAGCGCCGCCGCCGCCACCACGAGTAAGGACTGGAGGCGGCCGGGCGACTGCGGTCGCATGGTGTCCGAGTGGTTTTTGTGCGATCAGTACGATCTTGTGCGTGGCCGTCTCTGTCTCCGTCTCTTCTCTTTGTACTCAAAAGCGGCTGTGACGTCGTCGTGCTTGTGGACGGTCCATGGTATCTCTCTCAGCGAGCACTACCAATTGATAAGGGATTGGTCGACCTTGCTCGAGAGGAAACCGGGTTTGTCGTTCTCGATAGGCAATATGCGTGCGATCTATGAGGCTCGAAGGAGAGCAAGTTGACAGCTTGTCCTTGGACCAGTCAGATAGGCTAATTCGTGTGTAAGTGGCAGACAAAGGCGAGCTTCATTGGGACAAGGTGGCAGAAAGAGATGATGTTGGGGGTTGTATTTGAGGGGCTTGAGCTGCACAGATCACTGGTCCGTGGTCTATATTCAGCATAATGCAAATCTACCAGCAACTGGGGCGCCATTGATTTCCTACTTAGCATCCCGGCATGCGCCCACAGAAACCCCCACCGCCGCTGACCGGCATGCTGGTTGGGGTCCCAATTCTTCCCTACCTGGGTAACATTAGCGCCATGTTTTAGCGGTCAACGTGGCGTCTGGCTTTCAAACAAGTCTTGGGCTAGAGTCGTTCCAGGCCCGACCATTCAAGCCCCGGAATTTCCACTTTCCAAACACCAAGAGTATTACACTTTCAATACTTTCAATAGGTCAGACGGCGTATCTCATGGGCCGGTGGAGTAGGTGAAGGCGGCCAGAAATGCTTATGATGATTAGGAGCATGCCTGTCCTGCTTCGTATCATGGAAATGCTCAGTCTCTCTCTACTGCTTCTAATGCTATAATATCCTACTCGTACCCTGTCCTGGAGTGCCAGGATAGAACGCCGGCAATGCAATGCAAATGAACCCGCACTGGTATATGCTTAATGAAAAGGAAGCCTGCCACCCAGATGAGTTGGGGCAGAGAATTGAAACAGAAAACAATAAAAGCAGCAATAGACAAGTCTCATGTGACTATGTCCATGAAGGTGCCGTAGCCTCTCGGTCTCGGTTAGATAGACATGCGTCCTTCCGAAGCCTCGAGGTCGCGAATGTACTTCACAAATGTCTTTTTGTGTGCCTTTTGGGAAAGGTCAGCTTGTGGCTTTGCCAAATGGGTGAGAACAAGTCCAATCTTACCATGCCAGCGTATTCGCCGTCCCGCAAGACGCAGATATAACGAAGACCAAGCTTAACGAAGCATTCGTAGACCAGATCCATGGGAGATCTAATGTCCAATGCAACCGGCGCCTACAATGTCGGGTTGGATTAGCAGTCGAGTCGCACAACACGCAGTTAAAAAAAAAAGGCACATACCGGATCAATGTAGGGAGTGAAGTCAGTCGGGTCGGCCTCCCCATCGTCTGAGTCGTCGATGCTCGGCACAGGCGCCATCAGGCACATCCTGGACTCCTCGTCCTCGAGATTATCGAGGGCGAATTCGAGGTCAGGTGCCGGTATCAATCCGACCAATACGTTATTGCGTATGATAGGCAAGCCGCCGTCGAGTTCCCCTGCTCGGTGAAGAACCTCCAGCTTCTTACGGAGGCTGGTGGCAGGTACCATCGGCGAGTTCGAAATGTCAATGACCCTCTCCCGGCGGACACGAGGTACAATATCTGCCAGGTCCGAGGTGAATATCGGCTTGTTCTTGTTGCTCAAGAACGGGTAAGAATTCATGTCGATCAAGAGGTCCTATGTAGTATTAGTACCTCACATACCATGCAGCAAGGGGTCAGGGAGACTCACATAAACACTGACAGGCTCGATAGCGTCCGCGGTCCACTTGGCCACCAGGATGGCCAGAGAGAATGGGAGCACATAATCGAGACTTCCCGTGATCTCGAACAAGATGACAGCAAGCGTGACAGACAGCCTGGTGACGCCACACATGGTCGCCCCAGCGGCAATGAGGCCGTATACGCCAGGCTGGATGCAGGTAGACTCATCGACCAGAGGACAAGAACCCCATACACCCCAGTGAGGAAATCTCATCACGACCCATTGCACCATGTGGCCAATGGTACGGCCCATCAGACCGCCCACCACCATGGACGGGACATAAATGCCGGCTGGCACTTTGATTCCGAAAGTGATGATGGTGAGTACCCCCTTGACGAGGAAGGCTGAGATCAACAAGCCGAGTATTGCCGGGATCTCGTCAATGCTCTTTGGGCAGATGCCAAGATCATCGAGATTGTTGTCCCTCTCATCACAAGGGGCTGCAAGATTGTATAAGAGCTTGGCCACCGGCAGCTTGGTAAGAACGTTCCAGTAGCCGATAAGGCCCGTGACAAGCGCCACGAGCACAACTTCGACGAGGGGGTACTTTTTTATGGTTGGAATGCGGCGGAACGTCTTGGCCCACTGCCTCGAAGCCTTGATGAACACAGCTCCAGCGACGCCACCAAGAACACCAACTACGATGAAGCTCAAAAGCTCAAAGTATTCCCAGTCGACCGGATACTGCACCTGGAACATGACGATCTTGTGGGTCCCGTAGGGGTTGAGGAACTTAAGCGTAAGCGCAGCCGTAATGCAGCAAAAGAAAGTCCTAAACAGCGTTTTGGCCGGGAAGAAGTACGAGACTTCTTCGAGGCCAAAAAGCACACCTCCTAGGGGAGCGCCGAAAGCGACCGTCACGCCAGCCGCTGCGGCAGCTGATAGAACTTCTCGTCTCTTGGCGTCGTTGCGATCGTACTTGGAGAAGAGGCGACTGGCGATGTTGCCGACACAGGTCGCGATATGGACAAATGGCCCTTCCTTGCCCAAGCTCAAGCCCGAGGCCACACTCAGAATCAGCCCAACGGACTTGATAATAATGGTCTTGACGCCGAGAAACCCGTGAAGGACGAAACCGCTGAGGATGACCCGGACTTCTGCCACACCACTTCCCGCAGCAGAATAGTAAATCATCGGCGGCTGTGCGGAGGGCTCCTTGACAAGGGTCTGCCTCGGGCTAACAGGGTTGTCCTCCTCGGGGCGGTCGTCTGGGATCGCAACGGCTTCGGCGGCGAGGTTCTCGTCAAGAGTGGTAAGTCTGTAGGCAGATGGCACAACAGTCTTGGTCGTGAGGGTGAGAAGACACGCGAGGCTGGAGAAAATGATGCAAGAGACGATGTAGACCCCAAACTCAGACCATTTCTCCCCGATACGGCTCTCACTAAAGAACTCTCCCCACTCCTGCCAATCTGTGCAAGGCCCATGGGGGCAGCAACTCTGGTGCACATGTCAGTGTTCTCTTCTGAGCGTCCGATGCGGGTCAGGTCGGCTACGTTACCTTCTCATTCAGATACCATTCCTTCGAACAGTATCCATATTTGTAGTCGAAAGCTGTAGCTTCCGAGATATCGATCAAATACGCTATCACGGCAACCACGAAGCCGACGAGAGCCGATAGTATCCAACCCTGGGCGCCGTCGAACAGTATGTAGACACGTCCCCAAAAGTCCTTCCGGCTCCGAAGCGCCTTGACACGATAGGCGTCTGCGATGCTGTCGTGCACCCAGTCCGTTGATGTAAACTGATCGTACCAAACCCGCTCGTCCTGGGAATAGGACAGCTTGGACTCGCTTAGGGGGTCTGGGCGGTCGGAGAGGGCATTGATGAGGCGTTGGCCCCATGAGCCAGCGCGGCTATGGTGTCGACTGTGGTGTCGACTACCCAGGATACTTCCTAGACACCATCGCGTATCAGTACACATTAAACAAAGGCCCAAATGGGGGGGAAATAAGCGGTACGGATCGCCATTCATACCTGTGAAACTCTGACTCTGCGACAAGGTCGGACGCCTGGAGACGCCCTGGGCGCTTGGGAGGCGCAGCTTTGCTCGCGGACCTTGGAGCAGAGGTGACCGCTCATCGGGTTGGGACGAGACCGAAGGTCGTCGACTCCGGGTCCGGCGCTGGGTGGGCGATGGAGGCAGCGAGAGGTGCGGGCCAGCTGCGCTGCTGCCGTCCTCGGCCATTTTGGCCGTAATTTCAACTCTGAGTAAGGGAATGCGTTGGGCACCTGGATGAGGAGAAGTGCTTTGGCAAGCAGCCCTCTGAGTTAATGTACTGGTCTATCCAGGCAGAGAGGAGCGGTTGGCCGGGTTCCGGTGTGTGTGAGGGGAAATCGGCAGTGGAGAAAGGCCTACCTACAGGATTGAACCAGGTAGCTTCCCGCGGTGGTGGAGACACGCTGTGGGGAGAAATTGCACTTGATCACAAAGACTCTCTCTCCAGAACGCGAGGAATCTCCAAGAGCAAACTACCCCGAGGGAAGGCACCGGGGATGGAGAATGGCCCGGTCTTCTGAAGCTAGATGGTAGCTGAGACGAGCGAACCGGCTCGTGATAGTCGTGATGGAGGGTGGTGTGTGTCACTGTGTCAGTGTGTCAGGCAGGATGACGAGAAGCATACACGTGAACCACCAAAGCCCCCGTCGTCCCACTGCACCTCCCGGTGAGTCCTTGTCCTTGTCAACAAGCCATACAGAGAGGGTCGTATGTTATTCTGTCATACCAACAAGTGCTGTTGGTGAGAGAGAGGGTCAACTTGTGGATAGAAAGCGAGCTGCATGCAGTGAATCACGAAAAGGACCAGGCCCCAAAGGCGGTAAACGCTGCCGCTGTCAAAACAATAAGAACTGCCGATGAGATCATACATAGAGTCATGTAGCACCGAGGGACCCCTGAAAACTGCCTAACAATGAGCGCCATCAAGCCGTTGGTCTTAGCGCTGTTGGCGCGTAAAAGAATGCTAGAACCACGCCTCTTGTGGTAGCATTGATGCACTTGGGTGGATCCAACCTCATTGTGCTTCGACAGCTTCAGAGTGGAGCGCATCCCAATCAATATCATCTCCAGAAGACAGCCGAACCTTGCAAGTTCTTTGTCTCACAAGCCCTCGCGAAGCACCTCAACTCTCTTTCTACCTTTTCAAGACCAAGGCTAGACTCGAGGCTGGCAATGGCTCTCGGATAGGGCATATCTGGACCATGTCATCAGGCCATGGGGGCAGGCTGGAGAGACCTGTCGACCTGCCCTCTCATTCATCACGGCGCTCCCAGTCTCGTCGCCACAGCACACATCGGCATGGGAAGTCTCCTAGACGGAGCGATTCACACGATAGGTCAAGGAGGAGACACCGATATCGTGTAGATCATAGCGATCGCAGCGCTGCTCGTAGTCAAAGCCGTCGGGAAGCAAGTCCCAAGCCCACCAGCCATGAGCTTGTGAAGTATCAGGATCCGTCTGCCCAGGCTGCAGGCGGGGACGATGAGGTCCTCTACGTCCTCGATAACCGTGGCGATCCCCTCATTGTGAGATACGGCACAAACGACCGTTCCAAGATCCCCGAGTATCGTAGGTCGGGGAGTGGCAAGGTTCTTGGTGCTCGGGGATATCTGCACATTAGCCGCGAAGGCGCGCGGGAGACATTCGTTCTCAGGGGCCCTCGAGACACGGGTTCTATCTTTCGCGACAAGCACAACCCTCTTCTTTTACAAGCGGCGCAAGCCAGAACCAAGCGCATACGGCCACAAGCATCTGCCGGTCAAGGCCTAGAAGACCCGGTCCATCAGGATTACATATCCCTTGGCCCTTCCCGCAAGAGGAAGCGCGACGATGACGAAGCTTCGATATATTCTTCAGATGACGAGAGCAGAGCATATAGATCTATCCAGAGCAGAAAGAAGGATGAGCCCTCGGACAGCGAGCTTGAGTACGACAGCGACGCCGCCCTCCACGACCGACAAGATCAGCAGCGAGATGTCGACCCTCTGAAGGAGAGGTCTATCGAGCTATCAAGAATCGTGAAGGAGCAGCCAGGTGATATTGAATCCTGGCTCGAACTTGTACAATTGCAGCATGAGCTCCTGCTGGATACCGACCGTGACTTGACCAGAGCTGAAGCTCAGAGCCTGGCTGACATCAAGCTATCCATGCTTGAGACGGCAATAAAGCATGCCCGCTCAGACACGGATCGTGAGAGAGTTCTCCTTCGTCTCATGAGGGAGGGCTCCAAAATATGGGACTCCAAATCGCTAGGGCGCCGCTGGCGAGAGGTCACTCAGGACCACTCGGAGAGCTTTGGCTTATGGAAAGCACGTCTGGACTTTGAAGTCTCGAATTTGACCACCTTCAACTTTGAAAGCGTCAAACAAATCCATCTCGACAAATTGCACAGGTTGAGAGAACAATTAGTCACCACATCCGACACAGTCAGAACATATGAACAGCTGATCTATGTGTTCCTGAGGACAACTCGCTTCATACAGGACGCAGGGTATTCCGAGATGGCCGTGGCCGCTTGGCAGGCCCTCCTGGAGTTGACCTTTGCGAGGCCACCATCGATGGCCGATGCAGGGGTGGAAGACATGAAGCAGAGTCTGACAGACTTTTGGGACGGCGAGTTCCCCCGGATAGGGGAGGACAATGCCAAAGGTTGGGCATCGAGCGTCGAAAGTGAGGCTCTTCCCGACATGCCAGATGCTGTGCTCTCCGAGGCCGTTGAACCACCCCGGACAAGGGATGTATACAAAGCATGGGCCGCCATCGAACAGAGCCAGGCTCGCAAGTCGACACTGCCAGGGCGTACCCTTGATGACGGTAGCGATGTCGATCCGTTCCGGGTCGTCATCTTCACGGACATAGAGGAGCTTCTCTTTGCCATCCCGACCTCGGTCATCCCCACAGTCAGGATGCAGCTCGTCGATGCCTTCCTGCTCTTTTGTCAGCTTCCGCCCGCATCCTGCGTGAGCGATCTCACCGAAGAAGCCTGGCTTGATCCGTTCGTCTTCACAGGCTCTTCTCCTATCGCGGAGGCGCCACGCGCGGACAGCACGACCGAGATCACGCCAGAAACTGGTCGAAAAGAGCCCGACTTTGCGTCCGATGGGGTCAGAGCGAGAATCACCCCCGATATTCTCTTTGGCCAGCCGCACTGGTTCGCATATTTCGGCGGCGCGGGCTCACTAGCAAGAGCCGAGACGGCCTCAGTGCCCATCACCTTCTCTGCGGCTGTCATAAGGCAGCTCGCCCGCAATTTCCACGTCGCCGATCTCGCCGAGTACAGCCTCGCCCTGGACTATGCGCGAGATCCACCGAGCATCAAGAAGGCAGCCCGGAGCCTGATCAAGCTCTACCCGTCAAACGTCGCCCTGTACAACGCCTACGCCATCGCCGAGCACAACAACGGGAACCACGAGGTCGCCGAGAAAGTGCTCTCCTCAGCGACGAGCCAGAGGCTCGGGGCGGGAGCGAGCGACAGCCTGGTGCTGTGGCTGACCTGGGCCTGGCTCGATCTGGACACCGCGGGCAAGGACGCGGCGCTCGGTCGCCTCTGTGCATCCGTGGACGAGACACCGTCTCCTCCGTCGCCAGCGGACAGCGGGACCAGGCACGCCGTGACCCCGTCACAGCTCCTCAAAACCAGGCAAAAGTTGTCCGCGACCCGCGACCACCAGCTCTCGACGGGCAACCCCGAGGCGGCCGCCCGCGCCGCCCAAGCCGTCGCCCTGCTGGAGTACCTCGGCGCCCGGGACGGCGGGGCGGGACCGGCCTCCTCGCCGGGCGCGCAGGGCAACATATCCGCGGCGCTGGCCAGCGTCGAGGCCTTCTCCGGGGAGCTCGCCGCGCGGGCCCGCCACGGCCAGGGCGCCGCCGCCGCGGCGCACGAGCGCCTCCTGCAGTTCGCGGCCAGGCTGCTCTACCGGCACGCCCGGCGCGGCGCCTTCCGCCCCGCGTATCTGCGGGAGAAGCTGCGCGGCTTCGTGCGGCTGTTCCCCCGCAACACCGTGTTCCTGTCCCTCTTCGCCTGGGCCGAGTCCGGGTCCGCCGCCGCCGCCCTGCGCATCGACGACCCCGTCCGCGAGGTGCTCCGCGGCGTGGCCCTCTCGGGCCCGCACGACTGCCTGTCGACGCGCGCCTTCGCCATCCGGCACGAGCTGCGCGCCGGCAACGCCCACTCCGCGCGCGCCGCCTTCGAGCGCGCCCTGCGCAGCGACGCCCTCGGCCACGCTGGCGGCGGCGGCGGGGTCCCGAGCCTGTGGCGGGACTACGTGCGCTTCTGCTACGGCAGCAGGGAGCTGCGGGGCCGGGCCAAGGACGTGTTCTACAGGGCGGTCCACGCCTGCCCGTGGTCCAAGCAGCTCGTCATGGAGGCCTTCTCGACCGTGGTCAGGGACATGGACTCGAGCGAGCTGCGGGCAGTCTTCAACACGATCACGGAAAGGGGGCTGCGGGTGCACGTGGAACTGGGCGAGTTCGTGGACAAGTGGAAGGAGGAGCAGAGGAAAGGAAAGAGAGCAGAAACAGATGAGTTGATCATTTGATTATGTATTGATGTGATTGTAAAATTTTGCTCTACCGCTCAACATGTGTATCCCTTTCAGATTGTCGTGCAGCTGGATCAATGTGCTTGTTAGTAAGTCCTTAAAACTTGTGTTTCTAAGGGATAACTTACCTTCAACGCCTACTTGTTTGTTTGTCCCATATAGCACAGCATCAAGCCCAATGAATGGCACAGTGCTGTGAGTCACCGGCCGCCGACGCCGACGCCGACGCTCCTGCCTCATCCTTCAGCGACAGTCTCTACAGAGTGAGACCTCGTGGCCAATCCGGATCCCGCCATTTGAAAACCCCCCATCCCCCAAGATGGCATGCATGGCCCTTGGTTTGGTACCGGCTTCAAGTGTTGCCCGGAACCAGCTGTGGAGCTCGGGACAGCATGTCGAAGAGACGAGCAATCTGCCCGGGCGGCGGGTCGGCCCTGGCATTGACGAGCTTCCGGGTCCGCAGAGGCACGACATCCACCAGCTCCTCGCCGCGGACCACGGTGCGGAAGTCCTCGTAGGCAGCACACACTTCCTCCGACCTGGTCAGGCGCTCCGTCGAGAAGATGCTGGTCGGAGGGGGGAAGTCGGCGTCGGCGTCGGCGTCGGCGTCGAGCGGCTGCTTAGGCCGGCGGACGAGGACGGTCTCGGAGCTGGTCTCTGAGCCGAGTCGAAGGCGAGAAAGAGACGGAGGCGATGATGACGGTGATGACGATGACGGTCTGGGAGGCGACACCCTCAGGAAAGAAGAGGAAGACGAAGAAGAAGAAGAAAAAGACATTCGGGAGGACGGGGATCTTGGCGAGGGGGGGCCGGGCATGTCGCAGACGTAGCAGATCTCTTCCAGGGGGGTCATATGCCAGCTGTTGTGCTTGCAGGTCCGGTCGGCATCGTCGGCGGAGTGCCTGTTGCACTCGTAGACGGTGACGGTGGAGTGACCGCAGGAGTACTGGTAGAAGACCTTGTTGCACATCTTTGACTTTATCTCTCTCTGTGTGTGCCCTTCTGCATTCGAGTATTTTGCTGATGTTGATTTGGGGAGGCAGCTTGACACGCAAGCTGCTGAGCTTGGGAGGACGATTAGGGGACGGGACACAACACGTCAGGAATAGTGAAGCGAATGACAGCTGGGCTCCCAGTGTGCTTGACGCTGGAGCCTTTGTTCAAAGTTGATCTTTTGGTAGACTGAAACGCAATTGTTCGGATGGGACAGCCAACCTTGGCCTGGTGATAGTCCGAGGTCAGAGTCAAGGAGAAGAGATGAGGAGGACCTTAGGGTGCGTCTCGCTGTGGATAGATGGACGCTACTAAATCAAATAGTGAAATCTCAATACCTAGGTTGACGATATGGAACGGTGAGAACAAGGCCATTTTCGGAAAGTCAGCCATGCCGCAAAGGCAAACCCGGGGTCGATGGTGGCACACTTTCTCAAGAGGGGAAAGAGCATGGCAGTTGACGCATCGCATGCAGCTGCCTTCCCAGAATAGGGTGTTCTTCCAAGATTTTATGGACACTGCGCCATCTTAACAAGTATATAGATGTGTGATATATCTATGAAGATACTTGAGCTAGAGTTTGTGGCTGGACTCTCTGTTCGTGAGAATCACCCGCGGTTGAGTGAGATGTGGAGTTGGAGTGTCTAATGTTGACTCAACATCGCCTTCACAGAAGCAAAGCAGATACATACGAGTATACGATTTTTGCTTCAAGTAGTCACTTTTGTCGTCGATCATCTGTGCTTCCACCCTCAGACTCTCCATGGATTCCTTCAGACCTCTAGAATATCTAGCTATTTGGTGTCCCCGGAGCATTTCGAGACCACGAAGATGAGCCTCCACCGGATATCCTCCGAGAAGTAGGAGAACAACCTCTAGCAAACATCACAACGGAGAACGAACCTCATCAACTTCACGTTGCAAAATACGATGCATCCACACTCCCTCCCAATCATCATCGCCCACTCAAGCGCGTACTATGTAGACGGTACAGCACTCAACGGCCTAACACTAACATCGGATCCAAACCACCTGTCTGTTCGAGACTGCCTTCCCTCCGCCGACCCAACCGCTCAGCACCATACGAGATCATCGCCATAATAAATAAAACCCGGCACGTCCACAGAGAAAATGAGGCTCACCCGCCGTCGCATCGCAAGTCAGCAAAATACAACTTTAACACTTCTGACAACCCTGCAACACAGTCTCCCGGACGCAAGATCGACCGGAAGCGGCCTAGGGTGACAGTCCAAGTGGGGATGTGGCTCGGGAAGGCAGCTTCTCCTTGTTCGCCGCCGTCCGTCCATGCAGAAAAGAAGGGCCGGGGGGTGGTTAGAATTTCGCGCGGCGCCACGTGGGGGAAACTCTCGCCTAGGAGACCTAATCATCCCCCCTGCAGCCAGCGAATCAGAGAGACCTAATTAGTTAGAGGGGTTAGTGGGAAAAAGGGTCCCCCCTCTCCTCCGCCCCAGATCGCCCCAAAACGCGCTTCCTTTCTTCGGCTGGTCCCTTGCTTCGATGGAGATGTGCATGTGGGGACCGCCGGCCCCCCGGCAGCGTGTTTTGCGTGTGTGTGGTGTGGGAGACGAAAAGGAAAGGGGATCGTCTGCATGCAAGCGCGACGACTGGAAAAACGGCGCGCTTTTTTTGCACATGAGAGAGCCCAAAAGGTGGGTCAATTCTTCACCGCGAGCCAGGACTGCCTCACATATGACTGACTGACTATGGATGGGCCTTGGCAAAATGGCAAGAGTTGTTCTGAGAGGTGGTTTGCTCACAGCCTCACAGCCTCACGCTCACGGGGAGGGAGGGGTAGTCTTCTGACACATAACACTTCTAACGCTGCCCTGCTCTAAAAGGTGGGTATCATCTCAACGCGCAACACTCAGCTCCTCGCCAAGCTCAGGCTCAACAGGCCGTTGGCCGCGCCGCCGCGTATCGCGCTGCTCGTCAGCTTGTCATCCTCCTCCTCGATCTGTTTCCTCCGGGGAGTGATCGCCGCCGACGTTGGTGGCAGCCGCGGCAGTGCACCCTTCTCGGGGGAGGCAAAGTTGGGCAGGTCGCGCCTCGCTGCAGGGGCCGAGACAGATTCTTGGCTATTCTGAATGACCTCCTCCTCTCCCTCGTCGCTTTGGCTGCCGCCGCTGCTGACGGTCGAGGGGCTGACCTCGCGCTCGGCGGCCGGCGTCGGGAGCTGGCGTGTCCGCAGTGGCGCGCCGGGCATGGGACGCTGTTGCAGCTGCTCCAGCGGCACGTCGGCCTGGCCCGTCGCGACCTTATACTTTGCCAGCGCGAATCGGAGTCTGAGACGCTCGGCTGCCTGTAAACGCACAAAGACCCAGGGTTAGTAGACCGTCAAGGCCGGAGTGGGGGGGCTTGCACCAGTCACATACGTCCTTGGACTCTGCGTGCGTCATCCGCCGGCGCGGCCTGGGAGCTACCGGGGGCAGCTGCGCCGTGACAGCGGCCGCGACGGCGACATCGTGGTCTGGCTCCGTGAGGTTGGTGGCCTGGGACGTGTCGAGGGTGGACTCGTCAAAGACGGACGACGCGGCGGGCGAGGCGGGCTGTCGCCGGTCGGTGTCTCTCTGTGCTGCAGTCTGACGCAGAAAACATAGGTTAGCAAGGAACTGTTCGGCCTGCAACTTGGAGACGCGTGCGTGCGTGCGTGCAAGTGGCTACTTACCTGCTCTTGGCTCAGAGCCGCGCTCTGGAGCTCCCGCTCGGGCGTTGACAGGCACGCTTTCTTCGCCGGCGGTTCTCCGTCGGCCATGGTAGCCTGCCGCTTCTCGGACTCGTGGACGACGGTCGTGGCAGGAGCAATGGAGATGCTCGCCTTCTGGGGAGACAGAGACGCGGGTTTGGCGTCTTTGAGCTGGGCTGGCCTTGAATTCGGCGAGGGCGCGTTCACATCGAGGGAGCCGAGGACGCGTCGCTTGGTGGGAGAGGAGTTCATGGCTGCTGAAGGGCAGAGGCGTGTGTGTGGCTTGCGTCGGCTGGACGAGGTAGGCGGGCTGCAAGCACGCGATGTAGACGGCGCGGTGCAGGCAGGTGCAGGGGCAGAAAATGAAGCGTGTCGGGTAGGTAAGGTAGGTGTATGCAGGTTTATCTGCACATGCAGGCGCCAATTAATCCTAGGTATATAATGGGCAGACGACGACACAAAACGCAGAGGGGGGGAGGTCCCTAGTATGAGAAGACACGCGGGAGAATCGTGAAGCAAGTGGGAGGTAACAGGATGCAGAGGAACGACAGGAACGACAGGCGGGTGCTGGGGTTTTTGTTCCTAGTCAAGGCGACAGGCGGGAATGCAGGTGTGATCTCATATACAGAAGGGGAATAAGAGAACAATAGGTAAGGAAGGGCACATGGGCCAGAGGGAAAGAATAGCGGAGCCCACCGGTTCGCGAAGAGGCGAGCCAGACGAGCCAGACGTGTCGTTGCTGTGCATACAAGAAAAGTGCGGGTGTTTGTATGTACTTTCAAAATGCTAAGTAAACGAACGAGGCACGTCGCGCGTTGGAATATGAGGCTTGGGCCTGGACGGGGGTGGCACAAACCACCTGCACCCAAGCCTGGGATCGGTTTAGCGGCTGCAACGCGCTAATTCTTCCAGATTCCCATCCCCGCTGTGCCCTCCAGCTGCCTGTGTAGAACCCGTTTCTCGTTTCCGCATCGCAGTGTCTCTAGAGGTATGAGGTAACTACTGGCACTCGCCCAGAGGAAATGGATGTATTCTGCTCAAGATCATGCATCTTCTTCTGCCTTCCCAGTGTGATAAAAAGCTGGTTATGCAAAAAGCCGATCTATATACAAATAGCGGACGGTCACCATGCTGGAACTAGGATCTCGCTGCGATGACGTTTGCTTGCTTGGATTTCTTTCGTCAAACAGAAAGATAAGCGACGCCGCCGGAATGAAGGGATGATTTGATGCTCGTGTCAAAGGCCAAGCACACGGCTTGACGCACCTAGGCTAGAGCTCATTTTGAAAAAGGGGGGACCCTGACGCGCAACGCCGCGACTCCACTCAACGCATCAATGCAATGCATGCGTCTGCTCCGGACATATTCGGTACAATTCACTCGCGACAAGAAATAGGCAGTCAGTCCGATCCAAGGACCTAGAGTGGCAGCAAAATCATCATGGTATCTTATATTATCCCGTACAACATGGAAAAGGTCGCCATGCCACGCGTCGACAGCCCGCTGGGGAAAATCATACAAGCAAAAAAGGTACCTGGAGTTGTTACGGGTATCATCATCCTCCTTCCACGCGCGTCCATAATGCATTACATGCCCTTCTTCAGAACATTCGTGACCAACCTCCCAACACCCCTCCCTCCCTCTGGCGTCGCCCCGACACGTCCTTGCGCACGCAGCAACACCGCGACATAGTGGCGAACAGGAATATAACCAACAATCAAAGAGGAAAGTTAAAAACGCGAAACGTGATAACCACGAAAGGGTGCTCAACCGGTGACTGCCGCAGGATATCAGAAAAGAGAAACCCTAGTTTCTTCCATCGAAAGAAAACCAAATGCCCGAGAAAAACGCCAATGGATACTTTTCCGTGCCCCGTCGCCCGTGCTACCATCCTTATCTCTCGGCCTTCATGCTCGTCGTGGGTCGGTAAGCACCCGACATCATCGTGAGCCTATTCGCAAGATCAAACATACAGCTTGTCAGGCGGCTTTTGAGAACCTCCCCCGCGCCCCTGAGATGATCGATTCCATGAGAACGCCCAATCCGAAGGGTAGAAAGTCTCGACACTAAAGTGCAGAGAGAATGTCGTAGTAAAAGGGTATGAGAAACAATAGATCCTATACAAGATGCACTTCCACCATACTCGAGGGGTATGCCACGTCCAGACATAACATTCATGAGCCGTCCATAGAATAGAGACTCATGTCTAGCGTGAGAGGCTCGTCGAAGTTTTGCTTCATCTTGTCCCAGTCGATATTGAAATGGGGAAGGGGCTCAAGCTCGGCCGACCCCATCATGTCCAGGTTCTCGGAATCCATCTTGAAGGCTTCCATGTTCAACAGGATGTCGGCATCCATTGGGTGCCAGCTGATGTCAATGTCGACATTGGCACCCTCTGAGATGTCGCTGTTCGGTTCGGATGTGCCACTGTCTTTGCTCGATTCCGGCGTATCGTTCGGTGTCCAAGATCGGAAGAGACGCATGTCGGTGATTGCACCCCCAGCAGCTGGCTCCGCGGAGCCAAAGGTAAGCATCAAGTCGCTAGGGTTCACCAGAGCCATCGACTGTTGCCATGCCAGATTTGTCGCCTGCTCATCCGACTGAGATACGTGTATGGAATCGGCGAAGCTTGGGGCGGCTCCTTGCACAGTTCCCATACTCGATACTGGCATATTCTTCGTGGCTTCCGGGCCCTTGCTGCCTGCTGTGCTTCCCTGCCGATTCATGGACGCGGCTCGCGCCATGGGGGTGGCTGCTTCTTGCTTGAGAGAGGGGGCCTGGCCTTGACTTGATTGGCCTTGCTCCATCAAAGGAGTCTGTGATGTGTTGATCAGAGCCCGCCCTTGCGAGTCCACGCCAAGAGTAACGGCGAGGCTGTCAAGCAAGAATTGGGAAGGATCCTCATAAGGCTTGATGTGCTCTTCTTGTATGTGCCTCTGCCGAGCTTCCTCAGACGTGAACCCGGAGCTGTTATCGCAGCCGGGCTCGCCGCACGGAAGGGTCGGCTTCTGTGGCGCGCGGGCTTCGGCAGCGGGGGGCTGTCTCTTGATCTCGGGTGATGGCGGTTTCGTCTGCGGAGACGCCGTGTTCGCTTGAGCCGTCGCCGCGGTTGATGTCTTGCGCCGCTTGCCCGGGGGCAAGATGAGCGTCTCTTGAGTTACAGCTGGCTTGCCTATATAAGCAGGCTGCCCGTGTGGTGAGGCAGCATGCAAGGGGAAGGGCGGCTGAGATGACGTGGGAGCCGCAGGAGGTCCGCTCTTACTATTCGACCTGTTGTGGGCCTTGTTTGCGGTCTTTGACACATCATCCGCATTGGCTTCGTTGGCCGTTTGGGAATGTGTGACAACGGGCTGCTGGCCAACGGGTTGCGCGGCTTGTTGTTGCTGGTTCAGGAGGTGGTGTTCCACCTCCTTCAACATACCGTCAAGCACAGTCTTGGCCTGGTCCAGTTCTGCAGCACTGATGGAAAACGTGTCCTTGAGCACCTGCATCTTGTCGGCGTCCGAGAACTGTGATACGAGGCGGAATCGCTGTGGTAGATCGTTAGTATAGAGAACAACGGCATTACAACATGTGCTATTTAGGGTACTCACAGTCCTGAAGAACATTCTGGCCCTTTTGTCGTCCCGGATCAGCGTATACCATCGACCGAGTGTTCTGCCAACCTTGACAATGGTCTCGACAAGCTGCTTGATCTTCTGGCCAACTTCTGCCTTTTCTTGTGGAGTCATCGCGATATCTGGGTGGTTGTCTTGCACGAAAGCCCTGTTCTCCTCGACACCCATCCCTTTGAGGCGGTTCATCAGCTCCGGTGGCGCGGCTGCGGCTGCTTGCTGGCGATTGCGCATCATTGCCTCGTATCTCGCTCTCTGTTCAGGAGTGAGCTTCGCAATCTGCTCCTTTGAGAGCTGTTGAGGGCCGGTCCGCTGTTTGGCCGGCGGCTGCTGAGGCGTCGTCTTTTGTGCGGTCGGCGCTGGCTGGACAGGCGCCTGTGGGGCTTCCTCAGCGACTGGCCGTTTGCGACTGTTTGCTGCAGCGCCGGGTGCGGAATTGGCTGCTGCCGGCCGGTTCTGCTGCGCGGCAGCTTTCCCAGAATCGGAGGCGGCAGTAGATGGCGCGCCGGGAGCCTGCTTCGGCTGGCCACCCGGGGCTACAGGCTGCGCAGCGGGGGGGCCATCTGTCTGGACCGGGGTTGGCTGGGCCGCAGCGTGGTTTGGCTGAGCCACCTGTGGTTGCTGCAGCTGTTGTGACAAGCCCGGTTGCATTTGGCCAGCAGGCATCTGACCCCCACCGTTGGCCTGGAGCGACTTCATGAACTGGTCTGTCCTCCATTTGATGATGTGTCTCCGTATAGTTTCGTCGGGAAGATTGCCAAAGACTTGGCTGTTGTTCGCTCTTGCAGTGGCGATCTCTTGTTGCGAGACTTGCATCATAGTGGGAGGAAGGCCTCGCGGTAACCCGCCAGGCATGTTCTGGGGTCGGTTCGGAGGAACGGCGGGGGGTTGCTGTGCTCCAGCTTGTTGTGCAAGTCTTTGCTTGTTTCGGTTATCCAATATCTGCTTGAATTGCATCATCTGTAAGCCACCCAGTTGTTCCCTTATTTGGTCGGGGACGGGATTTTGTTGTATCCAAGCTTTGAGGTCCTTCCACTTCTTGACCTCTTGCGGCAGGTTACCCGGGAATTGATCGATGATTTGCGCTGGAATCTCCAAGGTATCCATAACCATCTGCTGTTGGCTGGACACCGGGGCCATGTTGGGCATCCGTGTTCTCTGAAGCTGTGCTTGCATCAGGTTCTGTGGCGTGTTCTGGACGGCGGCGACATTCGGCTGTTGGCCCAGGTTCATCATGTTGGCCGGGTTGACCCCGCTCATTTGATTGAACTGGCCAGGCTGGGGTTGATCAGGGCGGGCCGTCATAGCTTGATTCTTGTTGCCAGCTTGCTGTCGTTGCTGCCATTTCGCCATCAGCTCATTCAGCTTCTCCGGTGGCATCCCCGCGAATTTCTGGCGCTCTTCATTCGACATATTGGCCATGAGGCTGTTGATAGCGGGGTTTGAGTTCATATTGCCAGGCATCGAGATGGGTCCTTGGTTCAGCCGGGCAAAGCGAGGGTCAAGAGGCTGGTTGAATTGAGGGGCTCCCTGAACCTGCTGTTGCCCGTCTGCCTGGCTCATTGGGACAGGAGGACGGCGTACGGGGGCATTGAGCGTGTTCATGGCCGGACTCTGGGAGGCGGGCATGGGCCCACCAAGTCCTCCAGGCTGTCCTTGCAATTGCTTAGCCGCCGCCTGGGCGCGCATCTGGGCGTTTTGGTTCTGGACATTGAAGGCCTGTTGCATCTGCTGCGTTCGCTGGGGTTGATTCGGGGTCTGCTGATTGTTCGCCATGTTGTGCATCGGCTGGGGCGTAGGATTGCGGCCGGGTTGCTGCTCGTTAGCCGGGACAACCACCTGGCCAGCTTGCTGAGCCATGATGCCCTGCTTCTGCTCATTCATGATGCTCTCGAAGCCGGAGAACTGAGTGACCTGGCCGCCACCCTGCTGCGCTACTGCATTCATCATCTGAGGGTTCATTGCCCTCTGGATCTGCTGCTGCTGCTGCTGCTGCTGCTGCTGGAGCTGCATAGCTTGCTGAGCCGGGTTCAATGCTTGTTGCCTATTGCGCATAGCTTGAGCCTGATTCTTCAGTGAAGAGTAGGCCTGTTGACAAAAATACCACATCAGAGGGTCCTTGCCGGACGCCCGGATGTTCGCCATCTGTTGCGGTGCCAATTTGCTTTGAAGTGAAAGCATCAGCTGTTGCTTCTGGCCGTCGTCGGCGCTGTTGTAGAGGCGCATTGCGAACTCCTCGACCTTTTGTCGATCCGCCGCGGAGAGCTGGCCCAGATCGAAATTCCCGGGGCCGTTGGGCCTCATCTGGTTGGCAGGCATCTGCATGTTGTTTTGTCCCGGCATAACTCGCATGCCCTGGTTCGCCATGTTCATTCCTAGGAGTTGAGGCTGCTGTGGTATAGGTGACGCCTGCATAGGTTGTTGGAGGTGTTGCAGTCCACGCTGCATCGGCTGCCCCATCGGCCCGCCCATCTGCCCCTGCAGAGCCGCATTCTGGTTCAGAAACAACTGTTGTTGTTGTTGCTGTACGGCCTGTGCTTGTGCGTGTGCTTGGGCCGCGGCTTGAGCCTGGAGGTTGTTCTGCAGGTTCTGGGCAATGCCAGCCTCGTTAGATTGTCGTTTCGTAAACATCTCGTGTGTCTTCGCGTTCATCTGCTTTTCCCACGTCGCCTTTTGATTTTGTCAGTGATAACAATGCAGGGTCAGACGGATGTCTCCAGACCGATACGTACCTTGTCGGGCATCTCGTTGAACATTTTTCGCTCAAATTCCAGGCCGAAGTGTGCAGCTCTTTGCCAGTCTTGGCCCGGTGTGGCGAGTATGGCGTTGGAGATTCTGCAAACAATTTAGCTCAAGGTCGAGTACTGAAGGTAGGATTTCTTGGGGGTTGTTATCGTACAGGTTGATGGCTTTTCCCATGCGCTCGGGTATTCCAACCGACGCCTGCCAACCTGGAGGATGGTTGGGGTTTGCCATCAGGTTTTGTACCACAATCTGGGAGAGCTGCTGCTGATTTATTTGGGTGGGCGAGAACCGCTGCTGTGGCCTCTGCTGACCCATCATCTGGCCAGCAGCCATCTGCTGCTGGAGATTGGCGGCCATGGCCGCAATTTGGGATTGGGAGCAAGCCCACAATCAATCGGCGGGGTCCCGTGTAGATTCCGTGTCCAGAGTGGTACCAAGTACAAGAATATGCAAGAAGATTCGCCGTGAGCGAAGGTCACGCAATGTGCGGTGGCCAGTGTCTGTCCTCAGCAAGGCAAAAAAGAATGGTCGAAACCTGCAGGCAGCCTAGCGCGAACAAGTCAAACCCTCATGCATCAAAATTTGTGTGCAGCGAGCTCGACTGGAGATTCGTCGGCGAGTCGGTAGCACGTCGAGCAAAAATTCGTTGGTTCAACGCGGACCGTGAGTCTCAAAGAGATCATGAGCAGTATGGAATGCGCCCAACCAGGTTGCTCCGCTCTCGACGTATAGAATACTTAAGGGCGCAGACTCCCGTCCGTCAGGAATCTGCCCTCTTTCCAGCAAGTACTTGACAAGACGACCGCCCACTGTTCGGTTTGGTCCGTGGCTGGGGCTCCCGAGTCGCGGAGCCCTTGCAAAGGGCGCTGGGGCCTGGTCGGTTCGCAGGCAGTCGAGCACGATCTCGAATCGGTCCCACGAAGCTTAGGCTGAGGATGGATTGGTTGAAGATGATCGGTAGGTCCTTCCGTCCCGAAAGCTCCTGGGGTAGAGGTCGAGGAGCGCAGCGAAGGAGCAACGGGTTTGACCGGGCCTGCGACAAGGCGGGAGTGCCAAACAGGGCTATTGCGTTCGATGATGGCGGGCCCGACAGCATAGATCGTAGGGTGGTTGTAGTCGCGAATCGACACGGCTGTATGCAGTGGTCAGTATCTGTCCTAAATGGGAAGACTCGTGTATCGCAGCAAGTCCCCTGGTCCGCAGTGCAAGTCGCTGCGGGCACCCGAGGGATCGTGAAGTAGGCATTCAGGGAACAATGGGGACCCATACCGTGAAACAAGTAACCGTCGGCTCTAGGTACGGAAAGAGAAGATACAGAGAAAGAAGAAATAGGCGGGATGCTCGAAAGACTCGTCCTGTCTGCAAATCCGCTCCGCATAGGGAGGACGAGGTTCGTCGACGAGAATGCCCGGGGGGGAGCAGCAGTCGTTTCTTGGGGAGAGGGAAGAGGCAAGTCGAAGTGAGGATGGGCACTCAGCGAAGAGCGAAGGGAAAAGAATGAGTGGAGGAGGATGGAGGAGCAGCAGGCAGGGCCCGGCAGAGACAGGTCGAGGTGGTACCTAACAAGGTAGGGTCATTTGGGTGGCTCCCGCGAGTACCTCGAAACCTTGGAACCGCACTACAAGGCGAGGAAAAGTGGGTGGGTGTGTGGGTAGACTAAGAGGAGATGGGTGGCCCTGCTGTGTTGTGTGAGTGGGGATGTACCTGCTGGTACCTCTGCCACCCTCTGTTCTCTCTCTGGAGGTGTTGTGCCCTTTCAAGTTGGGATGCTGTTTCTGGCTGCTGCTCGAGGTTGTTCAGTCCCATTTCGTCCGGTCGCATGTGGTGGATGGGCGCTGATGGGGTTTGCACACTCATACAAGTACACGGGCAGGTAGCAGTGGTGATGCCCTGCTCTGCTCGTGGCGGAATGGCTCATTCACCTCCTCTCATATTTGATAACTGACTACTGCTGCTCTCTTCCTCCTCCTCACATCAGTTAGTATCAGGAGGTGCTGCGCGGCAGAGCTCCGAGATTGAGATGGAGATTTGATCTCTCTAGCAAGCATGTGCTGATGGTCACTATTGATCGATGAAGTTTGTTTGACATCTTGTATGTTTTGCTCAGGCCAGCATTACGCTGTCTTTGTCTGTGTGAGCGAGCAACATCACCACAGACAGTAAAATAAACCTCACAATTCCAGCAGGCGACATGTCTCAGTCCTGATCCCATCCATGGTTGTTGACTGAAGAGGTAGAGAAGTGTACCATGCTTTCGGTTTTCACTCTAGAAGCCCAAAGACTCGGTTGTCTCTTCTTATTCCCTCAAATACCAAACGAGCAGACACCACTGGCGACACTCTCTTGTGGCCATTGTGCATTGTGTAGCTCTGCTTTCTTCCCTGGCTGTCCATGTCGACTACATCCATACCTACCTAATTCTCGACCCCCACCACGCCACCACCACGACCAGCACACAGTCGACTGCCCACCCACCTCCCTTTCCGCGGCACTACAGCACACCAGAGGAAATGAAACAGGTGATCGAGGTGCCGGCTGTTGCGAGAACAAGAAGAACAGATCCAGCACCAAATGCTCAGTGAAGAGTAGAGAGCGTTTGTGGGTGGTGTCCACGCTTCAAACAATGGGGGCTTGTCGACGACCCTTCATCCCTCCCGGGCTAGTGATGTACCAAAGGCCTCGACGAGAGCCAGCATTGTTCCTGTCCCTGCAGAATGCGACTGACTCCAAGTACTTTGGACAACTTGGACCCGAGCCAACACTGCGATTTACCCTGGGATGACCCTTGTTAGCGGTGCCCACCCGCCTGCAGGGGCGCCAGGCTCTTCAGGCTCTTGAAGCCACATCCAGATTGAGTAAATGCTCGACCATTGCTTTTTTGGACTTTCCTGCTTCTATTGAAGATCCCTAGCAGCAGCCAGCCAAACAGCCTTAAAGTACCCGGGCGGTGACAACAGAGACACAGCTGCCTCTGCTACCAATGATGCTTCGTGCTGCATGGCGTCTATCTCCGATGTCTCGTATGCGTGTATGTATCCATGTATTGTCCGTCTAGTTATTTGGAGGCTTACCTAGTACTTGTATCTACTCAGATCGTGTTGTCAAGAATGCTCAATTCTGCTCACACACTCCCATACTTTCCAAGCGGGTGTCAGACGGTGTCAGAATAGATGAGAGAATTTCATCAGGAGATACGTCGATATTAGCGATGCGTCTCCTTGCTCCAGGACTTGGAAGGACTATCCCACAGGTACCTAAAATCCAATGGGTTCGACAGATAATCAAGTACTTCTGTTAGCAGCCCCCCGAGGCTACTGTGTAGATGGGAGATGTGCAGACAACGACAACCGAAACCAACAGAGACCAAAGCCCGGCAGTGAGAAACAGTCATGGGAGAGTAAGTCGCCAAACTTGTGTGGTTAGCTGCCCAGCACAGAGCCCTGCTCGCTATGTGGTCCAACGTGCGTTGAGAAGCCTTCGTAAACGGCCAACAGGGGCCGGGCCCGCTCCAAGGTGAAAAGAAGTGAGGACGAAAAGCACGCCCTGCTCAAGAATTGGTCTCAGTATGAATGGACCGGCAGCGTTCCTGTAGTCATCTGGCCCATTTACATGAGAATATCACGAACTCGGTGTCTTGGATGTTGGCGATGCAAAACACCTCGAGACGGGCGTGTCTGTGGATTCGGATACGGGCCTCGAAAGCCTCAACTCCCATCTGAGGGAGCTCTTTCAGTATGAGCGCGCAGCCCTCCGGCAATCACGAGAGGACGCAGGCATGCAGTTCTCTATTCTTATACACGGGTAGGATCGCAAAAGCAAGAGCTTTTTGCGGCACTTGGCTGGCGCAAGCAAGCCAAGCAACCGTCCTGTCCATCATCTATTGGCCGGGGACACTACCCTCATGAGCCCGCGGTGAGACAGTGGCTGCGAGGTTCGCCGCCGTAACGCAGCCGCTTCATACCTAGGTATCCTACCTAGGTCAAGTAAGTAGGCGTCATCTGCGATGATGTCCTTCCCCCAGCGTGCAGCGCGGGGCTGTTCGTGGCTTAGGGGTACTACTTGACACAGAGTGAGTTGATATCGTTCTCATCCGGTCGGGTACGGTCCATGATGCCTGCAATAGGGTGACCCCCTGTAGCGTACCGGTTTACACCCAACCAAGCCGGCTACCACCTGAGCCCGATGGACAAGGTATTCGTGCGTGCGGTGTCTGTGTGTGTATCCATACGTACCTACATACTTGCCTAGGAATTCCTTGGCCTGACTACTTCTTTGCAAGATGCACCCTCCCAGCCCAGAATCGCTGTCACGGCGCAAGCGTCAGATTGAGCAGAGTTCACGTAGGGAGCGATGGCAAAGTTTCCGAGAATACAGCACGACGCAACGTGGATCTCACATTCCCTCCCGTCTTGGTGCCCATGGGACGAACCTGGGTTTCTGACTCGTCCGGCTCGACCAGAGGAGTTCCAGAGAACGCTGAGACGCGGGCTACACCTCCCGTGCACCCACTCCTCCTGGTGGCCAACCGGATCGGCGCACCGTGGTCACTGAAACAACTTGAAGCCTCGACTCCTTGTTATGGAAAGGCGCTGTATCGTGCGACTCGTCGTCGGCTCACAGATGGGAGTCGGCCCAATGTGTGAACTCGGCCTGGTGGTCAATCTGTCGGTCCTGTCCTAGGAATGATATCAGCAGAGCCAGGTACCTACATTACCCAGAGGCTAGCAGCAGAGAGGGCGAGGGAAGCTTTGATTAGCAGGTCTGCGCAATGTGGGTCGAAGACTTGACATTTGAGAGTGGATTGGATTAGCGGCAAGACGAGTGAAGAAAGCGTCAACGATAAAAGGTCTCACGGCTCGCCGAGCTTCCCACTCACGCCCACACAACTGCCACGGCCCGGGAGCTAAAACAAGTAGCTCGTCACCTCGACCCCAAGATCCTTTGTGTGGCTGCGCTCTAGTCTCCATTGGAGGATGGATACTTGGGGAGACTACGAAGATCCAGCCTCCTCGGGCGGCCCTTTTCCACCAAGTTTGCCATCAAACATGCCACCGTGGGCTCAGAGCAAAGAACGAGGGCAAATCACGCGGCACCGGGTTTTCCTCGCGACTTGGGACGGTTTCTTTTGCACGTCTGCCAATCTGCACCGCCATTTTACCCAAGGGCGGATTGAGGATCGCCAGATGAGAAACGGGCTTTCGCACGTGTGAATGTGAACAAGTGTGTGCGTGTGTGCGTGTGTGTGCGCGCGTTGCGTGTCGTGTCCCTCATGGGTTGTCCCGGATGAGGCACCGCAAGGTCGGTCTCCAACCTCCGTCTCAAGTTTGCCCTCTTCTTTTAACGGCTGAATAGCTCGTGTGTATCAGTCGGCATTGGGAGAGACCACCGCCGGTTGCTAAGGTCTAAGCGGCCTGTGCTAAGGGCCTCCTCCCTGGCCAGCATAATTACTGTGCGCGCTGTCTAGACTGTCTGTGGTTGCTTCACACATGAATCCTGGGTTGCCGTAAAAGGAGGCAGAAATAGGTAATGGAATACAGAATGATGTGAATCGATGATGAACATTCTAGGGATTCGGAGAATTGGTCTAGAAAAGCACGGCAGAGATCGCAGTGGCGTGCTGGACCAAGTTTTGCGGGCAAGACAAGTGGTCTCCTCACACACGCTTTCTCTCTCTCTCTCTTTTGATACAGCAGAGCTTGTTTGATCGTCACCGTCAGAAAAAGGGTTGCCAGGGATCTGGACAAGATGAGGGCAAAGGGTAGCAAGATTGGGTGTGGCCCAGGTGTGGGGAAAAGAGGGACTCCCTCCCGAAAACAACCCCAGTCAATCATCAGTGAGAGTGTTCCTGGCTTCGTCCCCTTGCTCGATTTTCTCGGCACAAGACAGACAGATCTTCCCTTTTAGCAATGCAGCCACAGAGGGTTTGGCTGTGCTGCTCCGTACCTACATGAGTACTTTACCTACTACCGTACTGCCAGTACATCAAGTGTATGTGCATACATTAGTACATACACATCTCCCAACCACCGTTGCCTGTTTTGGTCTTGTCCATCCTGTCTGTCTCGGGGTGCTTCAGACCAGGTAGGTCTGTGTCAAGGAGTACCGAGGACAAGAACTGAGCTCGTTGCTCGCGGGAGGGAGTTGGGAGAACAGATAACAAGTAAACAGACAGACAGAGAGAGAGAGAAAGAGAGAAAAGGGCGGCCGTTCTCCAGCTTGATACCTATCATATCTCGTCCTCCCTCCCTCATTTCGTCGTCTTGTATTCCCCCTCCGGGTGGGATTTTGGTGCCCTTGCGTGTGAACAACACGGAACTATCCTCTTGCAACTTTCTCTTCAGGCACGCGCGAAAAGGGATTAGTGCCAGGACGACGCCTCGATTGGCTGCCGGTCGACATCCGCTAGACAGGGGCCACCCCGGTAAGCCCAAAGCAGGCCGGTACTCCCAAGTACCCTCGAGACAGCCCATCCCGGTGTGCCTGGGCCACCGGACTGCTCGACAAAGTTGGACTTTCTGCGCTTGTCCGGCTGATGGAGGGGCGACAGGAGGCCCCAAGATGACAATGCCAGCTGACAAGAGCGCCCGGGCTCGTCTACCGCACACGCCTTGTCAGAGCGATCCATTGATCTGCCCCAGTCAGTCAGACAGTGGGGAGCTGATACCTATGGCGATGCTTTTCCTTTGTTCGCGAGCATCTACGGAGTAAACGAACTGTTGTGTGTGCGCGCGCGTCCCACCGAGATCGTTGAGAGGAGCTCGCCAGATCCTGCCTCTTCATCTCGGATGACAAACGCTGCGCATAGTTAGTTATCCCTTGTTTCGCTCTTGGGCGCCTTTTGAACCCCTCCGCCAATTCCAGCGCAGTAGTAAAAAGCATAAAAGCAACTTGAGGCTATTTTCCTGTAAACACCGCCGTTTTTGGGGGGCGGCCGCGCGGGGGAGAAACTCTGGTTCTGTGGAATTCAAATTCGCGACTAGGCCCGCCATTTAAAGTGGCCAGGTTCAGGAACGACTGGCAAGCCTCTTGCTGGGACTGTCCACTGGTCTCAAAGGTCTTGGAAAGCCAGGCGACGGGCTGATGCAGGTACAGTCGCCGTTGTTTCGTCTCATCCTCGCTCGAAAATGGCGTGAGTGAACTTGTACAGTCCGGGGGATCCCCAGAATAGAATGTCGGGTGTCAAACGAGTGCCGGCCCGGGATGGACTTGAAGACGTTGACTGGCAGAGACCAGACCTAATCTTTACTGTCTCGCACGCAATCATGCATCTTGTCCCCTTTTTTTTTCTTTGCTGCCCCTCGGGGCCTTGCTTTTTCTTCCCCCTCGACGAATACGAGTCCCTTAGGCCAGTCTCGGGCTACACAAGGGTCATGTATCCAAGTCTTGTCAGGCAGGCGCGTGTGGCGATGATTCGCCCGGCCGACCTTGACGGCGTAAGCTGGGGCGGTGGTGGCCCAATGGCGGTGCGCTCACGGTCAAGCTCTACCAGAGAGACGAAAGGGGGCGCGGTATGCGCCTCTTGAATCATTGTGCAGGTCCAAGGTGAGTTGACAGGCGGCCTGCCTGCCTAATGACGATGCGCCGCGATGACTGATGCCTTGTTCTGCCCGATCGTCGAGGAACGCGCCTTGCACATATGTCTGTCTTGTTGTCTTGTATCCATCGTCCCCATTGTCCGACCCTTGGCCCCCCCATTGTTCACAAGGTAAGGAACGAGAGAAAACAAGGAAACAAGGCATTAAGAATGATCGAAAAAGATGGAGAGACACACGCAGAAGCAAGACAACATTCGTCGTGAGGCATGTGGTGGGGTGAGCCCACCTCTCATCAACGTGATGCTGGCCTGGTACAGAACGTTGGCAGGCGAGACAAGATCCAGCCAAATGGGTACTATTGAGCTTCCATGGAGAAGCAACTCCTCCAAAACACGCAAGAGTGTGTCAACCACGCTTTGGGGCAAAGGAACGGGCGATATAGCCTGACTGCCATATTAAGATCATCCGACACGCTATGCGCGCGTGATGGCTGGATGGTGACATGCCACTTGCACATAGCAAATATCCTACTCATTCTAACTGAGAGTATATCATTCTTCATATCGAGACAGCATCAAGCCCAGGCAATGTACGGAGTATATCCGTTGGCCTCTGGTCTGACCGCCAGTCTTGGAGTCATAGGTTGGTAGGTGCATTCAGATGAGCTGGACAGCGAAGCGATCCAAGGGTATGAGGGACCGACCGGGTGTGGTAAGGCCAACTGATGGAGACAAGGGGTGAGACAATGCTGGCTTTGCCGGGATGCCAAGGACGTCAGGACCGTCCACGGGCATTGTTGATTCGATGTCGCACCCGGCTCTGAGCTAGATCTACTCATCTGTTCGCAATCAACCTCTCTAGGATGGCAAGACACCCGGTAACCTGCTGGACAATGGTATGCACCAACAAAACATATCTATCTGTCTGGCCTGCAGGCGGGCGATGTGTATCATTCATTGCTCGGCCCTGGTGGCTTGTCAGTCGTCACTAATAAATCAATGTGGGCGCGGGACCCATGTTTGATGGCGGCGGCTACAGGGGGGCCTTGTAGTGAGTGACACTCCGGACATCCATCTCCCAGTGGTCGGGGTATTGCTATTTGCGTCTACTTGTATTTGCGTCAAGTTGAGTCTCTCATAGTTCTCGTAATTTTGGAGGCAAACAGCGCGCAGATTGGGGGGAAGGACACTGGACTGTGACGCCCGCCCGGTCTCCCAACTCAATGGCGAATGAGGCAGAAGAGGTTTGAACAAAAGATGTAAGCATGTATCCAGGTACCCATGTACTTGTACAAGTGTTGCTCGCTGGCAAACTTGTCAAGGGCAAAGTCAAGGGCAAAGTCGAGGGCAAGGGACCTCGCGGCCACGGGAGTGGGTCACATGTGGGAAGGCGGTGACCTTCCTGACTGGGTGATCTGCTTGGGTGGGAGGCACTGTCGCACCCTTCGCACCTGCCCTGACCAGCCATCCACACTCGTCCTGATTGGCCTCTCTTCTTTGGCTTTGATATCCAGATCCGCTCACTCAATCACAGCCTCGACCTCGTCTTCCCGCCATATCCACGATCTTCTGCATCTGAGCATCGCTGGCTGTAGCCATATCAATCTCTTTGTAAATGCTGAAGGGCTGCTATTCCCTCGGCCTGTCAACACGTCCTCGTATCGTGATAAGCGCTCCCAAGGTTGGATCGCGTGCCTCTCCGGTCCTCATCGCTCGCTTCTCGTCCACTAGCTTCCTATCCACCATGGCACCTCCCAAGTCGGCAGCCGAGTTTGTTGACTTTGTCAATGATTCTCCCACCCGTGAGTCTGACGTAGGGGTGAGGTGTTTCCCCTGTTTTCTGTATCTCCGTGCTAACCGAACTCTGCACCTCAAAGCCTACCATGCCGTGGCTTCTTCTATCGCTCGCCTAGAGAAGGCTGGCTTCAAGGTCATCAAGGAGCGAGACAACTGGGCCTCGACCCTCCGCCCTGGCGGCAAGTACTATGTGACCCGCAATGGCTCTTCCATTGTGGCGTTTGCTATCGGCGCAAAGTGGCGCCCCGGCAACCCAATTGCCATGATTGGTGCCCATACCGACTCTCCGTGCCTCCGTATCAAGCCTGTGAGCAAGAAGTCCGCCAATGGTTTCCTGCAGGTCGGAGTCGAGACGTACGGCGGAGGCATCTGGCACAGCTGGTTCGACCGTGACCTAAGCATTGCCGGTAGAGTCCTGGTCAAGGACTCTGAGGGCAACTTTCATCAAAAGCTGATCAAGGTCAATAAACCCATCCTGCGCATCCCCACCCTCGCCATCCACCTGGACCGCTCTCCGGAGTTCAATCCGAACAAAGAGAACGAACTTTTCCCTATCGCTGGGCTCGTTTCTGCCGAGCTCAACAGGACCGGTGCCTCGAGCACCGACGATAAAGCCAAGGAAGAGGGTGCCGATTCCGAAGACTTCCAGCCTCTGAAGCAGATGACTGACCGACACCATCCCTATATTCTGGACATTATTGCTGAGCACGCTGGAACCGAGGCCGAGAACGTTGTGGACTTTGAGCTTGTCCTCTACGACACACAGAAGTCGTGCCTGGGCGGCCTGAATGACGAATTCATCTTCTCTGCTCGTCTTGACAACCTGAACATGACTTACTGCAGCGTCATGGGCCTGATTCATTCTGTCAACTCGACAGACCTGGACAACGACAGCTCGATCAGGCTTATCACTTGTTTTGACCACGAGGAAATTGGTTCCACATCTGCCCACGGTGCCAACTCAAACCTGCTCCCTGCCATTATTCGCCGTCTTTCTGTCGTTCCAAGCTCGCAGTTCTCCGACAACTCGAGCGACAAGTCCTACCACCATGTCGAGTCGGAAGGCGACGTGGCTACTGCGTATGAGCAGACCTGCTCCACCTCGTTCCTTGTCTCGGCAGACATGGCTCACAGCGTCAACCCCAACTACGCGGGCAAGTATGAGAGCAACCACCAGCCCGAGATGAACAAGGGCACCGTCATCAAGGTCAATGCCAACCAGCGCTACGCCACCAACTCACCCGGTATCGTCCTGCTCCAGGAGGCAGCCAAGATTGCCAACGTGCCTCTGCAGCTGTTTGTCGTCCGCAACGACTCGCCCTGTGGAAGCACCATTGGTCCCATGCTCTCTGCCAAGATGGGAGTTCGGACTCTCGACCTTGGAAATCCCCAGTTGAGTATGCACAGCATTCGCGAGACCGGAGGCTCGTATGATGTTGAGCATTCCATCAAGCTGTTCGAGGCCTTCCTCTCAAACTACTCCAAACTGGAGCACAAGATCCTTGTAGACTAAGATACGTACGTTTATTTGGGATTCACCATGGCTCATCGATCTGGATACTGAGCCGCTGCATATTATTAACAGTTGCACCGGCCTTGGAAGTTGCATGTTGTTCTCCTATACTTGTTACTGACAAATAATGCGACAATAGCACAAAATGCAAAATGCCTGTTCAATCAAATATGTAAATGCAATCGTGTACTAATGAGTATCTAGAGATCTATATCCAATGCTCTCATGCAAAATATTTCCAATGCCCTGCTTCTTACTTTTTGTCCGTAACGCCAAACCAGCCGACAATACATCAAGAGAACCTCTCAGATCAAAATCTCGAAGGTAAGCTTCATTTACTACCAGGAACCAAGATGACCGCCGATGGGACCGTGCTGAGGCAACGGACCCGGACCCAGTTGCTCGCTGCCGTCCATGAGCTCGAAGCGCAGCGCGAGGTGCTGCACCTGGCACCGCATTCGCTCGACAAACCGGAGCATGTCGTCGGTGTTGAGGACCGAACCTTCCTGATCGAGGGTATCGAGCACGATGTACTCTGCGTGCGACAGAAACTCGCCCGTCACGAAGTAGTAGCTGTGGTAGCGGCACAGCGCCTCCGGGTCGAGCACCCGGCGCGGGGGGTAGGCGCAGTGGTCGCAAGCGTCCCGGTCGCGGGACTCGGCGAACGGCGAGCAGGGCACACAGGCCCACAGCCGGCCGGTGGCCGGCTCGTAGCGCAGCACGTACTGGCCCGGGCGGTGCTGGTTGACGGGCGCCAGGTCGACGACCCCGACCTGCGGCTGGCGGCCGCGGTGCTGCACGTCCATCCGGCCCCGGAGCTGCTCGGGCGTGTACCGGCTCAACAGCGGGATGGGCACGGCGGCGGGGATGGTCGGGCTCCGGCGCAGCAGCAGCGAGTTGCATTCGGCCGGGGGCGGGCTGCCGTGCGTGTCGCTCCACAGGAGCCGCTGGAGCTCCGAGACCAGGGCGTCCTCGGGCGTCGCCTCGATGGCGACGGCGCTCGTCGGCTCGGCGAGGGGGCCCGTGCCGTGCGGGCCCGGGTCCACGTGCCGCGTCGCCCGGTAGATGACCTGCGCGCAGCGCTCGACGATGCTGTCGAGGCCACCGTCCGGGACGAAGCTGGGTGGCGGTGGCGCGGGGGTGGTGGTGGCGGCGGGTTGGGCAATGGTGGTGGCGGGCTGGGCAAGTCCTGGAGGAGGACGCGGCGGCTGGGGGCTGGCCGCGGCGGGTCGAACCGACGCCGGGATGAACTCGGGAGCGGTCGGTATCAGGCCCGAGCTGCGGCGAGGCTCGCGTCCGGGGGCTGGAGCGGAGGGACCAGAAGATGACTGTGCCGCTGTTGGCAGCCGCATGGAGTTGTTGCGGCGGTCACCTCCTGGCTGGGAGTTTCGAGTGCGATGCATTGCCGGGATGCCAGAAGGTGATGGATAGGGTAGGCGTACTCTGTTTGTTGAATTTGTCCACAGCAAGTCGCAAGTATCTCTGAGAAGACACTGGATGTAGCTCGTCTGTGAAAAAGGAAGCTTGAGGTATGCACTGACGGGTTTCCAGGGGTGCTTTCTCGAGACTGCCAGGGGAAGTGTTGGCATGGTGGTGCAGAGCTGCGTCCGTCGCTATTTATACCGGCCAGAAGAAGGAGAGGGAGAGTGTTAAGAAGCTCCCAGTCACTACTGCAAGGTTGCTGTCCGAGAGTAAAGGCAAGGTTATCCTAGACAATGCTCTCATGTTGGTTGTGCTGCTGCTCGGTGACATATGGGAACTAGACAATGGTGTTGCGACCTTGTTGAGTCTCGGGGGGAAGTGAAATAAACAAAGGCAATTGTCGTGTGTCAGTTAGGAGCGCCCAAGTACCTGCAGTGAAGGAGATCCTGAGGGAACGGTTGTTGAACTTTGGGCAAGGACCGACCATGGAAGAAAGGAGGGAATCGTTCGATACCCATGGTTGTTAGATCACTCGGAACCAGGTTAATCGACAATGTGACCAGCGAGATCTTTGAAAACTGGGGGGATGGGCTGGTATGTTGGAATACTTTGAAGTCCCGGAGATATTCACTTCTTGACAAACTACGTATATAACAATGAAGAACAGTTAATGAAAGTCCATCCAAGGGAAGAGAAAAGCACAGTCACGGAATATGTTGGCAGCCGGTTGGGAAAAGTTTTGGCCTCGAAGCAGCATCCTGTCTTCTTTTATCAAGCAACAATACTACTTAGGTATTTGTTTTTGGACTTGTATCTTCCAGCGACAAACAACTTGCGGACAACAAGTGCAACAAGGCAAGATGAAAACACAAAGACAATTGTTTTGGTAACCCTCCCTTGTTGGTCAAGTTGGTACAAAGAAACAACCGACCGTGGAAGACCCCCATGATCACGAAACAAACTGGAAGAAGCTCGGGAAACGAGAATATTGGAAGATGCGCGTGCACAGGGTTTAGTTTCCCATTTTATATCTAGGCTACGAAGCTATGCTGGTATCACCGAGAAATGAAACAGAGCGTCCTCTTTCCTCTAGAGCATCAAGAGGACTGTATAATGACTGTAAATCGCCGACAGCCGCATACTTTTTGGACTCTCCCTTGGACCTTCCGGAGCGGCGGTCTCTCTATATGTCTCCCTCTAATACCAATCACCTCCGGTTCTTCAACAGATGCAACAAGTAGTTCGCAAAGGTCTTCTTATCGACTGACGTGGTCAGCGACCTGAGAAACTCGTTGCCATCGATTCCGAGTTGCGGGAAGAGGTTCGACTCGAGATGCCGGATAAAGACATTACCGGTCTTCGTGTAGATGGTCTGCTCCAGTGCTGCAATTTCATTGAGCACCTGCTTCGACTGAGCATCCTTGGACGGCCTGAAGGAAGAGTCTTGAATGACCTCCCAGCAGACCGAGTGGAAGCGTTCAATCACGAATTGATCGAAACCTGGAATGGTCGGAGCCGGATCTCCGCTTGGTGCAGAAGGGTTTGCCGAAATATCGGCAACGGATGGGCCACCCCACACCGTGGTCATGTTTGCCAATAGACAGAATGCCAGCCGACTGGCCGTCAGGTTCCCGTGGCTCGTCAGTTTGGCTAAGGAGATGATGGACTCTATGAGAGTCTCGAAGAAGCCTTGGTTGGTTTCGCTCACAAGGACACCGCCGAGATCATTATTGAGGATGATCTGGAGGAAGGAGAGGTACTCTCGTCGAAGCTCTGCAAGCTGGATCTCGTCATCCGTCCCGGCAATGGGTTCAGACAAGCCACCAAAGACACGCTGCAGGAGCGGAGTGAGGAGAAGGTTGAGGACCGTGTAAATCTCGCCCTTGAAACCAAACACGACCTGTTCCAACAGCCGAAGGAACATGGCCATCTCGTCTTTGGAGGAACTCTGTGAGAGGAGTCCCTCAATCCACTGGGGAAGCTGTGGAAGGACGGATGCACCAAGGACATTGATCAGCCGTGAAAAGGCAGACCGACATGCAGCCCGAATCTCGCCGTTCGAGTTGAGCTGGCCCAGAGCAATCAGAATGACTTCCGCAGCTCTCGAGAACTCGTCTGAAATGCCCTTCTCCTGGGGTGGTCGCCTGCCGACCGACGCAGAGTGGTCCGAGAAACCATAAGCAAGGGTGCCCAGTGCCATGACAATATGATGGATCTGGAGCAGTGCCTGAGCATCGCCAGACTTGGCCCGCTGGAGATGCTGTTCCATGTCGCTGAACAAGGGTTCCATGACAGAGCGTGCATACAACGCTTGCTTGTCATTCGGTGTTGCTGGCGTGGAGGAAATGGAACCGATGGCTTCATAGAGATACAGCTGGCCGGTGAATATGGCGTTGGCCGAGTTGTCGACCTCGTCCGACGACATGTCATCGTCGGCCTCGTCGTTGGCAACCTCGGCCTTGATGGGAAGAAGGTCACTGATGGACTGGATGACAGTCTCTGCCACATTGCCCACTTGCAGTCTCAGTTGCTTGATGAACCTATGAAACAGGTACCAAGAACGTACGCGGATGCGAGGATGGTCATGATGGACAAGGCGGACAAAGCTCTCAAGTACCCGCGGAATGTATTCTTGCTGGGCCTCGAAGAACGCACAGTATCTGACGACAATCTCCATGTACTGCAGTAGGATTGCGGGGTGGGGGAAATTGGCGATGCCTATTGAAATGTCAGTATCGTTTGCTTCATGGTAATAGGGGTTTCGCTCAGTAATTACCAGAGTCAATCATCTTCTTCATGATGGCGATGAGACGCTCAGCTGCCGCGCTGGAGGGCTGGTTCTTGGTCGTGAGCCCCTGGTTCGGTAGAGCAAGCTCCCCGAAGAGATACATCTCGTGGAGGGCCAGGTCCAGGTCGCGCCAGTCCATCCGTGAGCCTTGCTGATCCAATGACTGAAACGTGTTTGCCACAAGGTTGCTCAAAATCTCTATGTAAAGATTTTGGTCTACCGCTGCCACACTCTTTTGAAGGATTTGAAGCCGCTTGCGCAGCTCCTGGAATTCGGCCTCGTCGGTCTGCTCGTCCTCGTCGCCCCAGTTGGCAGTCTCGTCGTACCTCATCTTCAACACGATCGCATTCAGGATAGCAGGAAGCATTTCCACGTACGAGGTAGGGAGGTTCTGGATCTTGCGGAGGAAGGTGAGAAGGTCAGTGAGCGAGGGGATGACCGTCGAGCAGACTTCATCGTACTCGTCGGAGAAGAATCGGAGTAGTGCTGGGAGGAATTCATGGAGAAGCTGCTCTGCCTTGCCCCTAGCCTCGCTGCCAATCTGACTGTCCTCGAGAGCGCGAACAATATCACTCAAGACATTGTTGACAAGCTTTGCTACCGTCTCGGCAAGGTCCGTGTCGTACTTGGGGGTTTTCTGGAAATCCTTGAGGGGTGGGCTCTCGATGAGCTGATTGATGACCTCTCTCAAACTCAAAAAAGCGATCATCTCGATCTTGTCTGCCGACTTCATCTTCTTGCCGACGACCTCGGTAAAGGTGTCAATGGCTGCATCCCGGACCTTATCTTCCTTTCCAGTCGCATTGGCACGGCCGACCAATGGATACAAGAGGTTGAGCATGTCTTGGTTGATAATCAAGCCAATGTCGATCCAGCTGACCCATTTGGCGATGGCCTTGAGGGTCATCTCGATGACTTGATCATTCTGCGAGCTGTACTCGGACAGTAGTTGCTGCCAAGAGGCAGCAATTCGTCGCATGTCTCGCTCTCTGATCGAGTCCTTCAAGTCGGCATTGCGCTTGGCTTCGTTGCCCGTTCGGGACAGCAAGACATCTGCAATCTCGTCGTGGACCGAGTTGAGAATACGCAGGTAGAGGAAAATGCCATTGAGGTTGTCCATGCGGCCACTGTTGGGTGAGCCGGTAAGGGCCAGAAAATCGTCAACGAAGGTCTCCCAGCCATCCCGGTACAGATAGACGAAGAGGTAGGTCAGAGTTTGTGTCAGCTTGTTCTGAAGGTGTGGCGGGTCGACGGCCTCCCCCGAGCTCGTGCCATATGTCCGCCTGACATAGCCGAGCAAGTTTTCTTTGAGGAATGCCAAGCTCTGGGTGTCTAGAGTCTGGGTTTGGACTGCGTTGTTGACAACCTCGAGAGAGACGAGACGCACGACTTCAGAGGTCCGCGGTGTCCTGGTGAAGAGGGTCGCGCAGACTTGCCAGGCCTGGGGGTCAGCCCTCAGCTGGTTGAGGAAGTCGAAGGCCTGCGATTTGAGGTTCTGGTCCGAGGTTGGGTTCCATGCGATCTCGATGGCATTCTCGATCTGCAGGCCGCGCAAAGCAACACATGTTAGCAGAGGTACTACTCATAGGATGAATGAGGAGCGACATGATCTAGTGACGAGGTTCTGGCAGGACTTCTGCTGGAAGACACCTCGCCATCCGGACCCTTGTCGCCCGGGCATATGTCCGCACCTGGCTGTCCATGTTCGCGGTCTGTCTGCCCAGCAACGCAGCTGGGCTTGACTGGGGAGGTTGTAGAGAAGTTCCAAAGCTAGACTTTCAGACTGCTATAGTGTTGGCAGCCCTTGCCGGGTCGTATCCAGCATAGCTAATCCAACGCGGGGCTGAAGCTATCGAGGGCCCATGCCTGGCTGGAGGGGCGGCGACTGGGGGATTGGCGGGGGAGGTCGCAGGGGAAGCAGACAAAAAAAAAGGTTACAGCACAGCACTGCACCAGATCGACGTTGCTTTTTGCAGTTCCAGAGGTATGGACTGGGAAGCACCGGGAGTGTCTAGAGGCGGTGAAGATGGAGTGATTCACCAGGAAGAGTGGCGCACAAGTTTCGGTTCAAAAAGGCGATGATGAGTGAGGTTGTTTGGTTTGTGTTGTGCCTTAGACCGCCGCCCCAGGATAGTGGTTATCGATTTGGTGGGGCAACTCGAATTTGAGAGAAAAAAAAAGTGTACAGAGTAGGTAACTAGTAGTGGCCGTCAGTGGCTAGAATGAAGTTAAGTTAGAATGAAGAAAGCTTTACACCGGTATCAATAATAGCCTGACGTAAAGCGTTCTTTCCAGAACCCTCACGTGCTAAAAATGCCGAGGAAATTCAATATGTGCGGTGAGCACACGATCACAGGAAAGAGTCTGGCTCAGTGTCCCGAGAGCTTGTCGACTCTTTTTTTATTCATACGAAGTGACTAGCTTTGCGATGTAAGAGTCAGACTGGGATTTGATGAGGCAGCAATGCAATGCTGAACTGGACTGAGCTCTCGGGCCGGACTGGAGAGCAGCTCCTGACATGCCACGTCAACCAACCTCACATCCTCTCAGGCTCGCCCTCACTCTATACAGGCTGAAAGCATGGTGTAATGGACTCCATTTGTCCTCGCAGGGTCCTCGCAGGGTCCTCGCAGGGGATAGAAAAGCAACTGCAACCTTTCTCTATGTACTGTAGCTTACAGTAATAATTGCCTAGGCCATACCATACCAATCAATGCCAAAAAGGTTTTGTCCCAATCCTGAACGCCTGGTATTCTAACAGAGGTGGGTCGAAACATCGACGCCAGCTTTTTTACGAGCTGCGCTTCTTCTTCTTAGGCCGCTCCTCCTCCTCCTCCTCCTCCTCCTCCTCGTCCTCCTCGTCCTCAACCTCGTTGTCAACATCGCTCTCGTCGCTGCCCGATCCAGAGCTCTCATGTGCCGAGTCATATTCCTCTGCAACGTCACTCTCCGACTCGGCTTGGAAGTCCTCGTCCACACTCTCCTCGTCCTCGTCCGCTGAGCCACGATCGGCCTTGGCGCCGACGACCTCCTCGTCCGAGTCAAGCATGGCCTCGTCGCGAAGAGCCGCCGCCATGAGGTTCGCGTCCTCGTCGATCTCGTTCTTGACACGCAGTCCCTTCAACTTGAAGAAATCCTCCAGAGCCTTCAGATCTTCACGATTAATGTTGCTGAATTGCGATGACCCTGCGCCGTTCTTCATAAGGACGGTGATATCAAAAGTCGAGAGAGCCGAAACAGCTCCGCCGACGCGAGAAAAGGTAATTGACTGCGTCTGCTCGTACGAGATGTAGGTGGCCGGCTTGGGCACAAACATGAACGCCTTCTCCAGGCAGTAGAGGAAGCCCTCGCTCGCCTTGATCGAGCACTTGATGCCGTACTGCTGGCGGTGTCTATAGGAGAAGTATGTCAGCAAAACGGGTCATCGGCTGGGTGAGATACAAAATGGGGTAGATGACAAACGTACGTAGTAAAGTCCTTGGCTGGCGCAGTCACCCTCTTGTTGGCAAGACCCTTGAAGATATAGGTGACAACTTGGTGCAAGGGCTGCTCGTAATGAGGCTGCAGCCTGTCCTTGTACTTTCCGTTCAGTTCTTCCTCCGTGATGTTGAGATCCAGCGTCACCTCATCATCGCGCTTGAACTGCATAACGATGAAAGGGTATCTGGTTTGACCTTGGCGCAGAGGGGGGTCGAGGCCAATGCACAACAGGAAATGCATCTCATCGGGCTTGGGAAGTACCATAAACTTCTTGATGGCATCGTATTGGATCTTGTAATCGTAAGTCTTACCACGAAGTCGGAACGACGAGTCGTACATGTCGATATCAAAACGTCCTCTGCGCAGCTGGTTAGTCAATCATCCATGTTGCGATTCGGAGAATGCACACAGACCTAGGAGTGAGATGCAGAACATCCAGGAAGGTGGCGATGGTGTCACCGGCGGTCTCGCCAATGTCAGCCTTCTCCATGAGGGTCTCGTAGAAGATGGTGACGGCGGTCTTGGCTTCCTCATCGGCGTCACTACCGGCCTCCTCTCCTTCTGCCTCCTTGCGCGTCGTGGTGCCGGGGATGTAGAATCTCATCTCGACGAGTTCATCCTTTCCAGCCCTGGCCTTCTTGCCCTTTGCCTCGCCATTCGTCTTTCCGTCCTCGTTGACCGCGAACTCAACGGCGACCTCATTGCGGCCTGCTAGGTTGGTGTTGGAGATCTCAGAGTAGGGTACCTCGAAAGAGGGTCGGTTTTGGACATTGAAGGTCAGCTCCGCCTTTCCGAATTCCGCCTTGCCCCAGTTCCAGCCCCTCAATGAATGCTCTTTGTTCTCGAGGTTATGGCTGTACCAGTTCTTGAAGATCTTGCTCAGGCGCTCGTAGTCCTGCAGGGTGACAAGTCAGCAGAGGCGGTCGGGGGACGAGAGGCGATGGAAATCTTACTTCCTGTTGGAAACCGTCGAGTTGGGTGATGCCAGAGTTTCGCTGCAGGATCTTGACCTCGTAACCTCGCGCGGCGCGACTCCATTGCGCACCGCCGATGTTGGACTGGTCGAGAGTGAAGGCATCACCACCGCTGGCGGGCTTCCATCCCAGGCCGTTCTCTGCAAACCTACACTTGCCGTTCTCCTTGGAGAGGTCCAAGTATATGTTGTCGAAACTCTCGCTGCGAGACATGGCGATTAGCTAGCTGTCGGGTGGCAACAGCACTCTGTGTGCGCATGGCTGCAAAGGCCAGGGGATTGATGTTCTGAAATGCGAGGGGAAAGATAGAGGCAAGGAAAAAGGGAACTCACATGGTAGTCATTTTCGTTCCGATCGAGATTGCGGTAGGACAGCCTGACAATCAAACGCGATGCCAATGTTTGCAGCTTGCGGCTGGAAGGGAGTTTGATGGGAAGCTGTCTTTGAAAATCGCTGTGGTCGCGGGTTTCGCGCAGTGACGCGACACCTGTCAGAGGGGCTTTTGCTGGGCTGGCTTCCAGTTGCTTTAATTGAATGGGGCAAAGCTGCAAAAGGTTAAGTGCTGTGGGAGAAGGAAAGCGAGAAGGCGGCCCTGGAGTGTGCAACTTGAGCTCGTTCAGTGGCTGGCTGGGCTGGCATTTAGTGGGACCAGAGCTCAAAGAGCTTTCCCAGGCTCCCAGGTCAGCCGGGCGGTGAGTCAAGCCCATCCCCCAGGCAGAAGGGCGGTGGACCACGGCGCAATCCCCGTTCGTTTGCAGGCGGATTGTGCCGGCAGAATGCGTTTGCAGGCTGCGCACGGGCCACTCCCACCCCGTATATATATCGCGCGATCTCCCCTCCCATTCCCTTTCCTTCTCTTCTTTTTTCCCCAGCTCTCTAGCCTTTGGCTTAGATCAAGTGTAGTATCTGTTCTTTTCAGTTTAATCTCTGAAACGCCCCTACGGGGGCATTTTCTAGATTATTCTAATTTTTATCTGGGGAGGGGCGCATCCTCTGGGCTTGCCCATGATCGCCCCTCACTGTGTCCCTCGTCTTACACTACATCGAGGTGACGCGAACCCCCGGACTCTTTTCTGGTTTTCATTATGTTTTGGGTTGATCCCAGGCCATGAAGAAGATCTGCTTCTCGCGCTTTGCTCCTGTGTGTCGTGGTCAACGAGTAAGTTCGCTGCCTGGCTTTCCCGTCACGTCGGCATGGACTACGCATCTGCGCTGGCTAGCTACCAAGTATGTCTCTGCAATGCGTCTTCCAGGTATGTCGCGATCCTTTCACTGCAGTACCATTCAACGATGCTCGCCCTTCCTTGCACGCACGAGTAGCGCAGACACTATGACTGTCACCTTGCCTTCATAGCAACGAAAAGTATCATTCCCTCTCAGCGTCGCGAGGATATCCGGAATGAAGCTGTGATAAATTGGCTGGACGGCTTTTCTTTACTTCAAGCAGATACATAATTTACACGAGATCGTCAAATTGTGATGGCCAGATTAGAATGACCTGAACAGAAAGACGATTTCATGGTTAATCGCTGGCCCCAAGGCCGCCGAGAGGATGTGACACTATTAGGCAGTCGTCTTTCTCTTCTTGAAGTGACCATCCAGCGTCCCTTTTCTGCCTTCCCTCTTCCGCTTGTCAGCCACATCGTTCCCGGCATGCGCCTGCTCCGGCTCATCTCCATCATGCGCGGCTCCGTCAGCATGATCTCCAAAGTCGCTCTCGTGGTCTCCCTGGATCTCGGTCTCCTCGTTCCGATCCTGTCCAAAGAGGTCCCGCCACTTCCCGTTCACAACCCTCTCATCGTTGCCGTACAGTCCGACACGATACGCCTCCTTGATTGAGGCGATGCATATCTTGCGCCGCTCGTCAAAGTCAAACATGGGCTTCGGGTACGTCCCCTCCTCCCGGCCCTCGAGCGGGTCTCCCGCCACCACGCGCACGCCGGCGTCCTTCTGGTCCTTGATGGGCGCCTTCCACGGCTCGTAGATGTACTTCTTGTCCAGCCCGGCCAGCTCGGGCACCCAGCGGCGCACGAAGGCGCCCTCGGGGTCCCACTTGCGCCCGAAGGACACGGGGCTGTAGCAGCGGTAGAACTGGGCGAAGAAGGCCGAGCACGACAGCCACTGCCAGTTGCCCGCGTTGCACGCCGGCTCGTGGTCGAGCAGCCACTCCTCAAAGACCTCGGCGCCGCGCTCCCAGTGCACGTAGCAGCCGCCGCGCGTCAGGAAGCAGGCCACCGAGTGCCGCCCGAGGTGGTGGATCCAGCCCTCCTCGCGCAGCTGGCGCATCAGCGCGTCGATCCAGGGGAAGCCCGTCGCGCCCGCCCGCCAGCGCCGGAACCAGGCGTCGGCCTGCGCGCTGTCGACCTCGTACCCGCCCGTGACGCGCTTCCGGTCCCGGTCGGCCTTGGACGGCAGGTGCCAGGGCACGAAGCGGCAGTGCGCGTTGTAGGCCTCCTGGCCGAAGACGTGCCCGGTCGCGGCCTGCGCGGCGAAGTACATGTCGCGGAAGAGCAGCTGGCCCGTCATGCTCTCGGGCGGCGTCGAGCCGTCCTTCTTGCCCCGCTTGCGGTAGGCGTCGACGGCCTCCTGGGCCTTCCAGTAGAGCAGGCGCACGCTGAGGGAGCCGAAGTGCATGTGCGGCGACAGCAGGGTGGTGGACTGCGGCTCGAAGGCCGCGGGGCTGGTCTTGGGCTTGCGGAACGTCGCCAGGTACTGCGTGTCCTTGGCGAGGTCGTCTAGCATCTTGAGCGCGACCGTCTCGCCGCCCCTGTGCGGCGTCGTCGCCTGGGGGAACCCCAGCTCCTCCATCGTCTCGACGGAGAAGTCGCCCTTGGGCCCGGCGATCTTTGTGTACCCCTTGTCCTTCAGGCTGCGGTACGCGGCGTTGAAGTCCGGGTCCGTCTCGGGCTCCTCGTGCTCGAAGTCGAGCGGCATCTCGCCCGGGTCGGGCAGCGAAGCGGGCGCCGGGATGGGCTTGGGGATGGGCCCGCACTTCTCGCCGGCGGCCTGCAGCTGCGTGATGGACATGGTCGGCTTGCCCCCGTGCTTCTCGACGACCTCGTCGCTGTCCCAGAGCGTCCGCCCGTACCGCGTGACGACCTCCACGCCGGCGCTCTTGGCGGCTTTGATGACGTCCTCGTCGCGGCCGCGGGCGTAGGGGTCCGTGTCCCGCTCGAAGACGAGGTGGGTGACCTTCCAGGCCTTGAACAGCTTGGGCAGGAGCGTCTGCGGCCCTTCGCGCAGGACGAACAGCTTGGACTTCTCGTTCAGCTTGGTGATGGACTTGGACAGGTCGTTCTGGCAGTCCAGTCTGGCGGAGTGCCGGGAGGCCATCGTTCAGCATTCTTTGTGTGACTCAGCGAGGGACATTTTGTCTCCCACGGTGAGATACAGAACGGACTTACAGGAACTGCCATCGGTTCAGTCCACCCCTCGCCCTGTACACATAGTGCGGATCCCAGGTGAAGATGGGCCACAGCACGGCCGGTTCGAGGTCCAGGGCGGCCTGCAGCGCCGGAGAGTCGTGCAGCCGCAGGTCGGTTCGGAACCAGTATATCACCCTCGCTTTACCCATCGTGTCAACGCTTCCTCTCTCAAGATGCGAATTGAATTACCCTAGGTTGACGGTCCCTTATCGGTGTAGGTAGGATCTTGTTGCTGGAGAAAGAACTGGACGATCAGCCGAACTTCGCGACGGTGAGCTCGTGCCAAAGTAAATAGGTACATGCCGATACCTACCTGAGGACCATCTCGAACCCGGCAACCCAAAGTCCATGATGTCAACGACCGAATCGTGGACAATGGCAATGGCATGGCGTCTCGATGGAGCTGAGCTAACCCGGCGCTATGGATCGGTGATCTGGAACGATGCGGACGCTAAACTTTAATTCTGGCCTGGATGTCTCACCTTTTGTGAAACCCCATTCTGAGATGTCACAGCCAAAAGCAAGTATGTGTTTTAATGAGCTCATTGAACTTGACCATCGACATTCAGGCACGTGTATCCATAGTCATGCTCTGCCCACGGCAAGGCCTTGTTCTGTAGTGATGAGTGAAAATTAGCCACAAGGGAACGTGCACCAAGGGATGTTTGAACAATGCATGTTGAGTGCTGAAAAAAAGATTATTTACGTAGCCCTAATATTGAGACTGTGAAGTCTTCCGTTGTATCGTTTCCATCGCGCGAATCCATCCCCCAAATGCTCGATATCCGAGCCCCATTAATAGCATCGCCCATGCAATAAAGAAAAGCCTCTCCGAGGAAAATGTCTGGCAAGGAAGCGACTCCTACTCACACAGACGTCCCGGACTGGTGAAGCAATACTAACACAGTATCCAGAAAAGAAAAGCCAAGGTAGAAAGAGACCCCGTTCGCACAACGCCACGCCAAGAGTACATGATGGGGAGCAAGATGCCACATGACATCACGCTCAACTCTGTCATACAAACGCTAAGAAGAGGTAAAGAAGGGTATGATCGGGTATTCTTCGTAAATCGTTCCAGACTGTCGAATGATAATATGTATTGCGCAAAGGGTTCATTCCGGAGACAAGACATCACCGGACCACAGGCATCAGCTAGCGGACGCCAACGGCTCGTGTGCGCCTGCTGAAGCCGTTCTCGCGGGAGTGCTAGGCGCAGGTGCGATCTCGGGATCCCCAATTTGAATGTCAAGCTATACGGTCGTGTGAGTCGTGTACCAGATATGAAAGCAGGGCTGCAAGACAACTTACACTCATATAACCGGTCTGGCGCAACGGAATGATCTTGGGAGGCACGGTGCTGTCGTCTGAGCCGGCCGTCTTCTCCATCTCGATGTTCCACTGCTCAATCCACTGTTCTAGCTTGGAAAGCCGAGTCTTGATACTGGTCATACCAAAGTCTTCCCACAACCAGCCGGTTGCAAGGCCGAGAACACCGTCGAGGATGTTCCTCCAGCTATAAGGGTTGAAAATGGGCACAAGCTCTCCATTCAACTTCTCAATCACGCGCCGGAACTCTTGTTCTGACAGGCCGGCGGGATCTAGGATCTCAGGGTAGAGATTGGAGAAGGTCGGTGCGAGGTCGCCCTCTAATAGCCAGTCTCGTCGAATACGAATGATGCGTGTGTTGGTGTATTCCGGCGAGTCGACCGGCACGTGTGGGTTCAGGTGCGGATAGCACGGGTGTGACGGGCCCCATTCCTCGCCAGCATCTTGTGGTGCGTCGGGATCTCCCATGATAGACGAGTTGGACGAGGATAGAGCGGAGCCTATGCCGTCCGGCATAGAGGCCGTAGAATGGCGCTGCTGCCCGAGAACATCAGGGCCTCGCTCGAGATCCTTCGAATAGCCTCTTGCAGACGACAGTTCCTCTTCATTTTCAGAAGGCGACATGATTTCCTTGCCTTTGCCCTTATCGAGCCTCTTGGGTTCTTGATCAATGCTCGACCGCGGATCGCGTGTGTCGGTAGTTTCGTCTTTGGGAAAGAAGAGCCCAAACGGGTTGCTTTCAGATAGATCCTGGGGCGTTGTCGGAGTCAACCGCTTCTCGTCGTACGAATGGCGGACAGACTTGGGCAGGCTGATTCGACGGTCGCTGCCGCCCTGGTCGATGTGTAGACTGGTCGGTCGAGTGGACGTAGAGTGTCGGATTTGACGTTGTTCGGGTAGGGTTAGGAGGGGATAGTCGCCTGCCCGCGCACCGCTCGAATCGGCAGGAAGGGCTGACGAAGCTAACGTGGGGTGAGAGAGGGGGACGGCAGGCGGAGGTGGTGTCGACGCTCTTCGCCTGCGGCTTGGGCGCGGCCGAGGAGTGGAATTGGTGGGATTCCAGAGTCTCGCAGCACGGCTGCGCGGTTGAAAAAATGAATTGCCGGCACGATTGCGGAAGGGAAGCTGCGGAAGTCTTTGGCGAGGGGCGTTGGTGGTGGGAAGATCGCGCCCCCTTTCAGGTGGGCGATAGGCGGCTAGAGGTGGCTCGGGACTTGACGTCGAGGCGCCGCCCGGGTATATTGGCTGGCGAAAGGGTGTAGGGGTGATGCGCGGGTTCGTAGACGCATCTAGGGTGGCCGGTGGAGCAGGATGCGACGGTCTTGCTTCCGGGGCGTGAGGAGCCGTGGGAGACGAATTGGAGCGGTGGCCGCCGAGGAGACGGCCGCCGTGGACCTTGGGAGTCTTGATTGTTTAGATGCCGAGCGTCGGGGAAGGCCCTTCCGGATGGGAATGCCGGAGCGCGGAGAATCGACCAGGAGGCACCGAGGGGAGCCTTGCGAGTGCAAGTGCTGCAAGTGCTGCCGACAGCGAGGGCGGGACGAGGATGATTGAGAGCTGCGAGCGATGCTTGACCCAGGTCTGCCAACAAAAGCTGCGGCTGCGGCGTCTCGGGAGATGGCTGCGATTGAAGCCTTTGCAGATGGCGATGCTGATAAATGTGGGCAGTCGGGGGCAGGACAGAGATTGTGGCTGCAGGACGAATCGGTGTGGGCTGCTGGTTGGCCAAGCGTGGGTGAGCGTGAAGGGGGTTGAAGGGACCCTTCCAGAGCCCCTGCGCGGGAGTTGGTGGTAGCAGTTATTAGGGGCGAGGCAGGGTTGTGCTTAGCGAAGGCGCCAAATTCCAGCATGATGGAACGCCAGATGCTGGTCTGCCAGGCACACAGGCACAGGCACGGGCTAACTCCAGTTTTGGTACTCAGGCCCGCTGATGAGACTATGACATGTGTGGTTGATTGGATGTGCGTCCTGGAGAGGAAGAGAAAAAAGATATCGATCTCACAAGACTGATGTGAGCTGGAGATTCCAGAGAGTTATACCTCCTGCATTTGTTCGGAGAGCTGCCGTGTTAGACTCGACAACTTGGGCTGGTGAAACGGGTGTGTCGACCCTGTTCATTCCAGACAGTTTCCACAAAGAGCTCGAAAATGCAGATATCCCGCAGGCCTTGAGACTGAAACCGTCGTACTGTAACGCTTTTGTCGAGATGGGATTCGCAGGCGAAGAAGGGCATGCGAGAAGCCCAGAGTCACCGCACCGGGGGGGAGGACGGACCCTTGCTTTATGATGAGATCACGATGCTGCTGCCTTCTCCCAGAATCTTTCCCTCCCATTCCCGTAGCCTGGATCCCCCTGCTTCCCGGATCCCAGAGGTGTGAGTGACGTGCATGCGTGAGGCTGGACGGCACCAGGACCAAGTTCTTAGCAACAGTGGACCGGGACTATCGGGAAGGCCAGCAGGGCCTGGCCCGATCAAATGTCAGACGATCACTTCTGAGCAATACTAACCACGGCTTCTGGAAATCGAAAGAGGGAAAAATGCGAAATAGGGTTCATGCGCTTCTCATCATGCCCCTGGTGTCCCTTGGGATGATCCCTGCTCGCTCTGCGTTGGGCTCATCTTGGAGTTGACCGACTTACATTAGGTCTGTCCGTGCAGCCACGGCATGAATTCCCAGAGAAGAGCCCTCGTCGTCTTAACGGGATCGGATGAACCGACCGACCATGTCTTTTCTAGAATCATCCCCTTTCCTGTCTATCTATTTTGGTGACTTGGGAACGGCCAGGGTGTGCCTGCGAGATCTCGACCTTCGATTCCGGCTCACTTGCCTTGCTTACAGTGGCCCAGTAAGAGCTCAGCTAAACTGACAGGGGCTCCTGGTTCGTATTGTACGGAGTATGTGACGAATGCGCCCCCAATCTTTGGGAACATGAGCTGAAAAGTGCTTATGCATTTTGGTGGGTAGTGGGCGAAGTAAGGGAGGGATCTCTCGTCTCATCCCAACACGAGAATGGATTCTACTTCGTACAAGTACCTAAATTCGAGAGATGAGCTCCTTTTTGGGCCCTATCTGTTACATTTTGACGAAAAAGAGACCGAAATTTCTGGCCATTACCGAAAGACACAGTGTTGGGGCATACTTCTTAACAGGCGAGGTAAATTGCACGAATGAAAGCTGACTAGAACCCTGGATCGGTGTGGCCGTCAACTAATGCAGCTAGCTAGCTACTGGGTGCTCAATGGTCATCTTTACATCATGGCTCTGCGGAGTAGTGCTCACTAAAAGGACAACCTATCTTGCCCCGGTTCCCCAGAGCGGATGTCCGTCGCGTCCTGTCATGCGCGTGTGAAGCTGTCGCCCAGTCGTGACATGCCCAGTAGTGCGGAGTTTGTTGATCTGCTGGATTAATCGGAATCCCATCGATCTCCCAGCTCAGCGCAGCAGGAACCAGCTGCCGTCTGAAGCCATGATGCCCTGATACGCTGTACACCTCGCGGTCTGTTCCTGACGTGCCTTCCCCGGCTGTGATGATTGATGGCGTTCTTTTTGGTTGAGGTGGGCTCATGGTTGGAATGTCTCGTGTGACGTAGTTCGGGGCTCATTCCTCAGCTCCAACTCCCGCTCCCGCGCGCCCGCTCCCGTTCATCAATCTAGACCTGGACCCCGCATACTTCTTCCTATCCCTAATGTAAGACGCACCTCAAAGTCTGGCATGCCAACGCGCTTCAGGACCGCGACCTTTGGCCGTGTCAACCCTTTTCAGCTGCCAATCCGGGGCCGAGGCATCGGTTTCAACAGAATCAACATCCCTCCCTATACATGATACGCAGTATATCCCTTCAGACTCGTCCTAAGCAGCCAGTTTATGCGGCACACGATATCCCCAGTACCAGGACAGGAGCATGGCAGATGAAAACCCGAGCAAGGACAGCCCTCGCAGCCTGAAGATTGATCCGGCAGCAAATCAGGGCAGAGCCAGGGCCTCCGCCATGCCGGACTCTCCCGCCGGATCCGGATTCAGGCTCCGCCGCTCGGCCACGGTCAACGACGCCAGCCGTAGGCACAGCTGGGGTCCCAACACCGAGTTCACCTACGAGCCGCCGACCTCGCCCCTGAGGCGAAGCTCCAACTTTTCCGAGATTGGCCAGGAAGCGCGCGACATTCTCAATCCGGTCCCCGACCCGGAGTGGCAAAATGCGCCGCCGCAAAACTCCAAATGGGACTCGCTCCCTCTGGCCCTCGCCTTGCTGCCCCCGTTGGGCGGTGCTCTTGTTCCAGGGGGCAGTGCCTTTGTCACCGATCTTATGCTGCTCGCCTTGGGTGCTCTGTTCCTCCACTGGACAGTCACACAGCCTTGGTATGTCCTGTGACTCGAAGTGTCTCGGTCTTGCGACTTACATGTTCAGGATTTGGTATCACTCGGCGCAGCAAGTGCGGGTTGCCGAGGAGCTTGACAACGATGCCGCCGTAGAGAGCGATCTGGATGGTGACGATACACCGTCGCTCGAGGCGGTCCCTGAGGACGAATCAGTGCAGCCTGGTCAGACTACCTCGGAGGCGAGAAATGCCGCTTTGAAGGAGCTGTACCGCCACGAAGTGTTGGCATTGATGGCTTGCTTTGTCTTTCCTCTCCTTGGAGCATGGCTACTCCACGCGATCCGTGGACAGCTTACCAGGCCCTCCGAGGCCGTGATTTCAAACTACAACCTCACAGTTTTTGTGCTGGGCGCAGAGATACGACCTCTGAGGCACATGATCAAGCTCATCCGAGCCCGTACTCTCCACCTTCAGAGGATTGTTCAGACAAACCCTTACCAGAGAGAGGGGAAGGCAACAGGCGAGGTTGCAGAGCAACTGCAGCAGTTGGCCGAGAGACTCGACGAGATCGAGTCGCGAGCCGAGGCCGCAGAGACAGCCGCCACACAGGCTGGCCAGAAAGCAGATCGCGACCAGGAGGAGGATGCTGCGACAAAGGCCAAGAAGCGAGAGAGTCTGCTCCGAGAGGTCAGGAATCAAATGCAGCCAGAGCTGGATGCCCAAAGCCGAGCCATGCGAGTCTACGAAAGGAGGCTGAATGTGCTGGCGACGCATTCCCAGAGCCAGTTCAAATCGATCAACCAGCGCCTGAATGACGCCGTCACCCTGGCAGCGGCGGCTGCCCGCAACCGATCCTCGGCTTTGAGCTTCTTCTCGTGGGCTGCCAACTCGCTCGTCTCCATTGCGATGGTGCCGATCCACCTCGTCGTCTACATCCTCACTTGGCCGTACATGACGCTTACAACATACATGGGCGGTGACAAGCAAGCCCCTCCCGATAAGAGCCGCAGAGGCGCGCGGGCCCATAGGAATGGCGCTCTGCACTCTAGGTCAGCGGAGCGCGTACAGGTCCGGCCGCAGCGCAGGTAGGTATGGCGATGGTGATGGTGGCAAGACTGCTCTGCCAGAGCTTGGACAGACAGGACGGAATGATGAACACTGTGTATCACCTGAGATACAGCAATACGGGCAATGGGTAATGGGCGTTATGATACCACGGGAACTTGTTTGGGCTTGGGGGACTCTGCACGACGTCAAAGAATACGAGTATTACTTTGACACGACGTTATTTGTGTGTTCGCGGGACTGCAGCTGATTTGCTCCCTTTTTGGCCGGAAACGGTATTGTTCTTCCCTGGCGGCTCGACAATAGAATGCATTAAGCAATGTCAGAGGGCACAGAGGGGGCCCTTGTGCACTCGTCGTGTCCCGTGAGTGCGCACATATTCCAAAAGGGCGGTGACGCGGCAACCTGGGCTGATTTGGGTCTTTTCGCGATCTTGATTCCGGCCCATGAAGTGGTTACATACGGAGTAGTGATGTCAAAGCCGCCCCCTGGTCCGGTGGGTATCCTCGCTTCTTCCGACAAGACTGACACAGACCAGCACTTTATCGGAACTGTGGGATCGGGTCTTCCAGTGGAGTCATCACGGAGAGGTGAATAAATCTACGAGGTGTCGTCGAAGAGAATAAATGGGTTTCCTTGCAGTCCGATCCAAGACAGTTTTGTGGCCCGTAATCAACGACCTGCAGCGCCTTTTACATGATTAACACACACTACCAGTACACCAACATCGACTTGGGGGGGTGATCGACGAGAGAAGGGCTCCAGGAGGGCTAGAAAAGCGACACCATCGTCCTGGTGGAACTTGGATAACCGGGATGATGTGCAGCAAAGCAGTGGGCCGTACGACATGAAGCTTTGCAGAGCTCCGACATCACGAGCTCGGTGGCTCTGCGGGGAAGCGATTGGGCGAGGGAAGCACTTTTTGGTTTGCTGCACGTTCGCTCCTGTTGACATACAAGTACAATGATACAGCATACCAGTAGTTACGGCTGCTCTCGGTGCGATTCATCATGTCGTGTCTGCACAAGCTGGGAAGGCGAGGCAACATAGTCTACAAGTACAAATTACTGAACAGGATGAGCCCGGAACGAAATCTCCAGCCAGCCGACCATCCGTGGACAGTGGGACTGTGGACAGTTGCAATCCTTGTCAACTGGCTGGCTGACTTCCCTAATAATCTAGCAAAAAGCCCTCCGGTTTGTACAAAGGGACCATCGCGATCCTGAATCCCATGTGGCCGTGGCAGGCTCTCCAAAGTCGCGTATCGCCTGTTCGAATCCACGGGTGGAGCCCAGTTTAATTGCACACCCGCGCGTGCGACGTTCGAGGGTACCAGTTTGGGCAATGCGTACCTGACTAGAGGGGGGTGGGCCGGAGCTTTTCCCGCATGGCTAGCGCCCTTCAGCTCGGGGAGGGTGCTGCCACTAAAAAAACCGCCCAGTCTATGTTGGCCGTCACACCGGCACTCTCATTGCATCACCGGCCGGTCGTCTCTCTCGAGGGCCCATCATCTCTCCAGAGAGGAAGAGACTTTTCGTCGCGCTCAGCTCGGTCGACCACATCATGCGGGGTGGTGTTCTGTCTGCTCCACAGCCTGTAGTTGCGATCTTCACGGGCCTCAGAGTAGCTAGGTATCGGTCTGGCAACCCAATCAGTGCCACCTTCAATAGCCTTGGCCACTAGGCAGGCATGGATGAAGGGTCGAAGTGCAGTTTTCTCTTGCTTCTTTTCCCTTGCAGTCAGTCCTCTTGCGCGCGTAAGCAGCAGAAGCCCGGCCGAGCCCGTGAAGCACACCGGCTGCAAGGACTCGTCAGAGATGGTAACGATGCTCTGGCCATGCTCAGGTGCCGGCCAGCTCGTCAATGAGAGACGCTTCGTGCCACGGCTGCTGGGCCCGAGCCGTCTTTGTGTGCCATGTGCCGAGCTCGAGTCCGGCAGAGGTCTTCAGCATCTTAGGCAGAAAACAGAGCCGTGTTGGAGCAAGGACGGCACATTGTCAGATATATTGAAAAAGCGCCGTGGTGCTCAGCCGTTGCGCAACGTCCTGTGACAAATCTAACTCGGTAGGTTAACTTTGCACACACATATTTATGATCGATCCTCCCGCGCCTCGATACCCTGCTGCTAAGATAGTGCTGGGCCGAGTCGAGTGGACACTGTTGGAGCAGAGTGGGACCTCCCTCCATCTCGAAATTGCTTGATGACAATTGATTGACTTGGAGCGGCGCCGATGAACCAGCTTGGTAGTCATTGCGTCGAAAGGAGGACTTGGCATCCACCTGTCTAAAGTACTTGCCTACTTACCTACAAGTAACTACACCATCTCCGAGGGCTGCATGCATGCAGGTCGCGACACAAGCAGACCGCATGCAAGGCCAGTCGCTGTGTGACGGGGAAATTGAGAGCAGACAGCACATCAAAAGCAATTTTTACACGTCAGGCGTGCAGCGCTCACAGCCACAGGGGTTCCATGGAGCCCACTCACCTGCGAGGCCAGCAAAAGACACTGGGCACCCTCGAGAATCAAACCCCCTGGTCCATTGAAGCAGCCTCGAACTCTGGCCGTGACGCCTTGAGGGTGGGTACCCCTCGAAGATCCCTGCAGGAAAACCGTCGACGCAGCAGAGTACCTTGAGTACTAGCCAGACCCCTGCCAACCTTGTCACAAGTCTCCTAGCGTTCGCGCACCGCCAGCCTCTAGTCCAGCATGTTAATCTCCCGACACTTTGTCTGCCCAGTCGGATCACAGGTCACTGGCCCGGGGTCTGGGCGGGATCGAACCTGCTCCTGCTCCTGCTCCCGCAAGAGAACTGGGTTTTTTTTCGAACAGAAACTGGTGTGAAGGAGGGAAATTGGATGCAGCAGAGAAGATCCCCGCCACGTCTCTGGGCCGGGCCCTCGTCGTCCAACCCGTCTGCCGTTTGCCGGTTATGACCTGATGACGCCTGAAACGCGTACCGGCTGGTTGGCCCAGGTTCGTCCATCGAGATGGCTCTTTCAGCCTGGACCTCGAGCCAAGAGGCTGATCCAGACGAGCAAGCGTGGCTCGCCTGCCCTGGTAGCCCTATTGACCTCTCCCAGTCGGTCCACTCTCTTATCCGATCTCGTTCCTGGCATTATACACCAGGACTCTCTTCTTCCGCAGCTGTCATACTTTGTACCATGGCCTGGCTCCTTGTAGTTTGATCGTCGACAAGCTTCCTTCTGCGCGGTGCACCGCCGCCATGCTTGACTGGCTCCCTACCCCTGGTTTTCTTCGTCCACGTCCTGCTACTCCCATGACCTACACACCTATTCTTCTCACATCATCTCACTCGTTCTTGGTGACAACACTTTCTTTTGTGGTTACTGCCTGCTTCGGTCCTTACAGCCTTCGCCAGGTAAAGCGCTTGCCTCGCTATTACGAGGCCATGGTTATGGCTTGAACCTATTCTTTCCTACTTCGATCGTTTGCATTAGTAACTTACACTCACTTATACGTTCGTTCCCGTCGGGAGGCGCTGGACACCGGTCCTCTACTTATCGTTTCACATCACACACTCTTAGCATATATGTTATATTATCTTCGGCATCTAACGGGACCGCCGTTTATTTGTCTCGAGGAAGACCAGAGGTAGTAGTAGTGTCTTTATCCTCCATCACCGGTACTCTCCTCTTTGTGTCGACCGCAAGGATGTTGGCTCGCGGTGTGCAGATGCGGGCCCTGGTCTGCCTCTGCCTCTGCTTCAACCTCATCGCCGCTGGCCTCCTCGTCCCTGTAAGGAGAGCTGATCCCACCCCAACTCCGGCGGACGCTCCGGCGACACTGTCAGGATCTGGAAGAGGGGATGAGACGCCTTCTTCCTCGCCCTCCGTGACTGAGCCTCCTAGGACGACATCGGGTGAGGCTGCGCCCGCGGTTGAGGCAACATCCAATTCCACTACGACCTCGTCAACGAGAACCTCGGCGCCAGTTCCAGGGGCAACAGCTGTCAACGGAACTGATGCGCATAACCAAACTCTCTTCAACAGTAAGTCCACGTAGGATTGGTGCCTCGGCTCGAATCCTTTGGCTGATCGAACAATTCATAGCCACTATCGCAGCTGGAGAGCTCCCATTGCAGCCCGTCGTCACGCCGGGATGGGCCGTCGCTGGGGTTTTCATGCTCTGCACCGGTGTTGTGTACACCCTCGTCGGGATCAAGACACAATGGCTGCATACCTACTTCTCCACAGCCTTCCTGGCGAGCTTGGGAACTACGGTCTTGATCGTCTATGTCATGACGCCGCCCGTCTCCCCTGCCATCCAAGGGGCGTATGTGGTGGCGGTTGTCTTGACGGGAGCAATCCTGGGAGGAGCGGCCATCGTATTTAAAGAGATCACCGAAGGCCTGGGCTGCTTCCTCGGTGGGTTTTCGTTGAGCATGTGGCTGCTCTCCCTCAAGGACGGTGGTCTCGTCACAGGCACGGGCGCCAAGGTGGGATTCATCGCGGCTTTCTCCCTAGCTGCTTTCGCGCTGTATTTCAGCCACTACACGAGGGAGCGCGGGCTCATCGTGTGCATTTCCTTTGCCGGGGCGACGGTGACCGTTCTCGGCATCGACGCCTTCAGCCGCGCCGGTCTGAAGGAGTTTTGGGCGTACATATGGGACCTCAACGGCAACTTGTTCCCCTTGGGCGCCGACACCTACCCGCTGACCAAGGGGATCAAGGTCGAGCTTGCCGCCACTGTCATCATCTGCCTGGCTGGCATCGTATCCCAGCTGAAACTGTGGAAGATTGTCAAAGAACGGCGCAGCAAGAAGGAGGAGACAAAGGCTGAAAATCAACGCCAACTGCAAGAGGAAGAGACCCAGATCGGGCGCCAGGTCGAAGCGAGAAATGCGCGGGAAAGAGACGAATGGGAAGCGGTGTACGGGGACGGCGAGCGGGCTGTCCAGGCTCGCAACCCGTCGTCGGATTCTGGGGTTGGCGACATGGAAAGCGAGAAGAAGCACAGAGATAGCCAGGGGACTGCTACCATGAGATCTCGGCACTTCTCTGTCACCGAGGAGGAGATCGAGCTGCACGAGATCCCGCTCCAGGAGGAAGCAGCACCGGCAGTTCCGCCCAAGCCAAAGGCCGCTGCTGAGCTCGTCATGGAGCAGGACCAGGCGCGCGGTGTTGTTACCGTCCGGGTCGCCAAGGACGACATTCCCGAAGGCCTGCCGGCCCGGCAGCCCGAAGATGAAGAGCCCAAGGTATGGTACGTGGGTGCCGACGGAGAGGCACGGCGTTCGTCGGCGTCCGCAAAACGAGCCTCGCGAACCTCCACCGGGCCCGAAGTTGTCCCGCTACCGTTCCGGGTACCGCACGTGAGAGACGCAGACGAGACGAGCCAGGCAGACCGATCCTCGGTGGCTACCTTTGCCGACGAGGATGCCCTCTCCGGGGTAGCCAGCAAGCGAAACTCTTTCGCCAAGCGGCTGTCTCGGGGGTCCGCAGAGCTCCTGCGGAGTATGTCTCAGAGATCCAAGCGCGACAACGGCGAGAAGTCGCCTCTGCCAAACGAAGTTACCGGCGAGAGCAGGGAAGACCTTTTCGTCTCGAGGAACGCCGATCGCGATGACAGCAGCTCGATTGCCGCGACAATAGACGGGATCAGCTCCGACGGTGATGCGTATACTGTGCGGGATGGCGGCGAGTCCCGCAGCATCGAGATCAATGCCCAGTTGGCAGAGATCGAAAGGGCTGACCAGAGGGGAAGCAAAGCCAACAAGGACCTCGCCGAATCGAACAAGTTGGCTCTTCCGACCAAAGACAAGCGGGTGTCTGCCGCAGAGACTGTCGCTACTGATATATTGAATACGTCGGAAGGGGGCGAATCGACGAGGAATAATGATAATACATGTAATACGGAGAGGGCAACGGAAACGCCTCATGTCAGCGATTCAGACGCCGGCACGAGGAAGGCGAAGTCGGTAAACTCGGTGGTCTCAACGCCGGCAAGCCTCACGAGAGAGCACCTGCCCCGTTCTCTGTCGAGGATCGCCATGTCGTACCGCACAAACGAATGGGCAAAGCATCTCAGCAATGCCGAGACGCCGGCGCCAGAGACGCTGCAGCTGAGCGAGTACGTCGAAGAAGCTGCTCCGTCGCCAACTATGGAGCCAGCGGCGCCAGTGAACGTGGAGGAGCTGCAACTGACGGCGGAAAACGCGGCTCCGGCCCCGGCCGCCCCGAGGTCGGCGACTGCCATGTCGCAGTACCCGTCCACGGCGTCGTTGCCGGCGCAGGCACTCTCGCGCTCAAACTCCAAGCAGTCCATGCTGAGCATCCCGGCTTCGCAGAGCGCGGAGCAACTCCCGATATCATCGGGCGGCCTGTCACCTACCCTCGGGTCCAGGCCCGGCCAGCAGCAGGCATTCCCCAATCCGTACAGGAGCCACTCCGGCGCGATGAACCGCCGCACCTCGAACCTGTCGGTGCACCCCATCGCGGAAGAGGCGGCGGACAGTGGCCAGGTCCCGGACAGTCCCGGTATGCCCCTGCCCGACGAAGGGAACAACTCGGGAAACACGTCCATGTCGCCGTCGCCGGTGCCGCCAGAGACGAGCGCCTTCCGGGCGCCGGTCCCCGGCGTGGTCTCGTACTCGAGCCCCCAGACGCTCATCGGCAAGCGAGAGCTGTTCCTCCGCAGCAAGTCGCAAGGCTCTCTCGTCGGGCCGAGTCCCATCCCGGAGTCCATGCCCATGCCCACCATCCCGTCGGCCGCCAACAGCGACGCCGGCTCGGTGTACAACATGCCGGCCGGCCCGTACGGGACCTCCTTTTCCTCGCAGCACATCGACGTGGACGACATGCCCCTGAGCCACCGCAAGGAGATTCTCCGGCAGAGCAGCCTGGCCGCCCTCTCGGGCGCGTCGTCGTCGCGGCCGCCCAGCCAGATGAGCTTCGCGACAGCCGCACCGCCGCCGCCTCCTATCCCTGCAGCAGCAGCAGCGCCGCTCCTCTCCATCCCCGCCGCGTCGGCCGACAGCATCCCCTTCAACAGCCACCAGCCCAAGCGCGCGTCGGGCCTGCCCAGCCAGGCCGCCCGCGAGGCCCAGCTCGCGCAGTTCCGCAGCTCGGTCGCCGCCGAGCTGCGCGCCGGCACGCCCATCGTGCCCACCACCGCCTCCGGCAGCGGCCGCGAGACGCCGCTGCTGACCGGCCTGCTCGGGTCCGTGTCCCAGGGCGGGCTAGCGCTGCCCCTGTCGACGGCGGGGCGCGACAGCGAGGTGCGCCGGGGCATCGACGCGCAGCGCAGCATGCTCATGGGCCAGAAGGAGGCCGAGGCGCAGCGGCGCGAGATGGAGCGGCTGGCCAAGGAGCGCGGGGACCGGGCGTTTGAGGAGAGCATGCGCCGCGGGGAGCTGCTCGAGGCGCACCAGGACGCCATGCGGAGGATGCAGGCCAAGGCGCGGGGCAGGTGAGGATCGGGAGACGGACACAATCCTTTTTTCCACACATAATTTTTTTTCTTTTTCTTCGAATTGTCTAATTCCCTTTTTTGGGGTTAGTTGAGAGGGGGCTCTCGGCTGGCATTTCTTCTGTACACATACGGGGTTTGGAGGTCCCTATTTGGATAGATAGGCATGGTTGGTACATGGGTAATAGGACGGGACGGATGGTCGGGTAGGCAAGGGGGGAACAAAACACTGGACAATACCATATGAGTGGCACACACGGACGAATGGGGAAACATGGATGGATGTTGGCTCTGGCTTCAAAGGAGGATGGCTCACGAGTGTGTGGCGCTTATGCGGAAAAGATCAACGGCTTTCAGTTTCGATTCTTTACATGCCTTTTTACTCTTCAAGATACCACCCATCCTTATTACATACAAACAAATTCAAACTTGTCGTAACATCACGCATCGCCCAACGGACTCCCGTTCCTCCCTCTCCTATTCCTCTTCCACCCGGTGCCCAGCCGCCGCGCCGCCAGCACGAGCTTCTTGTCGTTGATCTTGATCTCGCTGCCCGTCTGGAACAGCAGCATCGACAGGAGAATGACGCCGACCGAGACGACCCAGTACACATACACATGCTCGCCGCCGGGGAGGTAGTCCTCTTTCATGCTGAAGTAGCTGGCGAGCCAGGCGAACGGCGTCAGGATGAGCGCGAAGTAGGTTGTCAGCTTGGCCACGTTGAGCGAGCGCTCCGCCTCCTTCATCTGCACAAACGCGGCGATGCTGTGCGTGATGCGGTCGTACTCGATGCGCTGCTGCTCGAAGCCTCGGTACAGGTGCTGCAGGTCGCGGTCGACGGCGGCCCACTCGCCGCACAGAGAGCGCCCTTGGCGACGGATGTCTTCGCGGTAGGCCTCGGTGGGCGCCGCCCCAGCCGCCACAATGGTCTCGCTGCTGTCGTTGTCGTCGCCCTCTTCTTCTTCTTCTACTTCTTCAACACCGTCTTCCTCCTCTTCTCCTCGGTCTTTCCGCTGCTGCTGCGCCGCCGTCCTCTTGGGCTTGCTGGCGCACCCGCCGCAGCAAGACGGCTGCGGCGCCTGGTGGCGCGGCAGGCCGAGGGCCTCGAGCGTGCCGGCCAGCGACTCGACAAACTCGGCGCAACGGAAGCGGCTCCACTGGCCCTCCACGCGGCGCGACTCGGCGGCCTCGGCGTCGTTGGCGCGGCGCAGGGACCAGCCGCGCGAGCGCATGCTGGCCGCCTGGTGCGTGACGAAGGCGAGGACGTGGTTGAAGTGGGCGGCGACGATCTTGCGCGCGAACAGGGTGGCGGCGACGGACGGGTCGGCGAGGGCGCTGCGGGGCAGGCACCGGCGTAGGAGGTGCGAGTGGTGCGAGAAGTAGAAGCGGAGGTCACCGATCATGGAGTCGTGCTCCGGGTGGTGATGGTGGGCCTGAGCCCAAGAGGCGCGGGCGCCGGGCGAGCAGGGCGCCGGGGAGGGCCGGCCGGTGGCGATGTTGAAGCCGTGTTTGAAGGGGCGGGAGGGCGTAAGGTTGCGGGTGGTGGTGTCCTGAATGACGCAACCTTTGATCAGGGGGTCGCAGAGGATGATCGCTAAAGAGCGAGGCTTTGGGTCAGTGTCTGACGGACAATGATCATGAAAGGGGAAGAAGGACTTACCATCCCAGCTTCCGTCGTCTCCGTAACGGGTTGACCAGAAGGAGACTTTACGGCTTGCAAGGACAAGCAAGTTGCCTGACCGCCACTCGTGGCATTGTATAGCCCGCCCGGTCGAGGTGCAGACTGCTGTCCATGTCTCATCGTCGTCGGGGAAGACAAGCTCTGTGGGGACAAAGTATCGAGGCTCGAAGTATTCGAGATGGAACTGTTCATATGGACGCAGCTCCGAGGGCAAGCCGGGGATACGAATATCTTCGTTGAAGTCGAAGCGGGTAACCAGTTGCAGATGGTTTTGGATGAAGTCTTCTCCAACCTGTAGAGGCTCCTCGGCGAGAAGGTCATTCAGAGCTGAGAGCGGCCTGGCATCTTGCATCTGTATGTTGATACCAGAGTCCGTAGGGCCCTCCGGCCTCGGAACAGATGCACATAGTTCAATTAGAATGACTCGTCGGCGGGGCTTATTGGAAGGTCTGGGCGAGTGCAGCTCGTCTCGGAGGCTGGGAATATCGGTGATGTAATCAGAGACCTGAGCCTGCTGTGCATCTCCAAGCTCGATCACGCAGGCACGGGACCAGCTCATTGTGATTCACTTGAAGTGCGGTCGAGAGTATGCAAACACTTTGTATGGGCACAAGACATAAAAGATCGGAATGTGATAACAACGACGAAATGATCAGAGATGAAGGGTGCAAGATGAACTTCCGTCGCACACCATATATAGACACACGCTTCTCTGACCTGGATAGCTGTGATACCCAGAACGGGCAGGTGCATGACGATGCGAGGCAGTCTCACCAATACAGACCAGTCACGGGCAACTGAGATATCGCTCAGCCGCAAGCCTCCAGGCTGCAAGGCGACTGTGCCTCCTTGCCAGACAGGGCCGTCATCAGGGCGCAACCGGGCGGGCTGTGACTGCGGCCGCGATTGGACGAGAGTAAGCCGGGGTTGGAGAATTGACGTATGAGTCTGTAAGTCTAGACCTTGTCACACCAGAAAGGGTGGCTCGGCGGTTTTATGGCGGAACGGGAGGGGCCGTTTTGAACGTCGACTGTCTGAGACAAAAGAGGCACTGATCATCGCCGGTCACCAATTCTGGGCGGGCGCATTCCAGGCGACTGAGCTCTCGCCTTGCAGATCGCGTCCAGTCAGAAATCTCGGTATGTTGCACCTTGCGCACGCCGGTCAACGCGGCCGGTCTGGCGGGGCTTGTTCCGGGTCCCGGGCTGGGCAGATCCACCGGAATAGCTTCATGGTGATCTAGGAAACCCGGCGAGTGTGGTGTTCACGGCCCGGGTCTCGGAGCGTGGTGAGACTGACCACGGGCGTTAAGGCACACAGCACGGCTGTGGCAAGCGAACAGGGTCTGTTGCGCTGTAGCAATCCGAACCCCGTCCAGGATTATGGCAGAGGAGAATCGGTAATAGCGCGGACTGGGTTCGTCCCCGTCATCGCTCAAACGATCTTGGTGCCATTGGATGGTGGGTCGGCCAGCTCCGCGATTCGGCGGCGGTCAACCCTTAAATACTTCGGCCGAGCTCTGCGGAGAACCATGATTACATCCCCAAGCTTTTGCTGTCCGTGATGACACCAGTCGAGGGACTGGTGACTACCGGACCATGGCCGACGACCCGACTCCGGCAGCCGGGCCAAGCCAAGACGGCCCGGCTCGCAACAAATTTGTCTCGTGGGTGATCAAGATATTCAATTTCATCCTCGGCCAATATATTTTGATCATGTTTGGCCTCGCCTGCTTATTTGGATACCTCTTTCCTCGTAAGCGCTCTCGTGCGTGGTTCGGATCCGTTGAGAAAGTGCTGACCTGGCTTGCTTGCTTTCCTAGACGTCGCCGCACATGGAGGTGTCATTAAGTCCGAGTACAGCATTCTGTACGGAGCGGTGGCATTCATTTTCCTAGTCAGCGGCCTGCAGATATCGCACCAGAGGTTGCTGGCGAATTTGCACAACTGGAGGCTGCACTTCATTACTCAAGGGATCAGCTTTATCCTGATCCCTTGCTTCCAACTCAGTGAGCCTCGATCCTCGCTGTCTGAGTTGAATGGCGACTCACCAGTGTATTACAGTGATCGTACACATCATCATTGCAGCCGGCGACCTCAGGACCCAGGTCATTGATGTGGGCATTCTGGTGGGCATGATCGTGGTCAGCGCCATCCCGACCACGATTGCGTCGAACATCATCATGACGAGGAATGCTGGAGGTGACGAGGCCGCAGCCGTCGTCGAGGTGGTTTTGGGCAATGTGTTCGGCGCATTTCTGACTCCCGGCCTGGTGTATGCCTTCATGCCCAAGAATCCAGAGTTTGATGCGTGGAGGCCTGCCTCGCCGAGTACCGCCGGGCTCATGTATGCCCGTGTTGCAAAGCAGCTCGGCCTCACCGTCCTGGCCCCTCTCTTTGTTGGCCAGGTGATTCGATACTTCTGGACGAAGCAGGTCACATATGTGCTGAATACGTTGAAACTGGCTAAGATTGGGACCGTGTGTCTGGCTCTGCTGGTGTGGTAAGCGCGATCCAAGAAGATGCATTCCTTGACTCCCAAGTAGGAAAGTGCTAATTCGCATCAGGACCACCTTTTCCGGGGCTTTTGAAACCGACGCACTGTACAAGATCACGAAGGCGTCTGTCATCTTCGTTGTGCTGTTCAACATCCTCGAATACGTGATATTCTCATTCATCTGCTTCTACATGGCTCGGCCTCCGAAGCCTCTGGTCTCTTTCGTCAACACCCACGTCGCAGACTCGAAGGCCCTGTCACGTCTGCCCGAGAAGCTCAGAAGGCCGCTGAGGACGAGAAGGATGTCCCAGATCGAGATGATAGCCATATGCTTCTGCGGCGCGGCAAAAACCACGAGTCTTGGTATACCTTTGGTCGAAGTTATGTGGGCCAACGCCGACAATCTCACCCGGGCGTACATCCAGATCCCGGTACTGCTCTACACGATCGAGCAAGTTTTTATGGCGCAGATTCAGGTGTATTTGTTCAAGTGGTATCTAAAGCGCTCGGAGAGAAAGGCCAAGGCCAAGGCTGAAGCAGAAAGCGGAGAAGGTCTAAGAAATAGCGAACATAACGATCTGGAATTGGACTCGTCACCGTCTCCTCGAGATGAAGGCAATGAAGAAGGTCTGGATAGCAAGAAGGACCCAGATCCAGACAAGCAGTCCATTCGGGAAGTGCAAGACAGCTCGAAGAGCGCTCAACCTGATAGACTTAGCATTAATGACAGATAGGCACTCTGCATTCAATGTTCAGCTCAAGGTTTCTGGCTGAAGAAGTGCAGCTCTCTTAAACGGTTCAGTGTGGTGCATCTCCACCCAGCGTATTGGAAAAGAGTCAAAAGCTAGCTCAATAGCGACGATCTTGGGATTTTTTTTTCTTTACTCAGAAGCCACCAAGTCACACAACCCGACAAGATTTGTTGCGGTCTATGAATGTATGCCAATCAAAGGTCTAAAAGAATGACCACAGCAAAGTTCGCCCTCGAGGACACGGTCCCGCTGCCCAACTCGGAGGTGCGCATGCCCCGGCTCGGCTTCGGCGTCTACCAGATCCGCGGCGATGCGTGCCTGCAGTCCTGCCTCGCCGCCCTGCGCGCGGGCTACCGCCACATCGACTCGGCGCAGCTCTACCGCAACGAGGCCGAGGTGCGCGAGGCGATCCGGCGCTTCGGCCTCGACCGCTCCCAGGTCTTCGTCACGAGCAAGATCCGCTTCCCCGAGTCCACGCCGGACAAGACGTACCGCTTCTGCCTCAAGAGCGTGCGCCGGCTCGGCGGCGAGGCCGAGGACGCCTACGTCGACCTGTTCCTCGTGCACATCCCCTACAGGGGGTTCGAGGAGCGCAAGGTGATGTGGCAGGCGCTCGAGAGGCTGCTCGAGGAGAAGAAGGCGCGCGCGATCGGCGTGAGCAACTACTCTGTCGAGCACATTGAGGAGATGAAGGCGTATGCCAAGGTGTGGCCGCCTCACGTTAACCAGATCCTTGTAAGTAGCTTTATGTCTATCTATGAGTAAGAAGGCGACTAACAGCTAGGGTAGCTACATCCTTGGAATCAACAACGCGAGGTTGATGTGTACTGCAAGAAGCACGGTATTGTGGTGCAGGCCTTCAGCCCTCTCGTGCGGGCCGAGAAACTTGATGACCCCACGCTCAAGGTCGTTGCCGAGCGCTATGGCAAGACGCCGGCTCAGGTCCTGATCCGGTACAGCCTCCAGAAGGGCTGGGTGCCGCTCCCGAAAAGTGCAAAGGAGGCCAGGATCAAAGAGAACGCGGATGTGTACGACTTTGAGATCTCGTCGGGCGACATGGACCTCCTGGACTCTCTCGATCCAACTCCTCACACCACCGAACAAGAAGAGTGATGTGTCTCATGCTCACATGAGCTCTCGAAGTGGATGCATCGCTGCCTCGTACCGTTGTAGTGTCGGGCTTGGGATCTAGAAGAGGTATACGTAGGCTGCAGTTGGTGTCCAAATGTTGTCTATCGGCCGAGGCGATGGTGGAAGCTTCTCCAAGGCAACCCGCGTCGACGGATTGAAAACGGCCGCGTACTTTGCCCATCCGCTGGACCTGTCCGTGCCGCGGAAGATGTACCTCGGAACCTGGTCGCTCTCGGTCCCCTGCGCCACAACTCGAACGAACTGCTCTCGCATCATGAGATACATCTCCATCGCCGGCATATTGTTTCGGTTGTCTGTGTCCTACTGGTTGTCCGCAAAGCAGAGGGGGGCTTCCTCTGGGCGAATTCCCAGAGGTTTTCTTTTAGGGTGTCGATATCGTCCACTGCGACCATGAGGTCCTTCAGGTTGGTGGCCGGATCGACGTATGAATCGAGATGCTGGACATGGAGCTCCAAGTATTGGATTGCGGCCAAGTTTAGAGTCCAGAGGCCCCAGCAGATTACCTGCTCCATCCCGAGAGAGCTTCGAATGGCCCACAGCCAAACTATCAAACATGTCTCGGAGCCTTGCTTCAAAGGAGAGCTGACCTCTGATAATAGGCGCATCTATATGGCCGCAGTTTCAATCACAATTTTGAGGAAGGATGTGTGGAAGTTGACATTATTCCAGTTAAATATGGGTAATACGTTTATTGTGTTTCTTTCAATGCTGCCGAGGGGTGGCGAGTCTCGGCTCTCACCAGAGAAGATCAACTTAGAAGCAAACTGTATAGCCTCCCCGGCATCTGTTGAGTTTTGTTGTTTGCCTCGTTCATCGCATAACGCTATGGATCTTCTCATAGTCCACTCGGTAATCGCATGATGAAGGCAGATCACCCAGGTAGTGTCGAAAAGGGTGAAGTCCTGGCTCCTCCCCGTCCACGGGGGCCCAAGTGCTCGATATCAGATACGTGAACTCCCAAGACGTGTACCCGTCCATGAGCCAGCTCGGCTGGGGCGTGGTATCGGATAACTGCAAACGCGTAGATGGCTGGAAGACCGCAGCGTGGGGCGCAGGAGCGGTCGCGCGAAAGAGAGATCTGGACTCGTATTGGAGGTAGTCACGGATCGTTTGATGCGCGAAATGGTCTTCTCCCATGGCGAGGTACAGCTCCTTGGATATCGGCTCCTTGGCTAGATGTTCCAGCACAAAGGGCCAGAAATAGTCTAGCTCCCCAGCCGACTCGAGTATGAGAGTCAGGGTGTCCAGCTTCAGACCTGGAACTTCTTTGGCCAACCACTTCAAGTCCTCTGATGGGAGATCATCGTATTCGCAGACGGCGGGTAGGTTGATAACCAAGTGGCGGACCAAGCCGAAGTCGAATCCCAGAGGCCTGGCTGTCTTGATCGAGTCGAGAAGGAGCATTCGGTCGTCGAAGACGAGCATTACACTGGATAGCCACCGCTGGCCGACCTCCTCGTTGATTTGGCGGCAAGTCAACCGGAAGCGTAAGGGGGTTATATGCCTCTTGGCTTGTCTCTCTTTGTCTTCTTTGCTCTCTGCATCGTCGTCGTCATCGTCGTCCTCGTCCTCGTCCTCGCCTTCAACATCGGTGGCAGCGTCAGGCCCGTCAAAGTAAATAGGCTGGCTCAAGACTTCGTCGTAAATCATACATCGAATCTCCAGAGGGAGCTTTCCGAGTAGAGAGCACCTTCGTGTCTCGATACTCTGTTGCTGGTCCATGATGGACTTTGGGGGTTGCTGTTCTGTTGTTCTTTGATGTTTTGGTAAAGATGGTGGGTTTGCATAGGCTGACAAGTCTAGAGGATCGTTCTTTTGACCTTTTAAACACCGGCGTTGAGTACACTTGTGTGTAAGTGTTGGGCGAGGTTGACAATATGTATTGTCACAATATCTGAAAAAAAGGAGCTCAAAGCCCATGACGAAGCGAGTAGATGAGGCTTGTCCATGTGATATTTCAACGACCCCTTTGTCCATACCCGTACAATAGGTGCATGTCCATCTTATCTGTAACATTTTTTTTTTGGCATCGACCTAGGCAAGTGTTTTAAGAGCCTTCGTCGTTGTAGGCCAAACAATTGTTTGAGATGATCAATAGCTTCTTGGGGACAATGGCAAGGGAGACAGCATTTATCATTCAGACAATAGACAATGGACGAACGCACGCCTCTTCAAACCCTCCTCTTGGGTTGTATCAACTACTATTCACTCTACCCTAAGGAGGTCGTGACATCGGCAAACGTACACAACCTACTACACACATCCGATGTTGACGGGGCGGGATGAAGTTGCAGGTGGATCGGGGACTCGGTTGAGTTCCAAGTGATGGGGCACTTCTCACGGGCTTGCAGCCTGCGGCCCCACCCGGCGTCACTGAAGCTGCCTGGAAGGCCCGCACGCCAGTGGGTGGGTTGGCGCCACACCCAGCCCAGGTCATCAGCCAGAGAAGCTTCCACAAGCTCCGGGTGCCGTCACAGCAGCTGCAAGACTTAGTTGATCGCCACTGTGATGAGTGACCGAGAACCCCCCACAGCTGAGCGGCAACCACTTTTGACTTCCCGCCATCCATCGACTGATTATTGTTTCTCCTGCAGATTTCCTGCCTGCTCTGTTGCTGCTGCCTCCACGGCTTCATTTCTTGCATCTTGACCACATCGCCCCTTCGAAGGGACCCAACCTATCCGTCCTCAGCATTCATTCATTCATCTCATCCACCATGAGCCTCGAGAGGCCCCTCCGCGGCGGCTGCCAGTGCGGGCGCAATCGATACATCATCGAACGGCCCCAAAACGCTTCACAGCTCGCACAGGTCCTTTTCGACACCGGTTCATCTCACAGTAAGTGTCAGATATTGGCCGGACACGGGTTATTGTAGATTACGGAGCGGCCCAAAACTCGATTGGTCGCATCCCAAGGCTCTGGAGCACTCGCGGCTGACGCACTTCTCGAATCAGGAACTTCGCTAGCTTCACCACTCGCGGCCTTCATTCGGGTGCCCCTCGAATGGTACCACAGCACGACTTTTGCCTTCTTCCCAGACGAGACCAACGCTACGATCCGGAAAGTCTATACCCACCCGTCGGAGCAGCATGCAAAGCGTCACTTTTGCGGCTTCTGCGGAACGCCGCTCTCCTACTGGTCCGAGCAGCCCCGGAGCGAGGCCGACTTCATCAGCCTCACCCTCGGGAGCCTGTGCAGAGAAGACCTGGGAGACCTGGAGGACATGGGCCTGATCCCCGACAGGGAATCGCCGACCCCTCCCGTCCAAGAGGAGACGTCGTCAACGTCGCAGCCGGGCCCGGTGGTCGTGCACGAGTCGCGCGGGGTGCCGTGGTTTGACAGCATGGTCGAGGGCAGCCAGCTGGGCAAGCTGCGCACTAGCAAGGGCAGCGGCCACAGCAGAGATGGCATGGTAACCTACGAGTGGGAGGTGGTAGAGTGGACGGCCGACGACGAGCTCGACGCCCCAAGCCCGGCTAAGAAACAGCGACAGGACACGGGCGACGAGGACGCGGCTATGGAGGGCTCGAGCCGCTAACAGGACGTTGTTGCAACGTTATATGCGAGCTTGGACCTATGATCCGAGTGGCAGCGTCCATCTTGCGAGCCACCGTGCTGTGGCAAATGCTTGTTTTTTTTTTTTTTTTTTGCGTGTGCATGGTCTCATTTGTCGACGACGACGACATAATGATGGAAGAGGTGTGTGTATTACCAAGTGACTGCGGTGTTGGCTTATTTTGGCTTCTACTCTTTCCACCGGAATTACCGCAGGTGGCTGCACCGCTCGTGGGAGGGGAGGTGAGCTATCAATCCGGGTAGGAGAGTATCTTGGCGTTGCAACGGGTTGATTAAAGGGTTTGAGGAGTTGGTGGTGCGGATTCCAAAGCTTTAATTAAGCATAAGTGTGTAGGATCTCTCAGAGGAAAAGGTAGCTTGGTAGCTCCAATCGAGATCAAGGCATTGACACATGAGACGCACGCCCGATGCCACCCCGCGGTCATGTTACTCGATACTGTCGCACCGCCGGAAGGAGGCTACGCCGGCATCTGGAAAGAGACGGAAATGGAGCAAACATTGAATCGGCGAGCTGCTTGACCCCCCCAAAGCGGCCGAGGATCCGGCAGACGGGCGGTCCAGGGCGGTACGGCCAATCGGATCCGCAGCAAAGGGGCCAGGTGTGACCAGACAGGCTTCGAGAAGGATGTCTGATGGGGGGGCAATCGACAGAATGCCATGCTGTATTGCATGCACGACTGACAGCTTTTGCTCACGTCCACTGACTCACCCTGCCCGCCCATGCAGATGCAGATGCAGAATGCTAAGGGAGTGCCGAGGTTTAGGCGAAGGGCCGTCCTGTTCCTGTTCGCTGGGTACTGGTCGCTTGTGGCATTGCTCGGCGCAACTTGCAGGTGTGGTCTGCGTATCCAGGTGGCCGGAATGGCGGGCCGTCGCGGTTTTTCTCGTTTTGGCTTGAAGAATAGCGCACAGGCGAAGGGCGGAGCGGGCGGCGCATGATATGTTTGGGGGGATCAGATGATGATGGATCACACTGACTGTGATCTACCTACGCTGGTGCTGGGAATATGCCTCATGCTGTCGCATATGTGATGCGTCAGTACGGTGAGACTTTGGGTTGAGAACCGGACGAATGTCTGTTCGTTTCGTGGTAATTAGATGGGCTTCCGTCGTCTCGCTTTCTGTTGCGCAATGCAGACCGTAATGAGAATAGGACATACGGAGTATGCTACCGTTAGGGCCTGCAAAAGCTCCATGGAACCTTATTAGCTTCTCACAAGCACAATCTGGGCTTCGCCAGTGTCCCGTTGTTTCTTAGTTACCCCGCGGTGGAGTCTCAGGCGGGTTGACGTGCCTCGAAGCACTGCAGGCAGGGGTTCTGTAGGGGGTTTCCTTAGCGACCAAGCAACCGTTGGGAGGCCCGCGCCCCCCGCGCCATCCCTCCCAGCGCTGGATCTCCGCCGCCACCACGCGGGCTACACGGGAGGACTGGCATCGGGAGCCAGCATCAGGGTCCAATCGTCGCGGCCAAGACCCAGCTTTTCTTCGGTCTTGACGGTCCGAAGGCGGCAGAAACCTCGACAGAGGAATAGATCGTCTCCGGGCCAAGGACGCTCGTCCAACAGACAGAGCATCCGACTCATCCATGCGTTGCTGCAATGGAGCCTTGTCTCTCTCTCTCTCTCTCTCTCGCTCGACGTGTATAAAGATGCTGCTACCGCCCCGACTCCCCTTTCCAAAGGATGCCATGTGAGATGGTTCTCTCTTGTCAGTGATTAACAGACCGGTTCGAACAACCTATAATCTAAGTCCGATATATCACCGCTATCTGGACCATCTTGCTTCCTCATTCCTGGAAAGGTATGTGACATCCAACTACAGCCATGGATAAGAAGGAAGCTTAGTCCGAGACTTGATCCTTTCCTTGCCTTGCTCTTGGCAGTCCCTAGCTAACTCGGACAAAGGTGTAATTTATCACTTCTTCTATTAGACCATATCACAAACCGCCCAAGTCCTTGGGGTTTGTGTCGCCATGTCTCTGCCCAAAGACTTTCTGTGGGGCTTTGCAACTGCATCGTAAGTCCGCACCGGTTCTGCCAGGCTGCTCAGTGCCCAACAAGAGAAGAGACAGAGAGTTCCCTCAGATCAGGTGAATACGCTGCTGACATGCACCTCTCGATGTGAAACAGATACCAGGTCGAAGGTGCCGTCGACAAGGACGGCCGCGGACCTTCAACATGGGACGCATTCTGCGCCCAGCCTGGCAAGGTTGCCGACGGCTCCGACGGCTCAGTGGCGTGCGACTCGTACAACCGCACCAAGGAGGATATCGACCTCCTCAAGTCTGTCGGTGCCAAGTGCTACCGCTTCTCGATATCTTGGTCCCGCATCATCCCGCTCGGCGGCCGCAACGACCCGGTGAACCAAAAGGGCATCGACCACTACGTCAAGTTCACCGACGACCTGATTGAGGCCGGCATAGAACCCTTCATCACCCTCTTCCACTGGGACTTGCCGCTCGGCCTGTACGAGAGGTACGGCGGGATCCTGAGCAAGGAAGAGTTCCCGCTCGACTACGAGAACTACGCCCGCATCCTGTTCAAGGCCATCCCCAAGTGCAAGCACTGGATCACCTTCAACGAGCCCTGGTGCTCGTCCATCCTGGGCTACAATACCGGCCTCCACGCCCCAGGCCACACCTCGGACAGGAGCAGGTCTCCCGTCGGCGACAGCGCTCGGGACTGCTGGATCGCCGGCCACAACCTCCTGCTCGCCCACGGGCGGGCTGTCAAGGCATACCGCGAGGAGTTCAAGCCCACCCAGGGCGGCGAGATCGGCATCACCCTCAACGGCGACGCGACCTTCCCCTGGGACCCGGAGGACCCGGAGGATGTCGAGGCGGCGAACCGCAAGATCGAGTTTGCCATCTCGTGGTTTGCCGACCCCATCTACCACGGCGACTACCCGGCCTCGATGCGCAAGCAGCTCGGCGACCGCCTGCCCAGCTGGACGCCCGAGGAGATCGCGCTCGTCCAGGGCTCCAACGACTTCTACGGCATGAACCACTACACGGCCAACTACGTCCGCCACAAGAAGGGCGTGACGCCGCCGCCCGAGGACTTTGTCGGCAACCTGGACACGGGCTTCGTGTCCAAGAGCGGCGACGTCATCGGGCCCGAGACGCAGTCGGCCTGGCTGCGCCCTTGCCCGCGCGGCTTCCGCGACCTGCTCGTCTGGCTCAGCCGGCGGTACGGCGGGCCCAAGATCTACGTGACGGAGAACGGCACGTCGGTCAAGGGCGAGAACGACATGCCGGTCGGGCGGATCGTCGAGGACGACTTCCGCGTGCGGTACTTTGACGGGTACGTGCGGGCCATGGCCGAGGCGTGCGCGCAGGACGGCGTCGACGTGCGCGGCTACATGGGCTGGTCGCTGCTCGACAACTTTGAGTGGGCCGAGGGCTACGAGACGCGGTTCGGCGTCACCTACGTCGACTACGCCAACGACCAGAAGCGGTACCCCAAGAAGAGCGCCAGGGCGATGAAGCCGTTGTTTGACAGCTTGATCAAGCAGGACTAGCAGGTGGCCTGGAGGGAACTCACCTCCTTGTTCAAAGGGTAACTAGATGATGCATGGGTAGCAAGATGGATGGATGTCTGGTGCATCCAGGTCGGGGTAGGGTACAAGTAGTCAGCATGGAACATAATAAACTGTTTTTTTTTCTCTCTTTCTTTCTGAAAAGCTGAATGGCGTCTCTCGTTTCTTTGGTGCCTTCTTGTTCTTGTAGAGATACGGAGTAGGTGAATTTCCGTTCTTGGTAAGACTCGGAGAGAAATAGGGGGTACCTAGTCTTGGTACCTGGTCTTCTCCACACTCCAACCGAGGGGTTCAAGGCTCGAGCTGGGGCAGCCAAAACCGGGGTCCGAGGATGTGTGGAGTCGCCCTCCTCGATCCGGAAGGGCGCTTAGCCTCCCCGGTCCAAGCTGGATTGCATCTTATTGCTCCTCTTGCGGCGGCGTCGAATGGCAACTTGGACTCGCTTGATGATTCTCACAGATGCAATAGGTTGGGGAACAGCAGCTCCTGGGATCTCATATCTCTGACCAAGCCGTTCGCAGGCGGGTTCAGGCCTCATACAACATCTTGACTGCTCGTCCAGCGCGAAGGGCTCCTCGACCAGCATTCTGCTGCGAGATAGTCTCGGTAAAGCTCGGCTTTCACCTACCCTGACCTCCCAGAATTTGCGTGTAAGTGCCTTCGCACAAAAACGCACGACATTTCTGGCATCCCTCCTATAAGACACACACTTCTCCCAGTCGGTTACTCTTTTTCCTCCAGGGCGTTGCGCTGTACACATATACACGGGGCAGCCAGCCAGACAGACATACACACACATCATCACACATACACTCACACTCCCACACATACACTCACACACATACACTCCCATACACTCCCTCCCACACACACACACATACACACACACACTCAAGCCCATCGTCATGTCTGGCCCGCCGTCTCGCCTGCGCTCCGTCCTGGGCCACCTCTGGGGCCCGGGCCACGGCCACGAGACGACGACCCCGAACCACATCCACCAGCTCTCGCCCACCTTCTTCCTCGAGCGCGCCGCCGCCATCGAGCCCAACGCCGAGGCCGTCTACCACGTGACGGCCAACGGCCGCGTCCTGCGCCGCGACTACCAGGAGCTCGCGGACCGCGCGCGCGGGCTGGCCTACTACCTCCTGCGCCGCGGGTACCGGCGCGTCGGCATCCTGGCGACCAACACGCCCGCCTTCCTCGAGTCCATCTACGGCGTCATCGCCGCCGGCGGAGTGCTCGTCCCCGCCAACTACCGCCTCAAGCAGGACGACATCACGTACATCTTTGACTTTGCCGAGGTCGACCTGATCATCGTCGACGCCGAGTTTGAGCACCTGCTCGCCGGGTTCAAGAAGGGGCATCCCAATGTGCCGTTGCTCGTCGATACGGTAAGTATCGGGCACGGAGAGACTTCGTAGGAGGCAACGCGAGTGAGTTTTGCTGACCGTAGGATGTCGTAGGACACTGACGCTACGGAGGGCGAGCTGTCGGGGCCCTTTGACGAGGCTGTCCTCGAGGGTCTGACGTTTGACCGCGAGAACGGGGCTCACGGCTGGGCGGGCCTGCAGTCTGCCCGGGTAGCGAATGAGGACGACATGATCGCCATCCCCTTCACCTCGGGGACGACGTCCAAGCCCAAGGGTGTCGTGTACACCCACAGGGGAGCGTATCTGGCGGCGGTAGGCAACATCGTCGAGTCTGGCTTGAACGTGCCGTTCGGCCGGTGCAAGTATCTCTGGACACTGCCCATGTAAGTGCCACTACTTGTTTTTTTTTCTTTCACTTTTCACCTCTTGGCCGCGAAAAGAAGAAAGGAATTGCTGCTGTAGACTGACCCGACATGGATCTATCTCCCAGGTTCCACGCCATGGGATGGACGTTCCCCTGGTCGGTCTGCGCCGTCCGCGGAACGCACGTCTGCCTGCGCAAGATCGACTACCCCCTGATCTGGAAGCTGCTCAAGGAGGAGGGCATCACGCACTTCAACGCCGCGCCCACCGTCAACACCCTCCTCTGCGCCTCCCCGCAGGCAGAGCGCCTGCCGCAGCCGGTGCAGGTCACCGTGGCCGCCAGCCCGCCGACCGCACACCTCTTTGAGCAGATGGTAAGCCCACCACCACCACCACCTACCCCTACCTACCTACCTACCTCCTTTATTCCCATCTACCAATGCGAGAGGTCGCCCGTGGACTAAAACTCATGCTTTAAACCAAAACTCCAGACCGACCTCAACCTGCACCCGGTCCACGTCTACGGCATGACCGAGACCTACGGGCCCATCACAAAGGGCTACATCCTGCCCGAGTGGGACGCCCGGCCCAAGCACGACAAGTACGCCCTCATGGCGCGCCAGGGCCACGGCTTCCTCACCAGCCTGCCCATCCGCGTCATCAAGCCCGACCGGCCCGAGGACGAAGCCCCCGTCGACGTGGCCCGCGACGGCCGCGAGATGGGCGAGATCGTCTTCGCGGGCAACATCTGCGCCAAGGGCTACTACAAGGACCCCGAGGCCACGCGCCGGCTCTTCGCCGGCGGCGTGCTGCACTCGGGCGACCTGGCCGTGTGGCACCCGGACGGCAGCGCGCAGATCCAGGACCGGGCCAAGGACATCATCATCTCCGGTGCGTTTTGACAACCCCCCCCCTCCGAACCAACCAACCAACCCAAACCCCCCTTAATACTGACGATTGCTTTTCTAACCCTTGACAGGCGGCGAGAACATCTCCTCGGTCGCCCTCGAGAGCATGCTCGTCGAGCACCCGGACGTGCTCGAGGCCGGCGTCGTCGCCGTCTCCGACTCGCACTGGGGCGAGCGGCCCAAGGCCTACCTGACGGCGCGCGAGGGCCGGGCCATCGAGCCCGCCGCCTTCATCGCCTGGTGCAAGCACCAGAGCGCCATCAGCAAGTTCATGGTGCCCCGCGAGGTCGAGGTCGTGCCCGAGCTGCCCAAGACGAGCACGGGCAAGATCAAGAAGAACGTGCTGCGCGAGTGGGCCAAGCACGGCCGCCGGGAGGGGCAGTAGCAAGCCCGGCAGGCAGGCAGGCAGGCAGGCAGCGAGGAGCTAGGTTTTGTGGGCGCAGTCTGGATATCAGAAAGGGGAACGGGAACGGGGGCACATAGTTGGGGGAAGAGCCCCCCTTATCTGGGTGGTGATGAGGCGGAACACTGCATTGAGCATGGCTAGACAAAGGCATTGCGTGTGTATATATGATTGCAAATCTACGTTCAAGAAAGCACAGTTTGATTCTGTCGCTCATGATGATGCATTGCTCGACTATGTGATATTACAAGTAGATATCCGAATCGAATGCCAGATAGAAGGATGGGTGGGTATTAGGGTAGACAATGAGAAGGAAAAGGGGGCGGGGGGGGGGGGGGGGGGGGGGGGGCGACCCC